GTTCGCTTTGATGAATTTCGATAATGTAATGAAAAGACGAAAATTATCAGATCTATGTGATATATTGGTGCAATACATTTCGAACAATCTGATCTCACATGTACTTGTTAAGAACATTTATATATCAGTCAGTCAGTCAGCTACACCGTAGGACCAGGCACATATATGCATCGGTCCAAGTTGCCATACCTCATTAGCACAACAAGATGGACACCGGATTCATAAAAGTAGTTAATTCAGAGGTGGTAATATATAAAGGAAAGATTGCATATAAGTATATAGTACAGGAAGAAAGAATTAGTTCGTAGAAAGAAAGATATGAAGCAATTTCAATTTCATAGTTTACGGGAAGACAAAGTGTATACACTTACGCCATTGTGATCCATTCTGAGCCATGTCACCAACAGTCTCCAATTATTAGTAACGATGGTTTCAAGGACCCCAATCAAGTAGCTTGCATGTACCAATATGGCTCAGACTAGAAGTTAGTGACTTCAATCACTAATGCCACGTTTTGGTTTGGCCGCCCTTAACTTTCTTCCAACCATCCGGAACACTGGTTAGCATTGCACATCGTGGTAATCGGTGTTTGGGCATACGTAACACGTGTCCCGACCATCTCAGTCGATGAAGATTCACAACCTCATCAACTGACTTACCACCATTCCCTAATACCCTGCATCTAACCTCACTATTACTTACCCGGTGATCCCAGCAGATATGAGCAATATTTCTAAGACATCTGTGGTCAAATACTAGTAGCTTACGAGTATCTTCTACTCTTAATGGCCATGTTTCGCTGCCGTAAACTAGAACAGAACGAACTGCCGCGCATTATACTCGTTCTGTTATTGATAAACGGATATCTCGCCTTCGCCATAGGTGACGTAAGTTGGCAAAAGTCAAACGAGCTTTTCGAATCCGTGCAGAGATTTCGTCAGACACCAACCCATTATGGCTGATCCGACTTCCAAGATGAGTGGAGTTGTCAAAGCGTTCGACTACTTCACTTCGTATCCTTAGTTGAGGTGTTGACGCAGACCAGTCCTGAAGCAACAACTTGCATTTCGAGGGAGAGAAGCGCATTCCAAACATTCTGGCATTGTTGCTCAGTGCTATCAAAATGCTCTGCATTTATATATAAAAATAAAAGGTCAACTAGACTGGAAATGGGGTAAGAGGAGACAAGGATAATAACAAAAGTAATAATAATAATATGAACACAATTGGAACCCAATCACTCTGAATAATGAGCCAATATATATATATATATTATATTATATAATTATATATATATATATATAATTCACATTGTAAATAATTTTAATTACACCAATCATAATACTAAACTGTAAAATTCAATAAATAAATAAAATTTCACAAACTAGTATTTTTCTTATTCTTTTAGTCATCATTTTCTCCTATAGACTTTTATTTTAATTTGCTAATCAACTCAAGAATTTAAGTGAATCATGAAATGTTTCGTTTATTTATTTTTGGCTGTTGTTGTTAGTTTTTCATTTTTTTTTTCTTCTTCTTCTTCAAAAAAAGAAAGAACTTGCAAATAATTTCTTGTAATTTCTGATCGATTCATTGGTAACTTCATATTTGTTATTTTTGTTAGAAGCATTTATGATGAAAACTAATTTTTATCAAATTACTTAAAACTACCAGTTAACATTCACAGAAAGTGCTATATAACCGATAAAATTCAAGTTATATTTATATATACTATTCGAATTCCTTATAAGATAGTCATTACTGAGTATACAAATAAGTAGTGGAATCTAAATCTGTTTTGACACTATGTTAACCACGTTAACATCTTAAATCTAGTTATTGATTCGATGAGTTAGTTTTTTTTCGATGAAAATAAACTACAATCAATTCATTTCGATCTATACTACAATGAATATTGCATATTTATAACATTATATTCATATTATATGATATTTATTAAATAGCGAAAAATAGCAAATATTTTTTTGAGATGGTGGAGAAGATTTGTAGCTCAGGTGGATGATTTTGATGGAGTTTTGTTCTCTGAGCTGGATGGTTTGGTCGTGGAGCTTTCATCGTTCTTCTGAACGACATCATCAGCACAAACTTCAGATAGAAGTGAAGTGTTCGAATTTCTCCATATGTGTTTCACAGCTTGTTCTGTGCACCTCGATGTTGATTGGTTCTTATTGACCTTAAATTTATCATTGTTTACTTCTTTGTTTTGGTTGTGTCTCCCATTGGTTTGATTTTTGTTCCCATATTTATGCATGGTTTTCCAGGAAAATTCGAACACTTCACTGCTATCTGAAGTTTGTGCTGATGATGTCGTTCAGAAGAACGATGAAAGCTCCACGACCAAACCATCCAGCTCAGAGAACAAAACTCCATCAAAATATTTTTTTGCGTTAATTCAAAGCCCATTTAATAGTCGGTAGTACAGAATATTATAATATAGCATAGTATGGTATAGTTTTAAATAAACTCTCGATTGTTTGCTAGAATAGAGTATTATCATTCTGTTTCACATTTCTATAAAATGTAGATATGTTCGAATAGTTCCTAATCCTTTCTTAATCATAGATTATAATTTAGAAATACAATAGTTGTTTACAAAAATTTAAAAAAATGATTTATTAGTTCGGTTTTTGTTTGACAAGAACATTTTATAAAATATTTATCTTTTTTCTCTGTACATACGTTGGTTTGTCGTGTGTTTACAACTTCCTGTCGGATATTATTGAACGGCATAATATATATATATATATATATATATATATATATATATATATATATATATATATATGAGACAGCTACATGACACAACGAATAAACTGGCAGGGAAATATAGTAAACCAGAAAGACCGGTCAAGGACAAAGAAACCAAGCCAGTCACTAAAATTCAAGAACAGAAGAATAAATGGGTGAAACACTTCGGTGAACTCTCAAAAGACCAGCTCCATTGAATCCACTGGACATCGAAGCCGCATATACAGACCTTCCTATCCATGTCATTCCACCAACGACCGAAGAAATCAGAACGGCCATCAGACAAATCAATGGCGGGAAAGCAGCAGGACCTGACAATATACTGGATGAAGCTTTAAAATCAGACATATAAGTAACTGCAAGTATGTTTCGCGTTCTGTTCAGGAAGATTTGGGAGGAAGAATAAGTGCCGACTGAATGGAAAGAAGGATAACTCATCAAGATACCAGAGAAAGCAGATCTGAGCAAGTGTGAGAACTAAAGAGGCATCACACTAATGTCAGTACCAGAGTATTGCTGAACTGGATTAAAGATTCAATAGACGCCCAAATTTGAAATCAACAGACTGGATTCATTAAGGATCGATCGTGCTCAGACCAGATTGCAACACTATGGATCATCGTTGAACAGTTAATTGAATAAACTTCGTCACTATACATCAGCTTACTTAACTATGAAAAGGCATCTGACAGTATAGATAGGAGAACCTTATGGAACCTCCTTCAAAAATACGGTGTGAGTGGCTGAGAAAATCGTCAGTATCATCCGGAATTCATATGACGGGCCACGCTACAACATCGTGCATGGAGGACAGTTGACAGATTCATTCCAAGTAAGGACCGAAGTCAGACAAGGCTGCTTACTCTCCCCCTTCCTCTTTCTTCTGGTGGTCGACTGATGGCGAAAACGGATTACAATGAACAGCTCGGAATCAATTAGACGATTTGGACTTCGCAGATGACCTAGCCCTCCTATTGCACACACACCAAAAAATGCAGACAAAGACAGCCAGTGTAGCAGCAGTCACTGCATCAGTAGGCCTCAACATACACAAGAGGAAAACCAAGGTCCTCAAATACAACACGGAGAATACCAATTCAATCACACTTGATGGCGAAACTCTGGAAGATGTAGAACCCTTCACATACTTGGGAAGCATCATCGATGAACAAGGAGGTTCAGATGTAGACGTAAAGGTGAGGATTGGCAAAGTAAGGGCCGCATTTCTACATTTGAAGGACATATGGAAATCAAAACAACTTTCAACCAATATCAAAGTCAGGATCGTCAATACGAACGTCAAGGTAGTTCTACTGTACGGAGATGAAACTTGAAGAACTACTACAACCATCATCAAACATGTACAAGTATTTATAAATGGCTGTCTACGCAAGATTCTCAACATCCATTGCTCGGATACCATCAACAACAGCCTTTTGTGGAAGAGAACAAACCAGCTTCCAGCTGAAGAGGAAATTAGGAAAAGACGATGGAAATGGACAGGACATACATTACTCAAATCATCAAACTGCATCACGAGGCAAGCCCTAACTTGAAATCCTGAAGGGAAGCGGAAAAGAGGAAGGCCAAAGAACACATTACATCGTGAAATAGAATCAAATATGAAAAGGATGAAAGGAACCTGCAAAAACAGCTAGAAAGGATTGCTCATGACAGGGTTAGATGGAGAATGCTAGTGGGCAGCCTATGCTACCCAACGAGGGGTAGCAGGCGTATATATATATGTGAGCATTTTTGATTTAACAAACAGTAAATAGGTTTTTCAATAATGACCACCGAAATCGGCCATACATTATTTATTTACAATTAACTGTAAAGAATTACCACCTATTGGTCAATGATATCTGTTCATGAATAAAATTATTTGAAAATTAGCAGGAATCACGAATGTTGAGAATCAACCCAAATTGAATGTATGCGTGAATCGTTGGTAACAGCATCGTAAGCTTTGACTTTGTGCTTCCTTAATTACATTATTCATCAGTGACTGATGGTTATAACTCTCATTATCAAACCCAAAAGTTTTAGATCCCATTCTCTTTTCGAAATAAACAAATATATGTTAATCCAGTACATTGTGTTGTTAAGCGTTTTTCTACTGATCGACAACTTTCCATTTGGAAATGTAGATTTATTCAACTTTTTTTTCTGATGTCATGTCCAGAAATATCTAGTGATCTTCCTCTAACTTTTTCAAAAATATTTTTTAGTAATTATGAAAATCTTTATAACCAACAATCTTACACTACGAATATACCAAGGTATCGTTATTCCGGTCGGTCAGATGACGAAGACTATTTATACCCTCAACCATCAATGGATGAACAAAGTCCAGTTTATTCTGATTGTGGACCATTTTCAGATATAGATGAACCAGATTGGAATCCTGATTATGTCAACTATCGCCATAGTGGTGATTATATGCCATGGACAGATGAACACCAAACAAGGTTAATTTTATCCACTACGTTCCATTCTGATCAGTATAATTTGGTATAATTATAATTTGATGATAAAATGAGACATTTTTTCGTAAGCTTTTCTAAAATTCCTTCTACGCACTTTAGATTGAACAACCGACCAGCATGATTAGCTTTCCTATGATTATTGTGACCAAAAAATTATTAATTAAAACAATCTACAGAGATTTACATGGATTTAATTTATTTTCGAATATTTTTGTGGGTGTTTTTATCATTCCTTAGTCATGTATTATTGCATATTTTGTTGATACTTATATACAGAATCAGGCAGAAGATCAAAAAGTGATTTATTCATAACATAGGCTTACGTATTGTATACTTACCGCTAAAATCGTTAAACATTCATACTAACAGCATAAGCTATAAATTATTCATAGTTATAGTTTGAATAAGTTTCAAAGACAGCGAGAATTAATGTTAACGGCAACTGACATTTGGTGTCAAACCACTGATGTTGTTCTACTTTGAACTCGTAAACTGAGAGTTGTATGTTTACTAATGAAAAATTGATGGGTTTTTTTCACTTATATTTGAAGCTAATTATAATTGATTGAACTGTCACTTTATTATTTACTGGCTTATTGAGCTGTAACGGTCACATTTTATGATATGTTTATGTCTTTGGTAAATTCGTTTATGAAACTGGAAAGAAGGTTAGATTACTTAAAATGAGTAATAAAATTCAGTGTATGTTCTGTTGACAGTGATGATAATTTTTAGTATTTTGTCAAGTTTGAGTAGATCATAATATTTGACAGTTTTCTACATTTCTGAAGTGGATGATATATAATTATTCTAAAAATTATTTGGTTTGGCGAATAAACTATAGATAGTAGTCATGAAAGCATATTGTTTCATACAAGTATAAATACAAGTTATATGAGATACCTTGACTCAATAATCTACGTCTTCTTATCTATAGGTCAGTTATGTAAGCATTGTACTACCTGGTACAAATATTTATTAATTCAAGTTATTATATGTTACAACAGCAAGGATTAAATTAGCAGGATGAGAAGTACATACTTAGGAGATAGATAATGAACAGATCTAAAAACGTCCATTAACTTGTACTTTAACCATTTAAGATCATCTACTATAGATGTTGAATATTTGATTTATCTTAAATATCTTCACAGCAGTTATGTAATACCCACTGAAATATATCAGTATAATTTCCTCTCGACAGGCAGACGACCAACTCACATACTCTACAGGTGAATGAGGTCCTTGTATTCATCTCCAGGTTTTACTGGGCATCTTCCCAGAAAGGTTGACGAGGTTTACAAGACAAGTAAAATATTCAACATGCTTAACTACTCTACTCTTTTCACTAAGGCTAGACGCTGACGCAGACTAGTCATTCATTACAATTTTTTATCTAGGAGGAAGGAAGTGTATCTAAAAAAATCCTTTCAGTGCAGCTCAAATAATTCACAGTACGTGGTATATTTTCACTTTACTACTAAGGTCTGTGTGTATTTGACTTTTCAAGTTTAATTATTTTTGATAACGGTTCTTAGATCTTTCCAAAAATATTCATCAGATGGTTATTTTTTGTAGATTTAGTCAACGCCGTCGACGATCTCGCTTCAGTCCTCAAAGTTGTCGATATTATAGAAGAGGTTATACTCGTTTACCATATCCGCAACCCGCATATGGAATTTCACCATCTGACGTTTGTTGCGAAAAGTATCCACATATAAAATATGATATACAGTAAGCATATATAATTGTATTTTACTATGTCAGTAGTTTTTAATAATATGATCTTTACTAAATTAAAGCTCTGTTTATTAAATGTGAAGAATATCCAACTGGAATGTAAAATTTGTTAATAATTTTATAAATCATGGTGTACTTTCATTCATATTTCAATTTTTAATAGCACCTCTACTTAGAGGTACATATTTTCGAACGCTATCCTGATGAATTTAGTATCAAAAAATCATTCCAAAATGAATATTTAACAAAATCTGAATAATTCGAACTTTTGGTTGTATCTTTTTATGGAAAAGATGGGCTTTTGGCTAGCAGGGGAACCCAGGGCGCACGCTTTGTCCTACTTGAACTTTGTACTTACTTTCTAATAATGATATAAGTTCTGATATTATCATTTTTTCCAAGCATATGAATACCTCTTTTAACATCCTTTTGATTCACTGGAATCATTTAAAAAGACATGGGATATTTCCCACTGCAATTCTATTCATGAAGTGTATTTCTAACTTTAGAAAAAAAAAAATCTAATCTAAATGAATGGTGCATTATTAGTTATGATAAAGCTCCGTGGTGTTTATTAAAATATGTTGATCAAAATGAAGTGTTTCATCAAACTCATCTACTCACTTCTCTAGATAATACAAATTATTACATTAGGAATGAACACTGATAGGATTCGAAGTGCTATCTCTTGGTTATTGCTAAATAATGATAGTTATGGGGAAAAATAACCGAACGTAAATTCTAATGCAATTCCTTAATTAGATTAGGTTGTCCACTTGTTGTAATGTTAAAAGTACTTGTTGAATAACATTATTACACATGCAGGTAATCAGAAATTAAAGACTAAACTGTACTGAGTTTAGTTATCGAAATGACTGATTTTATTCACGTCGTTATGCCATTTCTCTTCTCTTTACTTTTATTCTCTCAATGTTTTATTTTACTATTTACAACATTTTATTCACTCAAACAAAAGAAAGAAATTCACCTATTGTTTGAATTCAATTCAATAAATAAGTTGAAGTCATAGTAGAATCATTCAAAATATTTCAGTTTTATGACATACATTGCTCGACTTCTAAAACGATTCTTTTCAAAATCTGATATCATTTGGAAAATTAATGTAAGTCGAAAAGCATCAGGCCTAGCTTATAGCTCTTTAACTTTATGCATTCGCAGCCTCAAAATAGATTAGGGCCGAAAATTTAAAATGTCTTAATGAATATAATAACATATCTAACCTCTATTTGTAAATCTTATTGTTGACATTTTCTAACCCGTACTGTATAAACAAACGGTCATGTTGTAAAATTACTAGTAATTGTTGTTTTTAGAAAAGAAACTAATTCTGTTTCTTAAATGTCTATATCATCATCATGTAATTAAAATCCTTGACAAAACTAATTAAATTCGAATCGGAAACCACTAATTCTACGTAACGCTTTTTATAAAATATTTATGTTTCAGGGACAATTTTTCTGTTTTGCCTATAAGGAAAATTTTCAACAGTGCTACATGTTATTTCTATTCTTATCTGCTTACTAATATGTACTTTTTAAAACCCAAAATACTGAGTTCCAAATTAATTTAAAGAAACAAATATTGTCAACTGTGTAATTGTCTATCACCTTCTAGAACACAAGGTATAAGAAAAACGTTACATTGTTTATTGTGACGTAAATTTTTACATGTTTGTTTTTAGATTTTCGAATTAATTTATCAAAACCTCGATACTATAAGTTGTTTCCAACTGAAATGTCTTATGATCTCTCTCCCTAATATTTAATCATCCTTTTAGCCATACATACAATTTACTAAGACTGTTCACTAATGGTTACTAATAGAACTCAACTAATTTTTTCTGGTGGTTGTTGATTTTTTCAGAATAGATGTTTTGAATGTCTGTTAAATTATAGTCAATATATGTTGTTGAATCAAGACATCATATAACAACAGACTAATCATTAGAAGAATCTTGAACATATAAATAACATAGTATTAAACAATTTTTTTTCTTAATAACCTATAAAATTTGTTTCCAACGTTCTTTTACTACTCTTCTTTTTTTTGTTTGTTGTTAATTTACTCAATTTGATTATTTATTTGTTTTTGTTATTAAAGTAATCACACGAAATTTTGTCTTTTTTCCAGTTTTCCATATTTCTTCACTGTATATAGCGTGATTGAATTTTATTTTGTAAAATATTAAAGAAAACAAATCCTTTATTATTATTATTATTGTTATTTATTCTTTGATTTATTTTAGCTACTTATTATTTCTTTTAATTACTGAAAATTCTAATGATGTTTACTTTGAATCTACCATATTCTAGAAAAGAAAATTTGTTCTAATCTTGTATTATTGGTATCGTTTATACTTACTTATAGTATCGTGTACAGTTGAGTAATTTTTTTAAAAATTTTTGATATGCCTGATATCGTTCCTGTGTATACAATTTCTAATAAATTTGAACAATTTTGGTAAAAAAATTAGTTTGTTGAACATTCTAATTTATATATACTTAATTCTTGTCACTAATCGATAGTTCTTATAGCTTACGATAGCAGACTATATTACCTTTTTAATTTGCGTGGTTACTAACTTGATTGATGTAGTAGGCTTTATTGTTAGTGTAATTTATATAAGTTGTAATAAATTACTAATGTATAACATCTGAATCCAGAGCTTGTTTCTAGTTAGTGTAGCTTTCTTCAATAGAAAGTTTTGTTTTCGGAGGAATATGGTATACATGTTGACAAATCTATGCATACAACCTGTATGAAAACATTAAAGCTCTATTCTTGTTAGTTAGTCCATTTATATCTCTAATAGATCAGTAATGTACGGCTACCGATCAAAATGTTTATAATACGTAGGTGGTGACGATAATTGAACAGGTGGAGTTTAGATTAACTTGTATCTACTATGTAGATAAGTGAAAAACTTTGACTCCTTCAATGCAAAATCATACGATCAGAAGAACTTACCGTAATATACTCATAATTAATAAAGGACTAATTGGAATGTAGTTCTAGCGACACAAGACTAATAAATAGAAGATTGTTTAAATTACTCATTAATTCAACTTTTCTTTCACATTCAATCATAAAACTATTAAAATATCTAGCCATAGATTATCTGGGATAGTTTAATGAGGGTTTGTAATTAGTTACTCCAAACTAATAAATCCTAAATTCTGATCATCATGTACAGCTTACAGAATATTTCTGAAATATATCATTGTTTCAATAATGTTAATTATATTAATGGTTATCTAATCAGTGGAAAATTATTGAGGTGTTTTTACAAAAAAAAACGGTTTGGAAAATTGGTTGACAATTTAAATGCTTTCACTTTTTATTTCATATGCTTACAATTACTATATGTATTTACTTTAATTGATTTAACATTGATAATTGATTTCCCAACGTTAGAAACAATATTTTCGGTGTAATGTTAATGTTTGTATGTGTTTAGTAACTTCAATTTACAATTTCTTCTTTATTAAAGTTAAATATAGTTTAAAGAGTTTGAGTTTTTCGAGCCATTTTTAATACTCTTTACTAATCACTTATTTATTTGTAACTGTTGGAAAAGATATATAACCGAAATAGGGTTGTAGATAAGTGAAATAAAACAATGGGTAGAGGTGAATAATCAATTACCGTTTCGTGATTTTTGTTATTTTGGGTTGAATAAATCAATGATAATGATTATTTCTCATTATTCATGTATATATATTAATTCTTCAAGGGGCACTTCCTTGAAGCGGTAGTTTAGTTGGAGTCTAAAAACTGGTCTTTTAAAGCAAACTATCAATTAAACTGCTCCAATCATATCAATCTTTCTATCAGTTAGTCAATTTATAACAACTACAAATTGATAAAATATGGTCTATAAACTTATTGATCCTAAAGAATAAAAAGATACCTTGTCAATTTTACTAGCTATTCCCAGATTCATTAGAGTATAGTTTCTTTTTCCATAGCATTCTTCAATTTAGTAAAAAATATAAACAAGGAATCATTCGAATTCATTTTAATTATTACTTTAAAATATCGGAATGAAAGTTAGATGACCCTTTGACCTCTGTTGTTAGTGTTATGTTTTTATTCTAACTAAAAATTTTTATATTATATATATATCAAATATTAAGATATAATGATCTCGTAACTTTCTATTCAATTTTTAATGGATGCCTTTCCCAATTCATTTTTCCAGGAATAACCATAATGCAAAAAAATGAGCATTTAATGCTTTAGTTTTGTTGAAACGAATTGATTAAATTTTATGCTATTTTATTGTTTATTTTTTGTCGTATTTAGCTCAAATTATGGTTGTTGTTCATGTGAATCGGATTATGAAGTGGATACAAAAATTATTAGGTATGTTTCAGTGATGATTGTAATGATTATTAACCACACCATTTTTATTGTATATTTTTCTTAAGTAGCAAATGTTTTAATGACTTGATTTTGAAAAACGGGTTTGAATTTGATATTAATCCTCTGTTAATTAATTGATATCAGGTTTTAAATAACTGTAGCTGTTTTTCATTTGAATCGTAGGTGTCTAAGTATAAACTTCAAATTATAATAGTATCTGAGTTCATTATCTATTTATTTAAGATTATCTTTTTATATTCTATACATACGAACTTTTACTCATGAATAGAGGTAATCAAATCACTAGTTGATAGATCTTGAGTCCGAACACTAATCCAGCTAGTAAGATATGACCATATATATATATATATATATATATCAAGAGGGGTTTTGTGGAAATTGTAGTAATTTAAACAGTTGAGATCTTGAGTCAATTGAAGCTAGACCACCATGGAGAACCTGGAAGCACTAGACGGCCGTTTTGTCCTATTGTGGGACTCCTCAGCAGTGCGCATCCACGATCCCTCATCGTGGGATTCAAACCCAGGACCTATCAGTCTTTCGCGCTAATGCTTAACATCTAGACCACTGAGCAGGTCGGCATCCAACGGTGTTAATGTCTAACTTAAACTAATCCACGAAATTGAACGACACATCTACCATTGTCATCAGTGAGTTACTACTTCACAACTGACCCGGTTGAACTCCACTGGTCACTGCTTCTCACTAGAACTCCAGAACATATCTCTTGAAGCCTGTCACTAGTGAGCATGTGTTGATTAGTATCAAAAAGGGTTTTGTGGAGATTGTAGTAATTGAAACAGTCGAGATCATGAGTCAATTGAAGGTAGACCATATATATATATATATATATATATATATATATATATATATATATATATATATATATAATCCTCACAACGTCTTATGCAAACATTACGGAATTTACTAAAAACAAAGGTTTTTTCTAGACTACAAATTCTATTTATTTTTCAATGACTTCAAAAATCCGTTATAATTAACATTTTATACTGTCATATTCTTAACTGAAAATTTACCAGATTTACGGTTTCGAAAATATTATAATTCACGACCTGCTCTCTAAAATTGTATTGCTTCCCTTGTTTAAAAAAAATAAATATTCATTGTTATGTATTTTCAGTTGATCTGAAAAGAATTTATCCAACAAACAAAATAAAATTGAACACTTTTTACAATAATTTAAATCCAGTGTAATAATTGGAAAACTGTTTATGATAAAAAGAAACATAAAATGTACTTCATTGAAATCATGACCACCATTAAACATCTGAATGCGCTGCTGAGGAGCCTTATACTAGAACGAAACGGTCGTCCACTGCTTTCAAGTTTTAGAATGGTTGTCTAACGTTGATCGGTTCATGACCTCAATTAAAAATTCAACAATCTCTACAATCCGAAACTGAAAATATATTTTAGTTAAACGATAGGCTAATGCATCGAGCTTTTTATTTTGAGAAAGAAAAGTTGAGGTTAAACTCATTTCTTTAATATTTGATCCGACTTTTATTATGAAAGTTCATTTTCAATAACAGTAAAATAACTGCATAAGCTACAAATAATCAATGTGTAACACAATTGGTTACGAAAAATCACTCAATGAAGCAGTTTAGTTTCAAAAGATATATTATATTGTATGTCATACTATACTTATCGTTGTCTCTAAAAGATTACTGCCATCCAGTGGCAACACCATATTAGTAATGCAGAGGTTCGGCATCGTGTGCTCAGGCACAGCGACATCACCATCTTGGCATCACCATCTTGAAACATCGACCTCGGTGGCTTGGACATGCCTTACGAATGTCGTCCCAGAGAATTCCACGTCGTGCATTATTTGCCGACTCTGGGACTGGTTGGAAATAGAGGAGAGGTGGTCAGTGTATGACATGATGTCATGGTATGAAAGAAAGCTGCAAAGGGCTAGCTCCTGTTGGTCCTTCACAACTTCATGGTCGTGGTTCAAGAGATGGTGCAACACAGTGGCTAGAGACGCTGTCAGATATGGCTCAGAATAGAAGCCAGTGGCGATCCTGCTGTAACTTTCTTTTACTTCATAAAAAGTGGTTGTATCTTCCTTAACTGGAAAATTCTTCTGGTTGTACTTTTCCGTTTTCCCATTATTATTATTACACTACCTTACACTGTTCTGTGGTCGTTATTGTTCTTTTTTTTCTTATACGCACCTTACCTTCTTTTTCTCTTCCCATTCTCATTGTTCTGTGTGGCGCATATATATTTGGTGCCCCTTTGTACCAATATTTATGTGTTCAAATAAATTAATAAATATTATACTTTCAACAATTACCCTGTAAATCGATTTTACATAATCGTACATTGTATTTTTGACTCTAAAATATTCACATTTTTCCACCTAATTATGTTAATATTATTTGAAAGTTCAAATATCTATTTTCATGATTCAAATCATAAATGTTTCCTTTTTGTTTAAGTATAATTAAAATTTTTAAAATTATTCATGTTATGTAACACTGAATAACATACAATCTATTTAATTCCATTTGTAAAGTTTTTCTTTTTTTTCTATTGGGTTTCAGTTTTGATCAAACTCAAAATTATACCCCAATCGGTGTAAATTATCAGTTAGAAGCTTCAAGTCCTAGTGTTGGTAAACTATCATTAGCTTTAAGGTAATTTATTTTGTGAATATTGTGTTACATAATTTTTTATGAGTGTTTATTAACTATAGAACAATTCTGTATCTGTAGTTTTGTTCAATTTGGGAAAATCGTATTATGAAAACTTAAGTTGATATTTAGTTTTTATTTATTGATTTGAGTCAATGATTTTTAACCATTTGTTAAGAGATTAGGCTTTTGCCTTACTAACATCTCACTCTGTTACTAGCCATACACGTGAAGTGTTTAGAAGATGTATATGGTTCCTTTTCCACAGATCATGTTTCCCAGTTCTAGATTAAAATTAAAATTACTGCTGGGTAATATACTTACTCCCTGGTTCGTAGATGGACATCCAACCTGCTAATCTGTTGGTTGAAGTTAGTTAAAACCACTTAAGCAGAGTAAAGTTTGTAAGTAAGAAGTTTAATTGAGAAGCTTGGCAAATTTAAGTGTGTTAGATTCCTATTATTAGTTGATGTGTGTATTAATTGCCGAATGCAGTATTTACAGTGTTTACAAAAATAAACTTTTTCATATTTAGTCTAATACAATGAGAGAAGCAAATGAGAAATAAGAATATTGGACAGACTGAACAGTTATCATTAAATTCACACGGTATCCATGAGTTGATTAAATTCACTGAACTCAAAATAAGCATGAAATTAACCAATATGTCGCAAGGATAATAGGATGAATAAAACATCATCAGAGTAACTAATGTAAGCGCTTACAACATTATAAGCAAAGATGAATTGTGCCTAGCAGTGGAATCCAGGAGGTGTGTTTCGTCCTATTTGGGACTCCACTTAGCTGCTGGATAACGGGATGGCGTGGTAGATATGTGCATCTGCTGAAACCACACCATGGAGCGATTCATTTTTAAGAAACAATTCATTTAGAAATACGAATTAAAATCATAAAGTCCTTAAGCTCCCTTTTTCTTTTTTGTCTAATTAGCGGTTCGTGCAACAACAAAAAACTTTTGTTCTCCCTTCAAGTAAACTAGACTACTTTACTCCATAAGCTATCCGTTAATTTGTTTGTTTTATAAGAACTTACTTACTTACGCCTGTTACTCCTAACGGAGCATAGGCCGCCGACCAGCATTCTCCAACCCACTCTGTCCTGGGCCTTCTTTTCTAGTTCCATCCAATACTTGTTCATTTTCCTCATGTCTATCTCCATTTCCCGGCGTAATGTGTTCTTTGGTCTTCCTCTTTCCCTTTGGCCTTCAGGATTTTATGTGAGAGCTTGTCTTGTGACGCAGTTGGGTGATTTCCTCAATGTGTGTCCTATCCACTTCCAGCGCTTCTTCCTGATTTCTTCCTCCGCTGGGATCTGGTTTGTTCTCTCCCACAGTAGGTTGTTGCTGATAGTGTCCGGCCAACGGATCCGAAGTATTTTGCGTAGACAACTGTTAATAAACACCCTTATTTTCTGGATGATGGCTTTCGTAGTTCTCCAGGTTTCCGTCCCATACAGTAGAATTGTCTTGAATTTGTATTGAAAATCCTGACCTTGGTGTTGGTTGCTAATTGTTTCGAGTTCCAGATGTTCCTCAGTTGTAAATATGCTGCTCTTGCTTTGCCGATCCGCGCCTTCACATCTGCATCAGATCCATCCTGTTCATCAATAATGCTGCCCAAATACGAAAAGGTTTTAACATCTTCTTAATAGACAGGCCATAACTCAAGAATGGTAAATCGTATAGTAATAGTCTATAGGTCAAATTAAATCTTATAATAAGAGCGACATGAATATGACAATTTAGTTACATAACAACTATACCATAAAATATACCCATAGTATTTGTCCATTAATGGTCCCGAAAGTTACCATTCATTTTTCTTATCTGGATATAACACTATCCGCGCTTGCACATCAGCATCAGATCCACCCTGTTCATCAATGATGCTGCCCAAATACGTAAAGGTTTTTACATCTTCCAAATCTTCTCCGTCAATTGTGATTGGATTGGTGCATTCTGTGTTGTATCGGAGAATCCTGCTTTTCCCTTTGTGTATATTGAGACCTACTGCTGCTGAGGCTGCTGCCACACTGTCGTCTTCTCCTGCATTTGTTGTTGCGTTTGGGATAGAAGGGCCAGATCATCTGCGAAGTCTAGATCGTCCAACTGCATCCTAGATGTCCATTGTATCCCATGCTTCCCTTCAGACGTTGACGTCTTCATGATCCAGTCGATCACCAGGAGAAAGAGAAAGGGTGAGAGTAAGCAACCTTGCCTGACACCGGTCTTTACTTCGAACGACTTTGTCAACTGTCCTCCATGCACGATTTTGCAGTGTAATCCATCATATGAATTCTGTATGATATTGACTATCTTCTGAGGCACGCCGTAGTGTCGAAGAAGTTTCCATAGTGTTGTTCTGTCCACGCTATCAAATGCCTTTTCGTAGTCAATGAAGTTGATGTAGAGTGATGAATTCCATTCAATTGATTGTTCCACAATGATCCGTAGAGTTGCGATTTGGTCTGTACACGATCTATCCTTACGGAATCCTGCCTGTTGGTCACGAAGTTGGGCGTCTACGCAGTCCTTCATCCTGTTTAACAATACCCTGTTGAAGACTTTTCCCGGTATTGAGAGAAGAGTGATGCCCCTGTAGTTATCACACTTGCTGAGATCGCCTTTCTTCGGTATTTTGATCAGAAGTCCTTCTTTCCAGTCTGTTGGTACTTGTTCCTCATCCCAAATCTTATTGAAGAGAATGTGGAGTATCCTTGCAGTTGCCGCTACGTCTGCTTTTAGTGCCTCTGCTGGATGTTGTCCGGTCCTGCTGCTTTGCCACTCTTGATTTGTCTGATGGCCATGCTGATTTCTTCAATTGTTGGTGGGCCAACATTGATTGGGAGGTCCGTGGGTGCTGCTTCGATGTTGGGTGGGTTCAGTGGAGCTGGTCGATTCAAGAGTTCTTTGAAGTGTTCTACCCACCTGTTTTGTTGCTCTTCAATGTTGGTGATTACCTCGCCTTCCTTGCTTTTCACTGGTCGTTCTGGTTTGCGGCGATTTCCAGAGAGTTTCTTTGTCGTGTCATACAGTTGTCTCATGTTTCCTTCTCTTGCAGCCTTTTCCGCCGTCGTTGCTAAATCTTCCACATATTTACGTTTGTCGGTTCTGATGCTCCTCTTCACTTGTTTGTTTACTTCTGTGTATTCAGCTTGTGCCTTGGCTTTTTCTGCTCTTGTTCGACTGGTATTGATTGCTGCCTTCTTGTTCCTTCTTTCTTGAATCTTATCCAGTGTATCAACAGTGATCCATTCCTTGTGATGGTGCTTCTTGTGACCCAGGACCTCATGACATGTTGAAGTGATTGCCTCTTTGATCCCCTTCCAGTTGCTCTCCACAGTAGTTCCTTCTCCATTGAGTAGATCATGAAAGGCCTGGAACTTGTTGCTGAGGACTATCTTGAATTTGTTGAGTTTGTTAGTATCCTGAAGAAAGGCCGTATTGAACTTTTGTGATATTGTCCGCCCCGTTGTCCAGTGCTTCTTGAGTTTCAATTTCATCTTGGCGACCAGCAAGTGATGATCTGATGCTATATCAGCTCCTCTCTTGGTTCTCACGTCCTCTATAGTCCTCCTGAACGTTTTGTTGATGCAAATATGGTCGATTTGGTTTTGTGTAGTGTGATCCGGTGAAGTCCATGTGGTTTTGTGTATGCGTTTATGTGGGAATATGGTGCCGCCTATGACCAGCTTATTGAAGGCACATAGATTTGCAAATCTCTCACCATTTTCGTTTCTTTCTCCCAGTCCGTGTCGTCCCATGATGTCTTCATATCCAGTGTTGTCCGTTCCAACCTTGGCGTTGAAATCTCCCATCAGAATAGTCAGGTCCTTTGTTGGGCACTTCTCGACGATTGACTGCAGCCTATTGTAGAATTGATCTTTAGCGTCTTCATTGTAGTCGTTGGTAGGCGCATAGCATTGGATGATGTTCATTGAAATACCCTCTTTCTTTGTTTTGAAGGAGGCTTTGATGATCCTTGGTCCATGAGATTCCCATCCTATAAGTGCATTTTGCGCTTGTTTGGACAGCATCAATGCAACTCCTTGTGTATGTGAGCCATTTTCTTCTTCATGGCCGGAGTATAACAGGAGCTCTCCTGTAGTTAGTCGTTGTTGTCCAACTTGTGTCCAATGTGTTTCACTGATCCCAAGTACCTCTAGGTTGTATCCCCTCATTTCTGCAGCAATTTGGAAGACTGTCCCAGTCTGCCACATTGTGCGAGCGTTCTGTGTACCTATATAAATGTTTGCTCTGTTTGTCAGAAGGGGCATCGGTCTCGTGACTTCCGAAGGAATTCGGCTTTCATCATGAGGCGTCATAATTCTTCTAAATGAAGACCTTCTGACTCCCAGGGCAGAGTTTATGTAGTTTGAATAATTATTTGGCTATCGTTTTTTTAGCGAGTTGGTTTTCTACGGGATGGGGTCGCTAGCCCCATGCTTAACCCTTTTCCTTTATCGTGGCTTGGAACTGGCAGTAGCCCCCGCCAGGAGTCCAGGCAAAGTTTTGTTTTATAAGAAAATCAAATCGGAAGTTGAATTTATACGAATATTCGTCTAGATTAGAACGAGTAGTTTGACAGAAATTGGGCGCCGAGTGCAGTGAAGCCATTATATGTGAAAATTATATTTGAAATAATCTCAGCGATTGAGATTTAAATAATTAAATTCCAACGTTTCGTCCAGCTAACTTGTCTAGACTTCTTCAGGGCAATAATCAAAATCATCAAAAAAATATATAGCTTTTAAACAATCAAAACTATGCTGTTTTACACCAGTCAAACGAAACGTTGGAATTATTTAAATTTCAATCGCTGAGGTTATTTCAAATATAATTTCCACATATAAAAGTTCAATTGGTTTCATTTTTTTTCAACATCAAAATAATTAGTTAGGTCGATAAATCCCTAATCAAAATTGTTTTGCGAATGATAAATATTAATTCAATAAACAATATATCACATAAGCATGAGTGATAATAATAAAAATGATAAGCTATAGTTCAATTAGTAATATATATTTGTCTTCCTTGATAATTTTAAAATATAAAGCTAACGTATTTGCACTTTATTGATGTAGACAATCTACCAATTCTTCATAAAATTGTACTATATTCTCACAGTAATTAAAAAATGAAAGCGTACATTTAACTGAATTGTGGAATTTTCATTGTTTAACATTACGAAACAGTAACTCTGTAATTCAATTTTTATTGCTTACAAGTTACATTTTCTTCAGTGATACACATTTATTCTTCTTAGAAAAAAAAACTATTAGTTTTTTGATAGTATTAGTAATATTTTAACAATAAAACAAATTTACTCAGTTCATTTGCAGATATCAATGTCAAAGTTGAACTTGATAATTCCAAGTAAATTGAATATTTCTGCGTGTAGAAAAGTTGTATTTCTGACGTTTTGCGACTTAATCTACACTACTTCCTCAAAGTAAATAAATAACCGGAATAAAATTAACACATTTAAATACTACTAAAGAATATTTTTAGTGCAATCCAAATTATAATAAGTCTAAATATGCCCATGTAAAGTTGTCTTTAGTCAAGGTGAATTTGTATGACCTGTCACTGTATTAATTTGTACGTGTGTAAATTGTGTGGGAAATAAATAAGTTCATATATGGTTGTTTAGATAATCCGTTCGGGGTGTATAGAATATTCTGGCTTTCTTTCCTATTAAGGGCAAAAGGATTTAGCATAGCTGTAAAATCCTTTCTGAATTATTGTAATGTTTTTAATATCAATTTCGTGATTGTTATAAATAGCATGTACTGCTATTGTTGATTTAACTTGTAGATTTTCCAATTTTACAGAATTATTAGGGGGTCTTTTTATGTAATTTAAGTGTTTCTTGTCATTAGATAGTCTTCCCGTGAGATCCCAACTTGTATCTTACTTACTTACTTACTTACGCCTGTTACTCCTAATAGAGCATAGGCCGCCGACCAGCATTCTCCAACCCTCTCTGTCCTGGGCCTTCTTTTCTAGTTCCATCCAACTCTTGTTCATTTTTCTCATGTCTGTTTCCATTTCCCGGCGTAATGTATTCTTTGGTCTTCCTCTTTTCCTTTGGCCTTCAGGATTCCATGTGAGAACATATAATTCATTTAGTTGTTGTAATTAAACTAATTTATGCGGTTATTATCACTAATTGACATGATTATAATATTGAATGTTAGCTAATCATAGTTCTGTCAGAAATAAGTTAATTTTAATAAAATTAACTTTTTGAATATTCTGTTAAAATCTATTTACATTCGTTTTGATCATCAATAAGAACAGAACTTTGATTACCATTTTTAATTATCCTAATTTGCATTAGTTTAACATTTAGCGATAGTGATTTTTATGTGAAATTCACAAATGTATAAATTTGATAAATCTATTATACCAGAAGGGGTTTTGTGAAGATTTTAGTAATTTCAATAGTTGAAATTATGAGTCAATTGAAGCTAGACCACCATGGAAAACCCGGAAGCACTGGACGGGCGTTTCGTTCTAGTATGGGACTCCTAGGATGAAACGGCCAACCAGTGCTTCCAGGTTTTCCACGGTGGTTTAGCTTCAGTAACATTTCATTATGATTATTTCTGTGTCCAGTTATTGATTTATTATTTTTTTACTTGGTTATGTTTTTTTATTATTTGGGAGTTTACTTCTTTTTCGGTAGTGCAATTTAAAGTTCGTTTTAATTATTTGTTTATGCCGCACAAAAAGCAGGTCTTCATGGACTCTTCTCTCTCTGTATCTATAATTTATTCCAACCTGACTATCGTTGCTCATTAGCAATTTATTTATCCATGATTATTTTTTTAGTGGATCCTATGGTGTTTAGACATGTGTACTACATTATTTAGTTAGACATATAGAGTTTATCAAATTAGGAGCAAGATATTTAATCACTAGTTATATATAAATCGACCATTACATTACAACTTGGAAATAACTGGGTTTAAGCCGATAATTTGTTACCATGTTCAAGTCCAGAAAACATAGCGGATAAAGTCGCTGAGCGATTTCAGAAGAAGACAAAATAACTCTTCAATACTTCTTCAATAGAATAGTTTACTAAAACGACTCCACTTCCTTAACAGATAGTATTAAGTATTTAAGTGGTTTATCTGTTTTTGTAATTACTGAGCATTTGTTGCATAGTAACAGTAGTCTACGGAACTCTACAGATATAAATGTAAAACCTGATTGATATGTTGTTTAGAACATTTATCTATGTTATGGTTAACTGATGTTTTTTTGACGAGAAGTAAATGTCCGATCACATGAAGTTCTTCCCTTTCGAAAATCTTTTCTTGTATTGACTCTGATCAAATTTGAGATAAAATGAATGTAGAACTGTTTTTTTTAATCGTAAATCAACATATGTTTTTCTTAACTTTGTTTACCCTCCTTTCAACTGTATCATCCAATCTTATCTGCTTGACATACATTGTTATTTTGTTACCAGGGCTAGTGGTAAAATGTTTTTTTTTTTGATATGATATAGTCCATGTTCTTGTTTGCGTTTTTCGTTAATACTTGGTTCAATTATTGTTTTCTCCGTAGGTTGTATTCCTCGAACTTTACCTTATGTAGGGTACTTTCGAAACCAGAAAACCCTAAACATCGGTTTCGTCCTAGTATGTGCGAAGTCGTAACTGCTTGAGTTCAGACATCTCGAGATTGAAACACTTATCTCCAGTGACGTCGGATAGCTGCTGCACTATATAGGAAATTGACTGAAATTTGAATCTTACCACTGGAAAGCAGCTCAGGTTCTCCAAAGGTTTGTTGCGAGACCCGATGACCCTGAGTTTGATCTCGGAAGGGGCCATGGTTGCACACTATTAGAAAGTTTTATACTAGAATAAAACATGTAAAAAATCCCAACTACTATCATTTTATGACGAATGTAGCCTGGAAACTAGATAAATCTTCATAAATGCTTCCAAATAAACCTTTATTTTCCTCATTACAACATGTTTATATGTTTGCTACTAATATTTTCCTTTTTTATTGTATTTTATAGTCGATCAAGCTCCCCAACGCGAACGTTTAATTCTAATGTCTGTTTAAAAGTTATTAGGTAAGTACACATAATTTGTTACTCCATTTGTATTTTTTACTCCTACTCTTATCCCCTTAGTATCATATTAATTATACTAACTTCATTAAAGGCTAAACCTATGTCTATGCATTTCTTATTTTATTTCAGCATTCATGATCTAAAGTTTGCTAAGGTTTTTTACCATGATAGTTTAATTAACTTTAATTTGTCATTTTATAATACTATTTTTGTAATAATGATTGTTTGGAATCTGAATAACTTAAAAATCCTTACCTAGTTAAATCGATAGTACAATGCGTAGTTGACTCAACATACGGTAAACTTTTAATTCGCACAGTTCAGAAGCTTATAATTCCTTTTTGATTGACAAGTAGTTAGTAAAATAATCATAACTCTTTGAGCATTTAATCTTAAAACTGGATCCTCCAGTTATAAGGTTATTTCCTAAATTTTTCTCATTATGTTCACCATTTAATCTTAACCTTCTTTCTCGTTGTTTTTACATTTTTCATCTTTTATTTGTTCCTTCGTCTATATTTTACAGTCCAGAATCAGTTAAAAATGATTTTCGTGCATCTGCTCAGGCAGCAGTCGCGCAACACTTGCCTCCCGGTGAACATCCTGCAGATTTACACTTTGTGGATCTTACTCCAATTCCAGTCACATCTTCAGTAAGATCTTCCAATATTTCACCCAATTGTATGACTGTTTCAACTAATAGTACTACTACCACTACTACCACCAGCTTACTCAGTGCTACATTGGATCATTTTAAAGCGGAAACTTCAATGAAACTCCCACAAGATACTTCAGTGTCCACAGTTTTTTCTACTTCTACTGAAACGTCTTCACGTATCCTGAATAATCGATCAGCTATGGCTCGTGATAGTTTTCGTCAATCTGGCGACCATAGCAGGTCAATTCCAAGTACTGTTGAAACAACTTCTTTAAATCGACTTGATACTGATTTTCTACGAGAAAAGCAAGCCTCTACTGCAGTAGATAATGCTGATCTTGACAGGGATTTAATTACTCAGAAACAAGGTAAGAACTTAATAGACGAAATAACATGTTAAACTGCGCTGTTCTTACTACCTTATGAAGAAATTCAAGTTTACTATTTTGTTGTAGCTTGAAATGTCAATGATCAGGCTGGTAATCATATTAACAGAGTTGTTGTTTTCTGTTCACAAATGTTAGTCTTTAAGTGAGCATTAACCTTAACTAACTCGTTCATCTCTTAAGATTTTACTTTCCGTGCATAATACAATCAGCTGCGCTTTTACATTGTTATTAAAGGAGTTTTAACGGGTAGCTCTTATATAGGGTGATGAAACTGAATGATTAGTGGAAAAATATTAATTAGAACAGTATTGTCAATATGCTAAATAAATAATATTGAACAGTTGAAAATACCACTGACTACATTTATTAATCAACGTGTAATTCGTGGGTTATATTGACATGTCGAATAAGGTGTTGTATGGCAGTTAGATAATTTGACTTACAACAACAGATTGTTAGTTTAATCTTCATTCATTTATTTTAGTTTGGACAGCTGTCAGGCACTACTAAATCTAACATATAAAATGTTTCACCAAAAATGGGTACATAATTCGGTAGTCGGTAAAATGAGTTACGTGAACATTTTATAAAAAGAAATAAAATATATTTAAAATGTATAAAGTGACATTGACTTCATTCGGTAATGCTTTCACTGCTTATTTATTCACAATGAAATTCGTTTCGATGTCCTACAACAAGGGAAGTGAACCAAATTTTTGATTTGATAAACAAACTAAAAAACTTATTTAGTGTGACAATATTAGTTTATTATAACATACTTTTTTAATTTGAAAGTGGAAGTTTTATGTTGGTCTGTCGCAGGTAACTAACAACAAACGTATAAGTTTGGCGTTAGCTGAAGCTCTTAACTAAAGCTTTTCTGTTATCTTAAAGAAACGAGTGCTCTTCATGGGATATAAAATTGCATAATGCTATGTCATTACTAAGAAACATTACAAATGAGCATTTTAGACAGCAACTTACATCCTATCGAGTTTTGTATGTGTACTAGTGCATTTCTGAGTTGTAGTTGATTTAATGCTGAACTAGCCTTTAGAGCTGATTAAGTCCTTCCACACAGATTACAACCTAATCATTGGTCTAAATGATTCGAGATATTGTGCACTATGTTTAATGTAGGCTTATTGAAATGTAATCAGAAGTAAACCCTGCACTTGGTTGGTGAGAACAAATCCGTTTTTTAATCATTCCCTCTAAGTACGGAGAAATTAAAACTAACAAAAGCAAAAACTGTGTCAAAATTTGTATGTTTTGTGGAATATTGCTTGTACAACTTTCATCCTTTTCTTATTTAAATAAGTCGTTGCCATTTTGAGCAAGAATCATTCAATGAATTCCTTTTATTTAAAATTAATTGATATATTTAGTTTCCTTTATTTTCCATGTATAACATCAGTGCACCATACAGGGTATATGGAAGATATCTTATTTGAGATATTATATAGACATATAAGTAAATGTTTTGCTTACCTTTTTCATATAATTGTTTATATGAAATAATTATATCTTCAGAATTAATGCCAAAAATGCCTAGAGATCCAACTAGAAGTCAAATATCCACCGTTACTACTACTACTACTGCTGCTTATGCACCTACTTCAAATGCAAGTGTAAATTTTCAAAGTTTATGGGATCAAAAATCAGCTTTCAAACCTGTTATACGTTCGTTAGAAGCTGCTAAAGTAAGTAAGCCGTTTTTTCTCAGGTTGACCTAAATGCTTTACAACATATTCAAATCTACATCAGTTAGAATCATAGTTCAACGATACTAAAACTTCGACAATTTATTGCATTTAATTATAGATACTAGCTTTTGCAATAATTAATGTTATTATTTTTTGAAATTTGGAAGAAATTGTTTCATTTCTGTCTATCGCTTTTTATAAATGTATTACATGCTTAAATCATTTGGTTTGTGTGCAGAATAGTAGACAATAGGTATAATTACTGACAAATTAAATAATTTATTTATACTTTAGAGTTACTTTTGATCTAGGTGTTTGAGATAACATGTTGACTGTAAAGAACTCTTTTATAATGAGATGCTCAGTTAACTGTGATATGTACTTCGAATTAGAATATTCACTATCTTTAAATGATGTCTATTATCTTGCTAACCTCAGTTACCGGGCAGGAAATAGGTGATTAAAATTAATATTCAATAACTTATTTTAGGGATGTCATTGTTTTCTATTTTGATAACTTTTTTTCTGTATTATCTTTCCCACTATACCTTGATGTTAAAATATCCGGGCGCCGATGACTTTCAAGATGTTATTCACATTTTAAATATTTCCTCCTATACACGTCCAACCAAATTAATTTGAACATCATAAAATATTCAGGATACACATAAACTAGACGGTTCAAAGCTGTTACATCCTAATTTCATCTCAGTGAGCTAATTTTCAATTAAGCAAATAGAGTAGATGCATATATATGTACCCCATTTCTACTTTGCATATGACTAACTAGGACAAAATATATTTTACACATTTAAATAATTTTTATTCAGAGACTATTATATTATCACTTGAATTAATTTGAGACATATGGTTAAATAATTCACTTGGTATTGTTTTAGTTGAATCTTTCCATTGATGTTTTAGGACTGAAATTGATCAGTCTCTTATCGGCATATGTGCATACTGTGCGTATGCTTCGATATTGCCTTAATTTACAAGCATTATAAGCAAAGATGGATAGTGGCTAGCAGTGGAATCCAGGATGCGCGTTTCGTCCTGTTTGGGCTCGTCAGCTGGATGTACCTCTGGATGTACTCTGGGACTCGAACTCAGTAAAGTTCGCTTCAAACTCCATCGCGTTATCCACTACTAGCCACTATCCATCTTTGCTTATATGGTTAAATAGCATCATTTTTACTTATACCACTGGTACAGTTAAACTTACTATCTGAATCTTCTTTAAGAGTTGTATTTCTCTCTTATTCTCTGATAATATATATACATAATCAATAAACAAACTTTTTTCTTCAATAAACTTATTTATCATTTTATTTATTTCCTGTTTACTTTTTGTATATTTTTCCTTTTTTTTTGTTTTTCTTGAAGGATCGATTTTTCTCAAACAACACATTATTTCCAACATTTTCACAAGTAAAACAAACAGTAGGACAATCTAATGACAAAACCAGAATACCAATAAATAATACTGATAAAAAGAATGAAAATATTTCTAGTTCAATGAGATTTATTCCAAATGATTCGAATAATAATAAAGATACTTCAAAGATTATTATATCGAGTTCTGAGTTTTCAGCTTTAGTTCCACCACCACATCCATCGAAATCATTCAAGTTTTCTAGTTCAGATTTGGATATATCTAATGTTAAGAGTATAAATTCTGAATTTAAAAATTATGACTTCTCTACTCCTGTAAATGAGTTGAATGATAAACCTTTGCCAATTAAAGACGTTTCTGATAAATTACCATCATCTACAGTCATCACCAATAGTACATCAATTATTACGTCTACAAAAACTGGAATATATGTCGATCATGAAGAATTAAACAAAACTAGTTTAACAAATAATTATTTATCATCTCAAGTTTACGAATTGAACAAAACGTTAGAATCGCCCTATGCTATAGATAATAACCAGAATTTGAATGATCCTTCGGTAAATGTATCGAAATCAAATTACTATTGTGATATTTCCTGTCCTTCATCCCCTAAAATAGTTAAAAGTTACTTAGACGATATTCCATCGAAAAATGAAAGTCAGTCTACATTTAGTGCTGAAGAACATCTTAAAGAATTGAGAATCAGAGCAGGATTAGGACCTATACCAGGATATGAATCTGTGACTTTACGAAATGCATCTTATAATACTTCTTCTGCAATGTCTTCTCATCTTAACTTTGGAACTAATGTACCTAAACCTACTTATTCTGTAAATGTAAACTCATTTATTCCAAAAATTCAAAGTTCCAGTACATCCACACCATCTATACCATCTTTATTATCAAACATAAAATCAGGTTTTACCGGACCACTAAGTAGGCCACACCCACAATCATCACCATACTCAGCAAACCAAGCATCAACTACAAACAAACCATCAGGATCAAGTCTATTTTCTAACTTTTTAACATCTGCTGCTTCAAAAGCTCAAACAGTTGCCACAGGTGCCTTGAAACAAGCTAATGCTGCTGCGGATGCTGCAAAATTGGCTGCTAATCAAGCTGCTGAACAATTTGTAGCTCAAGCTAATCAAGTTAATCAAAAAACTACCAGTCAAATGCAACAACAACAATCACAACTAAAGGAATCGGTTCAACTATCAAGTAGTCAAAATAAAGTCATCACCATGAACAATATTCCAGAATCCATAAGGTTTCCAGATGATACCACGATAAAAGCTAAGTCAGGCAGTCCTCCATTAAAACCAAGAGAGCAAAAAGGACACACTTTGCAAGGAGTTCATGCAAATTCTCATGAGTATCAACAAGAAGATCAGCCAGTACAACAACAGCGTCATTGGTTACATGAACAAACTCAAGATGTTACTACAGATGATGAATATGATGATGCAGAATATGGTAATGAACAGACATCTTATAAATCATATCATCAACGAAAAGATTTTGAATATGGTGATAATTATAGATCAAATATAAATGAATATGATCTTGATAATGAAAATGAATTGTACGATGATAATCCGGAACAACATATGTTGGAACAACCGTCTGGTTTTGGTTATAAACACCAGTTTGATGAAAGTCATTACAATTACAATGATAATGTAAATAATTATGATGTAGATGGAATCAATTCATCGGATTTATCTGATCCAGATACCTTACGTGCTTTGAGAAAACGTGATAAAATGATGATGGTTGCAGCAACGGGAATTTATTCACCTATATTCAATAGATCAGGTCAACCGGGTTACTTTGATGATTTAAACGATATAGAATATCAGGACGATGATGGTGAAATAGAAAAACAGTTGAGGAAAGAAAACAGTAGACTTAGTAAAAGTAAGCTCTTAAAAAATGCAGAATCTAATATGATTTATGTATAGAAATGTAGACTACTTGGTTAAGCTATTCATGATAAACAAAATCGATTGTTGAAGGTCTTAGGTATCATCACTCACAATCTATTACGGTATTTCAAATGTATTTATTTGCTACCTTCCTTCAAATCTTGCACCTCAGCACTATTTCATTACGTTCTGTGACAAGCTTCCTCTGTTATTTGAAACATTTATTACATTTCTTGTAAAATCTCAGCTAAAGAATTTGAAGTAAATCCAACGTTTTGCCTGGCAATGTGGTCCAAGCTTTCAAGTTCGTTCGCTGAGATTTTACAAATACATTCTTCCTCTTTAATTTATTACGTTTCTTGTTAACTTTTTCTGATTATTCTGATGTTTCATGATAACTTAGGTAAATGCACACCTATACCAGATCCTAATTTACTAACGACTAATTAATCCTTAAATCCCATCCTTCAAGTTACAATTTCAATATGAATATCGTGTTGTTTTATTCCAGTTCACTTATTTGACAGTCACTTAGATTATGGTCTATTGCATAGTAAATGAATAAATGTACCTTAGTGCAGTTTTAATATATTATTCTAGAGCTCTTTTTGTCAATACTTATTGTTATACAGTCAGTCAGTCAGTCAGTCAGTCAGTCAGTCAGTCAGTCAGTCAGTCAGTCAGTCAGTCAGTCAGTCAGTCAGTCAGTCAGTCAGTCAGTCAGTCAGTCAGTCAGTCAGTCAGCTACAACGTAGGACCAGGCACATACATGCATCGGCCCAGGTTGCCATACCTCATTAGCACAGCAAGATGAACACCGGATTCATAGGAGTGGTTAGGTCAAAGGTGGTAATATATAGGAGAAAGATTGCAATAAGGATATAGTTCAGGAAGAAAGAATTAGTTCGTAGAAAGAAAGATATGAAGCGATTTTAATCTCTTAGTTTAAGAGAAGACAGAGTGTATACACCTACGCCATTGTGATCGATTCTGAGCCATGTCACCAAGAGTCTCCAATCATTGGTTACGATAGTCACGCGGACCCCAACCAAGTAGTCTGCATCTACCAACATGGCTCAGACTAGAAGTTAGTGACTTCAGGCACTGATGCCACGTATTCATATTGTTATACCATAACTAGTGATTGAAAGGATGTAACAATTAATCGATATTAAATTACAAGATCTCAATGACACTTTTACTCTGCTAGATTTTCAGTGATATACTGGTGTTTAAAGATTAAATACCTACACAGAACAGACATATCAGGGCATTACGACTAGAGTTTAACTTCGTAAAAACAACGAGAAAAACTCTTCCACTGTTCATAACAGTGAACGGATATGACATAAATGGTTTCATATTTATACTTATGATGAAACTTTTTATTAGCTTCCCATAATATTTTTAAAACTTAGCTATGAATATCTTTTATTTTGTGAATCAGACTACTTTTATCATATGATTTATGGTAGGCAGTCGAATTGAAGACTGGCGTTTCGTCTTTGTTGAGACTCATCAGCCGGATATAGTTGTATCCCGGCGCTGATATTTTCGCTAACATAAAACAGGCTTTTTGTATCGCATTGCTATCTACATGCAAATTATCGTAAAACTAGTAACATAGCTCTACATATGGGTAATCCGCTCATGATGTATATATGACGACAGAGGCTGATTTATTTCAGTCCTAAATGTTTACAACAGGAAATTACAAACCCTCACGTGTACCTTTAAAGTTCTTGCTAGTTTTTTCTAACCTCCTTCAACTTCAAAGATATGAGTCCCGTCATTCGATAAAGTCAGTCAGTCAGCTACAACGTAGGACCAGGCACATACATGCATCGGTCCAAGTTGCCATACCTCATTAACACAACAAGATGGACACCGGATTCATAAAAGTAGTTAATTCAGAGGTGGTAATATATAAAGAAAGATTGCATATAAGTATATAGTACAGGAAGAAAGAATTAGTTCGTAGAAAGAAAGATATGAAGCGATTTTAATCTCTTAGTTTAAGAGAAGACAGAGTGTATACACCTACGCCATTGTGATCGATTCTGAGCCATGTCACCAAGAGTCTCCAATCATTGGTTACGATAGTCACGCGGACCCCAACCAAGTAGTCTGCATCTACCAACATGGCTCAGACTAGAAGTTAGTGTCTTCAAGCACTGATGCCACGTTTTGGTTTGGCCGCCCCTAATTCTCTTCCAACCATCTCTAACACCCGTTAGCATTGCACGACGTGGTAATCGGTGTTCAGGCATACGTAACACGATGAAGATTCACAACCTCATCAACTGATTTACCATCATTACCTAATACCCTGCGTCTAACCTCACTATTACTTACCCGGTGATCCCAACACATGCGAGCAATATTTCTAAAGCATCTGTGGTCGAATACTAGTAGCTTACGAGTATCTTCTACTCTTAATGGCCATGTTTCGCTGCCGTAAACTAGAACAGAACGAACTGCCGCGCAGTATACTCGTCCTTTTATTGATAGACGGATATCTCGCCTTCGCCATAGGTGACGTAAGTTGGCAAAAGCCAAACGAGCTTTTCGAATCCGTGCAGAGATTTCGTCAGACACCAATCCATTATGGCTGATCAGACTTCCAAGATGAGTGAAGTTGTCAAAGCGTTCGACTACCTCACTCCCTGTCCTTAGTTCAGGTGTTGACGCAGATCAGTCTTGAAGCAGCAGCTTGCATTTCGAGGGAGAGAAGCGCATTCCAAACATTCTGGCATTGTTACTCAGTGCTACCAAAAGACTCTGCATTTTGTCAGCGTCTTCACCAAACAGGACTATGTCATCTGCGTATTCTAAGTCGATAAGTGGACCTCCTGGATGGAGATCAATACCCGAGAATTCAGTAGACGAGAATGTTATTCCCATCAATAGGTCTATGATGAAGTTAAACAAAAATGGAGAAAGTGGACAGCCTTGACGGACACCACTTGAGGTTGCAAAAGCAGATGACAGTTCGCCATAAGCTCTGACTCGACTAGTAGTGTTCGAGTAAAGAGCCTTCAATGACAGACACTGCCACAGAATCTCGCGGTCTACCGAGTCAAATGCTGCTTGATTTTCTCGTGTTTGCAGTTCACGAGTCTTAGTTAGGCGTCTGATAATTATCGAAGCTAGTATTTTAGATATTATATTAGTTAAACTAATCCCTCTGTGGTTGTCACAAGATGATTTTAACCCTCTCTTATATATTGGGACGATAAGCGATTGTGACCAGTTAGGTGGAATAACGTCTAACTCCCAGATCTTAGCTAAAATATTAGTCAACCTAATCTCTAAAATTGGACCACCATCCTTAAAGACCTCTGGAGCCAATCCATCTGGACCAGCTGCCCTTCCCCGTTTCAGATTAACTATAGCCTTTTGAACTTCTGCAAGAGTTGGGGGACCTACTTCAATGTTCCATTCACACTGTCTTGGAATGGTGGGTAGTTGTAGAGTAGCTGAAGGCCAGTTGAACTGTTCTCTGAAATGTTCCTCCCATCGTTCTAAACGTCTGGACTGAGAGCGGATGAGGGTGTCGTCTTTTTCCGAAATAGTCATTTGGGAAAAATCGTGAAACAAATAGCTAGATTTGAATAGGTAGGAATATGACAAGATATAAATAAAAATATGCAAAATTATATTTCTTTAAAATAAAAAAATGAACTAAGCAATAATGAATGAAGAGAAACCTGTTTGGTAGTAACATATGTTCAACTTTTGAAGAATATTAAAGCAAGAGATAATTTTGATCACTTATTGATAAAAAAATAGAGAAACTTTGAAAGTCATTGAATACTAGCAAATATACCGCTCTAACTTGATTCATCCCTTCAATATGCACTCACAATTTCAGTAAGAAATTGAACCTAGAATTTCAAGTATCACAGTGAAGTCGATAACTTTAGATCAATGGGTCAGTAATTAAAACTTAGTTCACTACATCGTCCGATCATTATCCGGTATCACTAGTGTCATCTCTCTCACTCTTATATTGCTTGGAATCTCTCACTCTTACAAAACTTTTAAATAAAACACAAAGTTGAATTGAACAAACAATTGTATATTGTTGTTTAGACCGTTAGTTTAAGAGATATTGTAATTTGTTAAATGGAATCATTCAATACAAAACGTACGGTTTGAGTTCTGTTGGGTTTTCCTGTTTCCTAATAACAATTTATCTGTATATACATTATATACTAATTGAAGAAAAAGTAGGTTGAAAGGGATTAGATAAAAAGAAACAGATCTATTTAAATAATCAACATTACTAAAGAAAATGATTCATCTGTTGATAGAATATAAATCTATGTCTAAATTGTGTAAATTAAAACCAAATTTAGTATAATTGAACATGCCCCAGCTTATCCCGTTTTTTTTAATTTCTTCATTTAATTAATTTTTAGAAATAGTCTCTCGTTGTTACTTGACCCCTAGTATAACATTAATTTTGTTTAATAATAGAAACAGAGTTCGTTTAATAATGATAACTGTATTGTGTTTATGTATTTCCTATTCATAGTTACAATTGTTTATCTAATCCAATAGACTATTTATTTTCAATCATTCTTATGTTTCATTCAACTGTCAAAAACAAACATATAATATTTGATGAAATTTGACATTTCATACAATTTATTCTCTCTTTAAATTCCCTCCTTTACTACAACCTAACATTACTACGTCATTCTATATGAGTTTTAGATTTCTTTTGTATATTTTATATGAGGAGAAGTAACTATTTGAATCTTTGATCATAAGATTTTCAATAGTTTTCTTTTTCAACAGTTGAGATCATGAGTCAATTGAAGCTAGATCACCATGGAAAACCTGGAAGCACTGGACGGCCGTTTCGTCCTATTGTGAGACTCCTCGGCAATGCGCATTAACGACCCGTCTCGCGGGGTTTGAACCCAGGACCTATCAGTTTTTTTTGAATTTCTAAATGTGTTTAAATTTCTCATAACACATTAGTAGTAGTCCTGTTGGTTATAGCCTTAAACAATAATAGCTCGAGTCATGTATAAAACATGGTAAATATTTTGATGCTGATCTCATTAGTATTATTATCAAATGACTAAATAGTTTTTATTTACAACTGTTACTGAACATCTGTTCATGATAATGATAATAATGATAATAAAACCGATACATTAGATGATAGAATATTTGTTAAAAACAAATAATGACTTGTTTGCAGTAATAGCGTTTTTATTTTATAGTTATCATTGGTTTTGTTGTGCCGGAAAAACAAAAACGCTGAACATTTACACTCCGAACGAGAGACCACGGCAATTCCCGCGATACGAAAGTAAGAACACAAGACTGGTATAAGTGAAGATTTATTAGTCCCAAACACTATGACAACAACGAATCGAATATAGTCTAAAATACACTGGTTTATATGTTGATTGTACACCTATTTTGATTAATAATTAGGATTAGATCACATACTCAGTTATAACAAATCACTTACTGAGCATAGTTCATGTCAAGTGAATGCATGAATATCGTATATTATACAGAAAATATACTGGAAAAACAATCAAATACTACACTGAATGATCCTCATGTTGAGTCAAAATGAATGTAATATTGAATAAAACTGATAATGAGTAATTCATTCGAAAATTGACTTTTCTTTCCATCATATCAAGCAATAATTAATCTACTGGGTATAACTTGGGTCCTAACAGGTTTATTTTATGGATGCAAGCTGTTTATGAATACAAAAAACTTTTTTTTTGTTCTTCTTAAACATCTAGCACATAAAGCTTCAGAGTTTGAAAATCTTGAAACCATTGAGCAAGAATATAACGATCAAAATGATAGATCAATTCGGGAACATATAAATCAAGATTCCCAACTTGAAACAAATGCAGAAAATAAGTAAGTAGTTTGTTATTGTTTTCATTTTTGCTATTATTTCATGATTTGTTAAAGGGATTAAATAATATGTTGTAGTGTATGAATGTGTTTTTGTGATCCTTTAGTACATGAAACTTCCAGATAACTACTTATATATGACATGTGTCAGTTACACATAACACTGTCTTAATCAATTTTGAGAATCAAATCTACAGTGCATTCGTTTATTTTACTTAGCTCTCTCCTTGGCATCCTAGCTAGTATCCTGAATTCATGATGACTGATTTAGGATGAAGTATTTCAACATAATGAACAAGCACCATTACAAAAGTTTAATACAGTCCTCCTTTGAGAAATTAGCAAGTTCAGGGAGTTCAAGATAGCCATTATCAACAAGTCCCAAGTCTTACATGATCTTCTGGAAGAGGGAGCTACCATGAGGAACAACTGGTAAGGGATTGAGGAAGCAATAACTTTCATTTTCAAGAAAGCGCTAGTCTTCAAGAAGCACCAGCACAAATAATGGGTCACTGTAAACAATCTGGGTACGATATAGGAACAGAAATACAAGACAAAAACAGTCAACAATAGCCGAACAATCTGCAAGCGTGGAAAATATAAAAGAATTATATGATGCATCCAAGAGGCTACCAGGAAAATATAACAAACTAGAGCGAATAGTCGAGAAAAAAAAGGTAAATCAATCACTTAGATGCAAGAGCAGCGGAACAGCTAGATAGATGACCTTGAAGAGTTCTTGAGTGGACAAATACCACTGGAACCACTGGACATAGAAGCAGTACTCACAGACTTCCCTAAAGACGTTATTGCATCAACAATAGAAGAAATCAGCAATCCCGTCAAACAAACCAATAATTATAAAGCGATCACATTAGGCAACACGCCGAGTGAGGTGGTGAAGTCAGACAAAGGAGTGGATATAAAGATGTTCCACATCGTCTTTAGAAATTTTTAAACGATAAGGTATCAACAGATTAGAAAAAGTGATACAGAAAGGAGAAGATATTGGTAAGTGTGAGCAATCAGTTGGATGGAATCCATTACTACATATCAATTTCTTTGATTATGAATAAGAAATCACCAACTTGGGTATAAAAACACTGAAGAATTTCCTTAGACGTTGAGGAGTAATTACAATCTTCAGTCATGCGGAGGACTGCTTTGCAAGGTTGTGCATGTAAGGCTGCTTAAACATGCATTCAAAGTAAAGACTGGTGTCAGACAAAGCTTCCTATTATTGTCTTCTCTCTTTATGCTGGCTGCAAACAGTGTCACGTTAGCCTTTACATCTCAGGGAAAGCACGGAATATAGTGGATATCTTGAACACAGCTGAATGAACATCACTTTACGCTTAAATTAAGCTTAAGTAATTAGGTAAGTATTCCAACACAAACCTATGTATCTATTACTTTAATGGCTACACTACAATTCTTCCCCGCATAACTAACCTGTATATTCTCGTACAAAATTCTTTCTGCTAGTTAGAATTAAAGTACACTGATGAGTTGTTGTTTCTTTCTAAAGAAATGATAATTATTCTATTCTCTTTTGCTTTTTTGATTGAAAACCCGGTGTTCTGGGAAGTGATCTTAACATTGGACAGATTTTGAATAATATAATTTTCTTATATAACGAAAGTTGGTTCCAAACTCTCGTTTTCTTACAATTATTTCATTATGGTCATGCTCAGCCTGACTCATAATGTTTATGACTAGGTCGCAAGAGTTTAATAGGCCTTAAATCATTGATCTAAGCTTTGTATTAAAATCCATGTCAGTTTTCTCGGGTGGCAAAGATTTTACTTATGAGAGCTTAGAGCCATGGAATGGTATTGCTTAAAAATGACTACTGGGAACAAATTGTATTCATTTGTCTTCAAATCCCAGGAATTTTATTCATCATTTGTTTTGTGAATATATTTGAATGTGGAATATTTCATTTCCTTAGTATTTATGTATGCTTAAATGTCTCTGTAATTTTATGATGAGCGTTATAATGTAACAGATTTTTCAAGATGTATTGCATAATTTTTCTGAGTGACTTTCATGTTAAAGTTTTACTTTCTCTTACACAGTATTTATCGTAAACCTCGACGAAGTTCAGATGGTAAAATTCTCCAGTCATTACAGTTATCGTCGACTGATGCTGACAATGATTTTGATAGAGTAAAGCTTTTATCAAAACGTCGAATATCTTTTGAAGGAGCACGTCGAACGTCAAGTGACTGGCATCGATTTACTCCAAATCTACAAACATTAGATATTCAAGAAATGGATGATAATGAAGAGGAATGGTCTGATGCAAAACAATTTGCAGAATATGATCATGACTACCCTCATCATTATTCTCAATCTCCAGTTCACAAGGATGAGACTATCAAAAAGGAGGGAATCGAACATGATGAGATCATGGAACCTGTAGGAAAGACTCCGCGTCAAAGATGGTACGATGCCTTTGAGCGAGTGTGTAGTGGTTTACGTACAGTAAGTTGTTGTTTAGACTAAAACTTGATTACTAGACCTAATAAGGCTCTGAGCTTAACGAAACACCTATAGCTTGAATTAAGTTTTAATAACAAGAATAATTTATAAAATATGGATCATTCTTGATACTCTGTGAATCTTTATTCAACTGACAATTACCGAAATGCCATAAGAAAATATTTACCGTTATTATGGTCAAATTCATAACTTGTAATATCTTTCCCGAATATTTAAAAGTCAGTGAATACGGGAACATAAACATTGATGATAGCAAAGTTTAAGAAGTTTACGATCTGACAAAGTTACTAGTGTGGTGTTACAGAAGATAGACTATTTTTTAAAGTTATATATATGAATATTCCGGGCGGATGCTTCGATTTAGTTTGACTTCCAAATCAACTCTTTGAATGTACACCATAGTCGGTGTGAGACCTACAGAGCGATAAGTCCTCAACTAGGCTAAAAAAGTTATTTATTTCCCCCTGACTGAATAATTATTATATATATATATATATATATATATATATATATATCTGACCTACAATCAACCCATCCTACAATATCTTTAATACTTCTGAAGCTTCACTATTTTACTATGACCTTCGGTAACACTTAAAGTCCATTACTATTTTAACACATTTTTAATATGTTTACGTAAATAATCATTTGTACATTATGTCCATACATTAAAATTCATTACCATTGTTGTTGACTTTCTTCTTGTTAATTTGAATTGTAGGAAGGAGGTTTGTTTTCTGTTATCTCGTAAGTTTTTCTGTTGCTATTCTTTTTTTAATGGTATAGGTGATTTTTTTATGTATGAATCAATTTCGTATAGAAGTTGTACTTTTATTGTTATTATAATTGTCTGTTGTTTTTTAAAAAAATAATGTTTCCATTTCGTGACAAATGTGATAATATACTACGAAACATGATACCAACCATTAGATTCATAAACGTTGGTTTTTAATTCCTTATGCAACAATTACAAGTAACATTATTAATGAAGAATGTATTTATGAAATCTCAGCGAGTGAATTTTGAAGTAAATTCAATGTTTCGCCTGGCAATCTGGTTCAAGCTTTTTCAAGGAAACGTTGGATTTACTTCAAAATTCATTCGCTGAGATTTTATAAATACATTCTTCCTCTTTAATGTCTCACATTAACTCGGTGCCCAAATACTGTGGAATTATTCAATTACGCTTACTTATGAGAAACGGTGCTTTCAATGTGGTATGATCGCCGACAAAACTCTCTGCGCCGGGAGTCAAACTCGAGCCGCCTGGTTGAAAGCCAGGAATCCTAAATGCTAATCACTTTTTCATTGAAAATCACTGATAATTTTAGTTTGTCCAATTAAATTAACAACTTGTCAAAAATTACTAATTTCACTAATGTCTTCTCATCAAATTTCTGTAATTGAGAAATGAAATACATTGGATTTGAAATCAGTAATCGAAATAAAACATTAAATTTTTAAGTAATGGTTTTTGAACGATTCTCTAACTGTAAGGAAATAAAACTTTAGTTTCTAAAATTTTTCAAGTTTCCACCATGCACTAAAATGAATATTAGTCTATTTGCTTTAAAAAAAAACTGGTTGCATTGCTGACGCTTTCATTTATTGCAGTTTGACAGTAGAATTGTATTTCTAAGATGCTAATAGGCACAATTACTTTACTATTATCAATGGATATGACTGTACAGTTTTCAAAAATGTTATCATCGTAAAGAAAAATTTCTTTGCTGAAACGTCCTCATATATTATCATTCTTTTTCTTCAGATGCATTCTAAATATTTTACCAAGAATTCAGTTATTCACATCATTTTTTTATATTTATGATTTATATATTACTTGTTTTCATCTGTTCTATTTCATCTCTTTTCTCTAGACCGAATTCTGATGATCTACATTCTTCATTCTATACAAATATTGACAGTATGCCAGATATTCGTTTAAAAAAGAAACCGAAATCATTGGTTAGCGATTTGGTAAGTGTATATGTACGTGTGTATATTCTTTGAAATTTGCATAACATACCGAAATATAAAGCTATATCAATAAGAAATATATTCTTCCTTTTTATTACTATTATTAGTAGTATAACTAAAACATAACATAGAGAGGATTGGAGAAATTTTCCATACATAAAGATTTGGGAAAATTAAAACATCCACAGTGCTAAACTGTTGCAGTGTCTATTGATAAGATTACTTATTTTATCTTGGTTAGAAGCAATCCTTAGAAAGCCCTAGACCTTATTTTGTGCTTGTTGGAGCTTGTTATCAAGGAGTACTTGTGGGTGGATCAGTCCTAGCTAATTACAATATTTTATGTTCATTCCTTCTAATCATCCTACACCAAAATATGGTGGATGTGATGTTAAGTGTCAGTGTTCCAACCGATTACTATTCGGTGATCAGTCAATATCAAGTTATACTTTACATAGCCTTGGAATTTATGGCAGATAATAATTGTAATAATTGTTTCGTCCTGTTTGGGACTCCTCAGCTGGATGTACCTGTATCTCAGAGTTGACCTTCACTCTTGGAATCGAACCCAGTACCATTCGCTTTAAACGCCATCGCATTATCTACCTAGTTACTGAGTGCTGATAGCCGCCTGCTTGTGCAATGGGGTGAATTTTGAAATTCACTTGGTGTTGTGTACTTGTATCTTCCCATCGTTATTTAGGACCGTGATTGGTCAGTCTCTTATTGGCTTATGTGAATTCTGTGTAAACTGCTTGTGAATTAAGGGAATATCGAGACAGTTTCACAGGATGCACATAAGCCAATTGCAGTCCTAAATAAAAACGGAAAGACACAAGCAAACAATATCATGCGAATTTTGATTTCTCACTCTGTTATCAAGTTCTGTCTAATATATTAGATGATAATGTTAAACCTTCTGTGAAGATTTTCCTATCAAGAATAAATAGCATCTGTTGATTATGTGAACAAATTATTTATTTTAATTGTCATTTCTAAACATCGTCGTACCAAACTTAGTGTACGCACAAATCTTTAAACCTTATCATGCATAATGGAATGATAAATACGTTTTCGCTAGCGAAAGATGAACATCTAAACCACTGAGTTGACATTCAACGCAATTAATGTTTAATTTCAATCAATCCAGAACATTCCGTTGTCTTCGGTGGTTAACTGTGTCACATCAAACGTAGGTGTTCATTATCTAATGTAATGCTTTTTTCCTTATTATTAATTAATAACAGTAGTAATCATTGCTTATTTGTTTATGTCATTCGTGTAGGTCATTCAGGTAAGTGTGAATTCCCGTGTTACTACTACTACTACTACTAAAAGTAATAACAATGAATGTATGTTATCCATCTATATAACTGAGTAGAAAATAATGAATGCTATGTTTGTATGCATGAAATTATAATTTTTTTCACTTCATGCCATATATCTGTACGATTACGCAATTGTTTAATTCTTTCTTCAAACTATCATACTATTACATGTGTATAGTGTTGTTTACTTTTATTTTTCAATCCTCTCTCTAATTACCTTTCATCTTTGTACTCATATTTCAGAGTGTTAATTTAAGATTACTTCTCATGAATATGATTCATAATGGTAATACAGAAATAATGTAAGCTAACACTTGAAAATGTAATCTTGATATCAATAAATCATAATCCAACATAAAAATAACACCATTAATAGTTCTTTCATTTATAATGTTTCTTTGGCTAACTCTTTTCCCTGATCTGAATTCATTATTAACTAATCACGATATAGATTAAATTATATTACATAGCTAGTATGATTTAATTTTATACTGAATTTATTGGACTTCCGTAGAACATTTTTAACAATTAAGTAATTTAATCAAAACATTTACAGTTAAACAATAAGTTACTTTGTGTAAAACTTGAGTCTTCTCAGTAATGATACTAATTATACATCATTTATAGAATATTTTCGAATATGTAAATGCTCACCTTTTAAACAAATTTCATAAACGTTATAACTCAACGGATTGAAAGTTTTCAACGTTACAATTATTCGTCACCTGATCGACAGTGAGTGTGATGTTGAAGTTCCCTTCAAAGTAATCAATAAACAAAGAACTTAAAGTTTATTACTGTTTGCTAAAGCCATTACAATATAAAGATTTAAACCAAATTTATGTATCTAAAAAGATGTAGTCGTTTAACTTGTTTTGCCTTGGTAATATCGTCACTTAAGGACCATTTTCCCTGACCTTACATATGATACAACAAATTAAATAACACATGTGTTAAATTAAATACAACGGTATATATGGTCGGTAAAGAATAGTTTTCTTTGCTGGATAACCTTTTTGCTTCTAGTCGAACTAATGAGTTATGAATGAATGAATAAATAACCTTGTACTTGGAATACAACTACTCATAATCGACTTAGAATCTTCTTTATATTCACTCAGCAGTATGATTTTTGAAATCTCCAACTATAAAAATTCAAATTAGTTTATATTTCAAGAAGAATACTTTATCATCAGCATGCAAAACATTTAAACAAATTAGGTTTTCGCTACTATAATATTTTTTAAATAAAAACCATGATATATATATATATATATATATATATATATATATATATATATATATATATACTTGCTTGTCATTATGGCTAGTGTTTAGCGTTCGACAGTGCTTTACAGTTTTATTTTAATATCATATTATTTGTATAAAATGTTTATTTACTGTATAATTCAGAAATAGCGATTACTGTTGTCATTTTCCCTTTTGATTTTCCGCTTCATTTAAATGTAGCATATAAACGCATGTTTATCTTATATCTTTACCATTTATTAATGTTTTAGACTAAATGCTGGAAATCATTTGTCGATTACTTTCCTAGTTTGATAGTTAATTTTATAATTCAATTATTATATAATAGTTATTATGCTCCACCTTCAGAATGATTTACTCCACACAATATATATATGCTAATTCTTTGAGTAAATTTTATGTAACATAAATGGAGCCATCAAAATGCTACCAGTGACAATGTTATTACATTACAATGTTTAGCAATAAAATACAAGCTCCGCTATATACATTATTCTATTTTAACTGGGTTTTAATATAACACAATAAAGTGCTACGTTTTACTGAACTATATTTTTAAACCCTTTCAAGTGTTCCTGACAAATGTACCCCATAATATATAGCTAATAGATTATATTTTATAAATCTTCTTAAATAAACAAATTATTAATTGAAGACACTGTGTCCACCACTAAACTGATGTTTATGGTCTTCATATTTCACGATTACGTACAATAAAACGAAATAGTGGTGAATGATACTACAAGGGACTCATGATAAGATTAATCAACTAACGTACTTAAGCCTACCAGCCCTCATGAGGCGCAGACATTTGATCAGGGATCTCCAAGTAACCTTATCTTGGTCTCTCCTCGACGGTTGCAATCATCTTTATTTCAACCTCTGATTCCAGATGCCTGTGTTTCTCGCTTTCCACTTCTCCTTTAACCTTAACAATTCTAAGTTAGAGTTTATCTTGTTTCTTTAGAGTATATCCTATCCACCTGAAACAAAGTTTGTTAATTCTCTCCCTCAAGTAGAAGCTGATTTATTTTCTATCAGAGTAGGTCATTACTGATGGGCCTTGACCAATGGGTTTGGACTGTTTTAATGATAAGAGTGGAAGTACTTCAAGTTTTAGATCCGTACCATCTTACTGTTTTAACTTTATCGTTGAAAAGTCTAACTTTGGTCTTACCTGAATGTTGTTTCTAGTTCCGAATATATTTTTATTGCAAGAATGTTGTTGTTGTAAGAACTAATAACGCCTCTAACATTACAATATGAAAGAATAAAATCTCACCATAAAAAATCGTAAAGAAGAACTTCAGTGTAGTAAATTTTAAAATTATAACTAATATAGATCAACTTTATAAGCCCAAAAACTTATAAATTATTTTCTGCTTAGTTAATAATTCTATTTAACCAAAGTAAATTCTGATTTTCTTCAATCTATTTCATCTCAATACACTGAGTTGAGTGTAAAATCAAGTAGATAGTTTTAAGTATTTCTAAATTTAGAGTAATCTGCTCAAATATTTTGGCCAGTTGTTTTCAAACTGTCCAAATATTACAATCAATCTTCCTGGGTTTTTTTTAAAACTTTTTTTTAACTAAATAGTAATGAATGTTAGGCTGTATGCACTCATGTGCTATTTAAAAAATGTACGCATTATTACCATACTAAATAGTGAAAAACTGAAATGAAATCACTGAAGTTATTACCATAGTTTTCTCTTTATCTATCCTTTAAATATAATCATAGACGAAAGACTAGAACATATTTATATATGTATAATTCATGGAAATAATAGTTGTAGCATCTGAACTAGTACTAGAATTTATTCTTGAATAATTACACTTTGAATACATTCTAAACAGAAGTTTGTTGTAATATTCATCCAGTTACTGTTGAGAATCCCTTATTATTGAAACAACACTCATGGTATTGAATAATGAAAGATGTCATAAGTTAATTCAAGTAATTAGAAATATGGTAATTAACGAAAATATTTGCATGTAGAATAGGATATTAATGGAGATACTCACATAACTTCATTCTTGTACTGACATATTAGAGTAAAATAGAGTAATTATAAGGACTAATACAACTTAGGTGTCGACTAAAGATTTGTGTATTTAGCTACAACTTTATTCATTTTTTGGTTAGGCAGATAATACTACCCGATACACTTATAGATAAACGTTTTAACATTTATCTGAAATCTCTTAAATTGGTTGGAAACTCAATGTCAGTATATATATTCCCGAGTTTTGTCATTTTTTTTTAAATCGCTCAAGAAATTCTATGATTGACACGTTTGTGCAATCATACCATCATCATATGACAAACAATACGGGTGTTTGTGTCGGTGTCTATGTTTATGTGTATGCCACTACTGGGTTTATTTCATCCATCTATATTGCATGCTCATTTATCTCATGATCTCCTTCCTTTACATATTTTGATGCTCATTAACAGCTTGAATGTTACAGGGTTTGCTTTTGTTATTAGTGGTATGCTAGTGAATGACTTATTTCTTTCTATCGGTTAAATGAATGTGCTTAATTAAAGAATACATTGAACGTATCATTAAATAACTCTGTGTGTGATTTATATCTATATATTCATGGCATATATATGCTTAATTCAAGAAAGTATCTATTCTGTATATTTTTGCATCAGTCATCTATTTCCTTTTAACTTAAGTTTAATTTATCTATTGTTATTATTCGTTAGTTGATTTGTTTTTTTGTTTTTTTTGACATTTCTATGCTTGTCAGACTATGGCTGTACAAAAACGAAACATGGGAACAGCTAGTGCAAATCTGATCACTCGTCAATCGATAAACGATGAAGAAATGGTATGAATTTGTCTCATTATTCATTTACTTCCTGATTTTCATTTCTTTCGAATGACACCTAAATTGTATAAATCCACATTTTTAGTTTGTTTAGTTCACATTCTTTTTTGCCTGCTTTATTACTTAGTTTTATTTAACTTCAAGTGTATTGTGCTTGTATCTGGCTGAAACGTCATTATTTATCGAATAAAATAAGTTTAGTTATTCATGATAAAACTAACATAGGTTATCCGAATGTCATGAATTCAATAGATAGCATGAATGTTATGTTCTTATAGCCTGTCAATTATCACGTAACAGGATTGCCAATCAGAACACCAACTTATATAACCTTGACCCTGCGCCAAACATAATGACGCGTCAACTAACATGAGTAGCCTAGAGTTGATTCTGAGTCCATATTGGTACTTATTGCCTTGCCATGCCCGCTTGAGTCCAGTACACAATCTTAACTTCAACTATATAAAACACGTATTTCTGACACGCAGTTTATATACAGGCAAACCAGACCTTATCACACCATAAAATAGAAAGTAACAACTATACAAGATTTCTGATTGAGATCGATGGACGTTGGACCATAACTGAAAACCCGGAAACACTAAACGGCCGTTTCGTCCTAAGGTGGGATTCCTCAGCACTGCGCATTCGATGGTGTTAATATCTAACTTCAATCAATCCACGAAATTGCGCGACTATGTTCCATTGTCTGAGGTAGACACCTGTCTCTACTTGACACGGACTAACTCCACTGATCATGGCTTCTCACTGGAACTCCGAGAATCCCCTCATTAGTGAGCACATGTTAACAATCTCTGCAACCCCATACTGATATGTATGGTATGTAAAACAAGGGAGTGATTTGGCAACTTGGTGGTATTATCAGGCCATCTCAATCGATATAAACTAATGACTATTTTGAATGAATTTTTCTCCCTCTTTGATTTCTCAACCAAACTAAAGTGAAGATGTTATCGACTAGTAAGTTTGAAACTCTGTTTAAATAACTATTCATTGTTCAAAGTTTTTACCTATGTTGATCACTAGAAATTTAGCGAAATTGCTTCTTGGTTATTCACTTCAGCTTTTATATAAACTTATCATGTTAATTTCTTTTGTTTCAGTAATTAGGTCACATACATTCGTAATCTAAAGTTTTTTCTGACACAATCAAAAACCACAATTGTCACTATAGTTACCTTCAGTTGTCCAATTTTTAAACACTTTACACACCACTTAGGTAAATTAAAGCAAAATATTATAACTGTGATTAATTTTGCAAACGTTCTCCACTTCAATCAATCTTTTATCTCAAATCGCTGAAAGCAATTGCATTAGATACAAGTGTCAATAATTATTTTGGTATTATAGTTTAGTCTTTTCTTGACTAGATTATGCTAAGCAGAACATATTACTCAATCTTTAGCCGGAAAAGAAATTAATCAATTTTAACGAATTCTATCTGTTAATTAGATTTCAAAACAATGATACTATTTAACTGAAATGGTCTTGTGGTGATTGTTATGGCTTTATGTCTGGCCTTTTATTATGTGATTTATCCACCGATCAAAATACGACTTATACAATCTTAGCACTGTGCCAAACCAATGACGTTCGACCGGTATGAGCAGCCTAGCGTCATTATTGGTCCTATGTCCGCCTAGCCCGTCCACTTGAGTCCAGAACACCAATACCAGCTTCCACTATGCGAATCATATATTTCAAACATACTGTGTTTATATATCAAACAAAAAAGACCTCAACGCACCATAAAATAGGGAATAACATTTGTACACAATAAAGCCAAAAGTGACTGTGAACGTGGGAGGCAGTAGTCAATAAACTGAACATAGCTTAAGAACAGCAAATCGTACAATAATAAATTATAGGTCGAAATAAAGCTTATAATAATAAGAATATCAATACACATAATCTAACTATTGAATAGTTATACCATAAGAATGTATAGATAATATTAATCAATTAATATGTCTCAGAAGTTACTGGTGATTTAATCTTCGCTCGGATATAACAGTGATATTTTTTATTTGTAGATAGCATTCTTTATAGATTGATCTTAGTTGAGGTAGCAATGGAAACTAATGTGTAAATGAATAACTATTCATATTCACTTAAGTAGTAAATGAACTTTACTGCATACTATATTAGAGATATTTTAAGATTTTCTACAGTCTGGACTATTCATTTTTCAATATGATTACTTCAAAATTTTATTGAGATGGTGGAGAACAATGGAGAATGAAATCCAACGGACCAGTACTTCCTCTATTCTACGGCAGACCCGAAATACACAAACCAAACATCCCACTACGTCCAATTGTAGCACTCCCCGGAACACCAACGTACAATTTGTCAAAAGAAATTTCAAGAATACTGAGACATTTAGTAGATTCAGCCAACCATTCAATCAAATCCCCTACACAATTCCTGGACCAAATTAAGGACATCCAAATCAACAACGACGAACTGATGATATCCTTCGACGTGACAGCACTATTCACCTCAATTGAACCAAAATTAGCAAAAGAAACTATATCCCTGCTGCTCAACAACGACACAAACCTCACCAAATACACGAAGCTTCAAATTCAAAGTCTACAGGAACTCATCAATTTATGCCTAACAACATACTTTCAATTCAACAACAAGATCTACGAACAAACGAAAGGGACACCAATGGGATCACCAATATCAGGATTGATCGCAGAGGCAGTGATGCAAAGACTAGAAGCCGCGATATTACCAGTGATCAAACCAAAAATTTGGATTCGCTATGTAGACGACACCTTCGTCATCGTCAAAAAGAATGAACTAGAAAACACTTACAACCTGATCAACAACGTCTTCGATGACATCAAGTTCACCATGGAACAGGAGTCAAACAACCAACTAGCATTCTTGGATGTATTGATCACTAGAACCGACACAGGAAAACTGGAAACTCAGGTATATAGGAAACCGACCCATACGGATCAAATTCTTAACTACAATAGCAACAACCTCAGAGCTCACAAAATCAACTGCGTACACAATTTGTTCAAGAGGGCGAGGACACACTGCAGCACACTGGCAGCACGAAGAAATGAAGAGAAACACCTAAAGGATGTATTTCAGAAGAACGGCTACCCCATCAACTTCATCAAAAAATACCAACCGCACGCAGCATTAGAACTCAAGTCAAGCACAAAAATCAACAAAAGGATCACCCTACCATATATACAAGGAATATCAGAAACAGCGACGAGACTGCTGAAAACCTTCGGAATAGGTGTGGCACACAAACCGACAAAATCACTACAATCAATCTTATGCAAACCAAAAGATGAAATAACAAAGGAAAACAAATCAAACATCATCTACAAAATAAATTGTGCCAACTGCGAAAAACACTACATCGGACAAAGCGGACGCCCCCTTCACCTTCGCCTACATGAACATCAATTAGCAGTCAAACGGCATGATATCTCTTCACTTATATCAATACACGTGGACAACTGCGGACACTCATTCGATTGGAAAAATGTGGAAATCTTAGACAGAGGAAACTCCAAAAACACCAGAGAATTTTTAGAAGCCTGGCACTCAGGTCAATTGGCAATCAACAAGCATATTGAAATCAATCCAATTTATCAGCCAATCAGAAAAATCATGCACAAACATAAGAACAAAAATCAAAACAATGGGAGACACAACCAAAACAAAGAAGTAAACAACGACAAATTTAAGGTCAATAAGAACCAATCAACGTCGAGGTGCACAGAACAAGCTTTGAGACACATATGGAGAAATTCAAACACTTCACTTCTATCTGAAGTTTGTGCTGATGATGTCGTTCAGAAGAACGATGAAAGCTTCACGACCAAACCATCCAGCTCAGAGAACAAAACTCCACCAAAATCAAAATTTTTTTTTTAGTTACACATTATCGAGTATCAAATACAATAACATATTGTAGCAAGCATATAGTTTACTTTAAAAAAGAATACGGATATGCCACCGAAATATATATACGATTATACTGTTTTAAGACATGAATTCTTTGAACAAAATTCCCTTGGTGAATAGATTATTTCGCGACTTCATAAATATATATTCAAATTTAATTGAGTCTTTATTCTATTCTTACATTTTGTTCTGTTTTTTTTTTTGTTTGAATTATGTTTAGAAACAACATGTATACAAAAAAACTCTACAAGCTTTACTATATCCAATATCAAGTAATACACCACATAACTTTCAAGTATGGACTGCTACAAGTCCAACTTATTGTTATGAATGTGAAGGTCTTCTTTGGGGATTGGCAAGACAAGGTCTACGATGTACAGAATGTGGTGTAAAATGTCATGACAAATGTCGTGAATTGTTAAATTCAGATTGCTTACAACGTGAGTTAACATTTTTTAATGTTTATATTTTATCATGTATTAACTTTTCATAATTGTATAGTTAGCGAATATAAGTAAATGCGATGGCCGAGCACAGGTAATTCACTCTCCTTTTGGCTAAATATTTTGTTTTTGAGAAGTAATCATATTATCTGGGTTCTCAAACTAAAATGAATGAAGTGACGTTTTAACGTATAAATCAACCACAAACGCAATATTGCATCTAAAATAAAGTTTGGAATCAATTTTTAAACTAACAATAATGTTTGTATAGTTGTTTTGTAACTATCAATGGAATCCGGTTCTACCATAGATTTGTCAAGTGAATGTATCTAAATCTCTTTGTTGGTATTCACATCAAAATTCCAACCCGGTACTTTTCGCTTCATTCTCAATGCTAACCAATTAACGTCATAGCTACAAAGTTCAAGTTCATATTATTGAGCTTCAAATCATTCTTTTGTGTGAGAGCTAGTAAAACTACTTAAATTAGTAACTGAAAATAAATGAATATGGGTTCAATACCATGACTTAAATGTTAAAAGCGAATTAAAATAATACGTTATTCTTGAAAATGAATTTACTTTTTTTCGATGATTCTTGGGTTGATGTCAATAAAGCTTAAACTACGAAACCAGTCTTTTTATTTTAGTTAGTGGGACAGAAAGAAGAGTATGATTTACAGTACTAAAGTCTGAGTTGAGAATTGTTAGCAGTGGACACGAACGTATCATATTGTTAACAATAATTTAAAATGAGAGCAACCAATTTTCAAAGCGATGTTAACTAATTTTAGTTTTGTAACTTTGACGTTTAAACATTGAGTCCGTTTAGTTGTAGTGTAGAGTCGTTTGTATCCCTAGTCAAGTAATATAATGAAATCATGTGCCACACTAATTAACGTTTTAGCTTTAAAACTTGAAATATTCAGGTAATTACATATATTTTTCTGCAGGTTAATCGAGGTGAAGTTAGTTAAACTTCCGTGATGAATTACAAAACTTCTGGTTTCTTACTCTGGGCTTAGTACTTATATTAGTTCCACGTTACATGGGATACTATATAATTAACCACTTTGGAAGCAGTTAAAAATGGAATGCTATTAAAAAGATGGCTCGTAATTTCCTTTTAAAACAGTCTCATAAATTTAACTTCAAAATTTAGGCACGAATGAAATATGAGAAGTAAATACTTAGGTGCATTTTATGCGCTAACACTGTCTAGGCAAGAAACAGATTAGTATTCAGTATTACGTGGATGATGGACTAACCATCAAATGCCATCGCTAAAAGATATCCGAACAATCTGAACTTTAGATGAAATTATTAAGACCGAATTTGTGTAGTGTTATTAGAATACACTACCATTTTTTTCACGTAACTTGACACACGATCGAATAAATTCTAAGGTGGAGTTCCGTGAACATACGTTTGAACACTTACACTTCATAAATATCGGTCCATTTTTCCGTATTGCTGAAAATATGAACAAAAAACAGCCAACATTTAGTGAACAGTTTGCCATGCATAGTCTTTATTACAATGTTTAAAGTCGTTAAACGTCATCATAAATTATGGCTATAATATAACTGACTGTTGTATGCAAAGAATGCACTTGCGTGGTTCTAGAATTCGGAATTTCCGGTCTGTATACATTTGTGGTATCTTAACAGATGGTTAACTGGTGAAATAGTATTTCCAATAGTAGTTAATTGTTGGTGAACCTACCAAAAACAGGGCATATTACAGGAAAATAGAATTCCTACTTGCATGTCATAGGGCTGTTCATTTTCTGAAGAACTCTAGTAGTATTTGATTTCAAAGTGTATAGAACTGATTGTTGCTAGTGAGACGAATAAATTGCATGTTCAACAGAAACTGCCCCGACCGTCTAGGAAAATCAACAGCCCTACTGTCAGACGTAGATGATTCCCACTGCTGTCTTCTGCTATGCAAATAAATAACTAGTAATTCAAAATTTTTCCATAACTAAAGCACTCACTTTAAAAACAACGGATTTGCATTTATGAAGAATATATAAATACTTCCAACGTTCACTACGATTTCGTTTACTCCATTGATGAATGCAATGAGTGTACGTCATCTTCGTTAGTGAGATTCATACTTCACTTGTTGAAAATCTTTAAAGTCACGTTCAATTTTTTTCAAAATGAACAACTCTTGATCGAGAAATCACTGTCAAAAATAAACAGTAGGTGACTTTTAATTTATGCCACAAAATGTAGTTTATTCTGAATGTTAAACACAACAAAAGGCAATCATTCAAAATTACTATCCAAACGTATTTACATATTTCAAATAATCCCCGTTGCTTTTTTCCTGACAGACATTTGATTTATTCATTGACCAGATAGTTTCCTGAATTTCGTATTATTCCAGCATTAGCTAAGTTCTCAAACACTAATTTTCCATATATATCAAACTAAAAGTGATAGTTCGATCTTGCTAAGGAAATATTTTTATCAGTAAACTTTTGTGTACCACAGTAGATTACCAAATTTGTTTCTGCTTGTGATTTTTCTATGGACATTCAATCACAAATAAGTACATCTAAACTCTATTACCTATGTGAATAAGGAAAATAATATATCAACAGAAACGTTCCGTGGAAATTATTCAGTCTTTTTTTACATCACGAACCGACTTTGGCTTCGTAGCCATTGAAGGATAGGAAACATCGGATAATTGTTTCATCCTAACGTGGGACGTCTAAGAAGTGCTCATTTATGACCCGACATCTCCAGGTCACGCAATATGAGTTCTAGCATTGTGAACGATTGAGTTGGGATTCAGAGGTTTATATATCTAACCCCTGTTAGTTGGTGATATTGTGTGATTACCATTCATAGTTATTATTCCCTTCCAAACACATTAAATTCTATAAGTAACAGCATCTCACCAGAACTTCAGGATTTCCTATCAAGGACAGACGGTTTTCCAAAGGTGAGTTTATTCATTTTTTTTTATCATCTGAGTGACAGAACTCATCATTTCCTAATATTTACATAAAGAAGAAAAGTCAATATTCCTATTGAAATGTCTTTTATCTATTTATTAAATTGAACTTAGAGTTTATTGAAAATTCTATGTAATAATAATTCCACAATAAAAGCAGTCGCTTTTGTTTATGTAACACGATATTATGTTAATTTTCTATTATATTTTGTTTTAACAATTTAGGCGCTGCTGAAAAATCAGCTAAACAAGGAGCTGCAGATAAAGCACAAACTATTATGCAAGCAATTAAAGCATTAATGTCACAAAGAATTAATGAAATGCCTGATCTATTCAATTTACTTGGTTTAGTATTTAAAGTAGATAGTAAAATACATGAACGCAATTTACTACAAGCTGAACAAAGTATTCTAGATGGAACTAGTAAATGGTCAGCAAAAATTGCAATAACTAGTAAGTGCCATTATTATTATTATTATTATTATTATTATTATTATTATTATTATTATTGTAATATAAATAAAATATGTGGATTAATTTTCCCTCAGAAATTGTAGATTTTAATTATTTAATAGTTTCTAAAATTTCAGTGGTTAAAATCATGAGTCAATTAAAGCTAGACCACCATGGATAACCTGAAAGCACTGAACGGCCGTTTCGTCCTATTCTGGGACTCCTCAGCAGTGCGCATCCACGACCTACTGGTGTCGCGCACGAGCCTTTAACCACTAGACCTAACATTATTAAAACACAGGTATATGGAGGAAGAAAATTTTTTCAGTAAATTTCCATCCAATGTTGCAATCGCACATCTTCATTAGTGCTTCAAAATAATGAGCATGTTTAAGGCAAAAATACATTGTTTAAACTTATACCATATGAAATTAGAATTATTTTAAAAATAGAATAAAGCTTTTAAAAGAAATACTATCTGAATATTTTGTATTTAATGCTTATTAGAATGATAGAAAATAATGAGTGGCATGTTTAGATAAACATCTCACTTATTGACAGATTATATTGAAATAAAACTTTATGAACACAAATTATCGATATTTTGTGGGATTTTATTTCATCAACGATCGACTGTAGTGAAACAATTATTGAAAAAGAGAAAGCGTTGAATGGTTATTTCATCTCAGTATAGGACCCCTTAAAGTTGTGCATCTACGGTCCTATCTAAGATAATACCCAGGGCCGCAAGAATACCTTGTAGTTGGGACTTAGTGATTTAGATTTCTAAATACAACCAATTAATTATATTGCGCAACTTTTATTCAGTGCTATGGATGATATTCATCTTACTCTTTAAACGAATGCACTCATTTGGCCACAACTACTTACTTGTATCTGTCGAAGTTATTTACTGGTATGTACATGATGACTTTGTCTAGTATTCAAGGATCTCCATATATCCTACTGAAAATGAATACAACAGGGAACAATATTAATTAGAGAACCATTTACGACCAGAATTTTGAATAACTGCTTTATCTTAGTTTAAAACTACTCGGAAAAACACACCCATAACTTTACAAGAGTAAAAACTCAGAATCTTTAAGTTTTACTGAACTACCAAGTCATTCATCCAATGTCCAACATTCCCAACATAATCATTTAATACTTATTATCAGTCATTTAAAAATTGTACAAAAAACAGTTATTAACAAAATGTAGTTGGATCGCTTTCAAATATACTCATTTTTGGCATTTACACTGTAAGAATCATAGTCATTTTTTCCCAGCTTGATTCAAACAAAACCACTTTAATTACCGAAAGTAAGTTTCGAGTTGAAGATCTGATGATAATGGTGTACTACTCAATTAGATAGATTGAATTACTGCCCAGTATTTTAGTCTTCTCTTAAAAATATGAAATATCCGAATGAATAGTTGTTTCAAATAATTTGATTACCAAGCTCTACGGTCATAAACCCTTGTTTATTGTATCACCATGGCCAAAATAACCCATATATGAGTGAATGAGACCATGCCAACTGTTAAAATAGTTCAATTTTGCATTGTATGTGGCTTAGTTACGTTCAAAATATATCATTGATAAATTTGAATAATCAACTCCAGAAAACCCATCTTATTCATTAGAAAGCGGTAAATTTAGCATCTCTTTTTACCACAGAGCACAACTGGGTCACATCATACATTAAAATCACATATTATAAACTCTTACTCTCCCCATCAGCCTTTTTTCCATATATCCCTGCCCTACTCCATTCGTAATTTACACATTTATCTTTCCCGATTCATAGATCTTCATCAGCCTGTACTCTAAAGTACAGGATGCATACATGGATACATGTATGTGATTATATGAGTATCACCAAAGCCTAGTGAAGATCTAACTAAAAACTACCTTGTTCGCTCATATGTGTTGTTCTAATTTGCACTATGGAGATCGGTAATATTTCCCAATTCAGATCATTGTTATCATGATTACCTTGTCAAAATTGTTTCTATTACATACCATACTCACATGACTTTATAATAATAATTATTATTGTTGCAATTAACCAATCGTAGCTTTCTCCTAATATGTTATATATTCACATGATTTATTTTAATATAATGCTCGTAACTAGACATCTTATAACCAATTTTCCTACCCCCTTCTTAAATGACATTTTACAAGTACATACGAAATAATTTGAGCGTTGATCAATCAAATATGTTAACAGTTGAATTCACAAGTCAATTCAAATTAGACCATCATAGAAAACCTGGAAGCACGGTACGGCCGTTTCTTCCTAGTATGGGACTTCTCAGCAGTACGCATCCACTACTCCGCACGTGGGACTCGAACCCAGGACCTTCGTCTCGGGCGCGAATACCTAACCTCTAGACCACTGAGCCGGCATCCAATGATGTTAATATCTAACTTCAATCAGTCCATGATCTTGTACAACCCTTCATTCATTGTCTGAAGTGGAAATATCACACTGTTTTAATGTAGCGTCTAATTTTCTTAAGGTTGCGGTCATTATGATAATAGTAACAAAAATGTGATATTTGTTTAGAAACATGGATTCCCGATTAAGTATACTTCATAAAAGAGGGCGAATTCATGGATTTATATAAAAATCAGATGGTGTTGATGGCAAAATTTGATAATGCGTTACTGAGAGAACCTTCTTATGACTGTTGCACATTTACAGAGCAGGTCTAAACAAGCTTTTTCCGTTTTCTTGCTGTTTTTTTCAAAAATAATATCCTTCTACGAAAAAGTTAATTATAATCAGCTACAAATTCTTCATATTTTGCTTATCATAAGTTAACAATTAATTAAAAGAAGTATACATATTGTTGCATGTATATTTATTGTTTGAATAACCAGTTGAGCATTCTCAACCCATCTGAAGAATCGTGTACTAAGAAGAAACATTTATCCAATACTACTCAGATTTTCAATGGTATCCAAGCTTTGATATCAGCCTATACTACATTACTCTTCACAAAATATGTCGGTAAATCTTCTATTCCTGATTTTCATTACGTAATACACGTTTAGTCACTACCTAAGATAGTATTGACCAATTCGAAACTATCGTGAATTATATATGCAACAGACCCGGCTAGTTTAAGCTATGTTCTATCAGTTTTATTCTACATAGTTCAGCTACTATTTTACATTTTATCTTTCCTGATGATTATCTGGACAATATTCCTTAGTTTGTATTTCTATTTTCAGTTAAATGTGCACAAGGTTTAATTGGCAAAGATAAAACTGGTACGAGTGATCCTTATGTTACAGTACAAGTTGGTAAAGTTAAAAAACGTACAAAAACTGTTCCACAAGAGCTTAATCCAGTTTGGAATGAAAAATTCTATTTGTAAGTAAAATAGATTATCATTGTCTTCACCACATTATTATTATCATTATTACAGACTTAATTATTATTTACTATTTTAATGTTATCTGACAAAAACCGGGAAGTAAAAATCTTTATTTTTGTACCGTTTGTTCTAAGATATTATATCTTCGTAAGCAAATTTTCGATTACGATTATTGTCTGGGTAATATGATTGATTGCTGATGTTATGTGTCCCTGAGCAGGATGATTGATTCATCAAGTTCTCATTGCTTTTCTAGAGAACACTGATAGTACATACTTTTAAAATAAATGGACTACTAGAATTTCTTTGTTATTGATTAACAGGCATTTCTATTGACCTGGAATTTACGTGTGTTGTACATGACTCCATTTTATTTATACAAGTTATTATTCAGATTTGGAGAAATCCTAGTTGCCCACTTATTTCTGCTGACGTCGATTAAACCGTCCAGCTCAGAGAATACAGTATCTTCAATATCCTCATCTTGGACTAAAATATTTTCTACCATATCAAAATAATACTATAGGTCCATAAACTGAAGTCAAACAACAAACAACAGACATTCCAAATACATTCCATTAACTGATCATCGAACTATTTTGATCGCTGACTAATGAACTTATATTACAAAATCTCTTAGTAAAATCTGAGAACCGTACGATAAATACTTCATTTGTAAAATGTCAATCAATTGTCTCAGACTTGACTGTCTTCTCTTTTCCACACCAATCACTCATTGTTCTCATTCTCCTCTCTTCGATATTCTTAATCTTCTGCCACCACGCATTTCACTTTCGATTGTTGGTGCATTCTACTAATATCTGTCGACATCAGTACCACACACCACAATAGTGTCCTGAAACGTCAAATAGTTTCATGGCTTACTTATTTTTTGCCTTCTGGATATAATATAAAATAATATAGTTTAATGTCTTGAGATTTTTACAAACACTGCTCGAAAAAAAAGCTAGTAGTTACTGTGTTCTAGTCTTAGTTGTCCACACAAGTATTGTGCACTTTTTTGAAGAAATTTAATGATATCATTATTCGTAAGGGTTTGAACTATTACGTTGTTGATTTTCGTGACAGAAGTTGAGTCAGTCTTTATCAGCAGATATACTGTTTGCATAGGTTATTTCATTATATCCATTTTATCGTAAGCTATTCGGAATCGATGAATTTTGACTAGTGGTGGAATCCAAGAATTTGCTTTTTATTCTATTTGAGACATCAATGGTGGAATCCAAGTACATCCAGCTGACAAGTCCTAGACAAGATTTGATACACATCCTTAACTTCAATACCAATCACAAGTCTTCTATTGTATTTTAGCTATGTTCCACTTTGAGTTTTATTCCCCTAGTTTTTTTATTATTGTCGCCGTATGACGTTTTCCTCTTTCATTTCCTCACATAAATTTCATCTTGACTTTTAGCGATAGATTTCTGGATGCTTTATCATAACTAATTTATTTTTGTTTGAATACATTGAAAAAAATTTGATTTTTTATGATTTGGCATCAGTCAAGTAGATACAAGTATTGTTGTTGAGGCATTTGGGTTTGAACTGGTTAGTGGTACATTTCTACTTCATTTTGACTACTTCAATTCAAACAGTTAAATAGAATCATTACCAGTGGCATAACTAAAATATTGCTTAAAGGTACTAGATAAAAAAAATTTAGTATATGTGTTATATTAAAATCATGCCTATGAAATGATACAATTCTTTACTCTTATAGAGTAGTCAAGTCAGTATACAATATTCTAATTCTTAATATTTTTGCCATAATTATAACATGGTATTTATGACTTTTATCTGATGTTTTGATGCATTTAGAGTTATCGTATTTGTTTATTTGTTTTATTTCTTTTAGCGAATGTCATAATGCTTCAGATCGAATTAAAATTCGAGTATGGTAAGTGATTAGTTAAAAATGATTTTTATATGTCTAGATAATATTTATCATATTGTACTGTCCAATAGTTCTTGATCATTATTTATCCATTGTAGATTATATTTTAATCTGTATTTTATTTGAAATGGATAGTTGATTAATGTGGACATTTTACATGCACTGTCATAATTATAACACGGTTGAAATTGTACAAAACCGGAAGTAATTATACAGTTTAACTATTTCAATTGTTTAGTATGAGTTTTAGTTTCTTGTCTATTCATCAATGTTAACTTTTAATCTAATATTATTGTAGATAGAGAATTCTCATTCAAAAGATCATTTAACTAGTGGGATGAATCTAAATTGCAGCAATATTTTTGTTGTTGTTGAAATTGACAGTCTACAAATTTATGTTAGAATGAATAGGATGCTTTTTAAAGTGCTCGTGTAATTTTAAATAATGAAATTTACACATCATCATAACATTGTCTTATATAAAGAATGTTGGACAACATTCGTTTCAATCTCAAAATGAAATACGGTTGTGGATATGTTGAAATCACTTGTCAACTAATAACCAATACCCGTTATTAAAACTTAAGATAAAACCATCAGTCATTTATTAAAATGATGCAACTTTGTTTTCATTGTGTGCAGTAAGGTTTAATATCTAATACAAATTTCTTTTTTTTCCATAACAACTCAAAGTATGGGTAAATCATTCCGTAAACTCCTTTCATTGTTTCAATAAATCTTGTAAATACTGCCAAAAAAGTAGAAATGTAATCAGTGACATGAATCAGGAAGATATTTTTCCCGATGTATTTGAATTAGATGAATTATTTTCAATATTTACCTACAAGTAAACTAAATATCTTGAAAATTATAACAACAAAACACTTCTATGACTCGACATGGTTTAGCTGAGGATATCATCCGATTGAACTAATCATTTGCTATACTTATTTGACACTAAATATTTTTCAGTGAAATAAATAAGCTTGATTAAACAGTAATTATTTTGTTAAGAAACGTGTCATCGTCTAGATTTTTCATTTGATCTGAAACAAAGAATAAAGTAACATGAGTTCAGCAAAATTAATAAAAAATCAAATGATCGAACCAAATTGCCAGTTTGTGTCAGTAGTTATCAAGTGCTGATATTGACGATAATATTGATGATAATAATAATATATGTAGTGAATGTTTAAAATAATAGTCATTAGAATAACCATATAAGTTTTAAGCAAAAATCACACATCATGTTACTGGCAACTGAAATAAGTAGTTCGATACATTTTAATAAACTTGAATGGATTCGTCAAATAAACACGGCCATAGTTTTCAGTAGTTTGATACCAAGTATGTCACTTCAGCCCACTTAATTATTCTTCCTAACCCACTTAAATTGTGTTTAATTACTCACATTACCCAGTATAATTCTTTAAGTAGTGATACTCGAGAATTCATATAACACCATCACCATTGTACCGCACATATAACACTTTCTTGTGTCGTAGTTTAGTTTCTTAAATAGAAACACTTTGTAACGAATCATATTTTGATTGTGTGATCTTAATTCACCCATGTGGGATTGTCAAAGCACTCTATGATTTGAAGTGTTTCAGGGTTTTTACTACGCTTGATTTCATAAATATATTGCCCATTTATTTGGTATTTTCCATCAGTGAAACAAAGTGATTCTAGTTCATCTATTTTCATAATAAATTGTACTGAATCGTTCGGGGAGAATAAGTGTATATACATCATTTTCAAGCATTAATTAACAGCTTTAACCATAACTCCCCATATCTCACTCTGACTAAATAGAGAAAATGTATGTTATTCACTGATTGCACCAGTTTTTATATTGAACATCTAATTAAGAATCAAGAATCATCATATCTCTCATGTTCCTTATTTGAAGTTTATCATTAAAAAGTGATGGTTGAGTATAATTAACGAAGCGGGACTAAATATGTCACATATTATGGCTAACAAAAACGGGTATTCTGCATATACTAAAAATTAGTTACCACACTTACAAACCTATAATGAAAATAGTCCTAAAATTGCATTCACATATGGTAAGTGAATGTTTTTTTTTAAAATCCACTTTTCTCATTAATAGTTGAAAATGTCGAGGAATCTCGTGAAGAACAACTAATGACGTCGCTATTCTTAATGATAAAAGTATAGTTGATAAAAAATATATAAAGGATTATTATTGTGATTTAATTAGATATGCTTTAGGCTGAACTAAGATGGTAACGTAATGCCAATACGTACGGATTATTATTTTCTGACTCCAATATTTATTTTGCCCAAAAATATACACTTATTTGTTCAGTTAGTTTTTGAATTGATTTTTCACATTTTGGAAGTAAGCTTATCAAACAAGTAGATATCAGTTAGGGAACCATTAAAGATCAAGTGATATGTGTTAATAAAATTGGCTGAACCTGAAATTTCAGACCAATAGTGTGCGACTCACTGACTGGTCATGATGCCTGAATGCGTTTATTAACTATCCTTAATGAGATATGAAACTACTATCTGTTGCTCTGTTCTTTTCGATAGTTCTCTAGCTCATATCAATTCACCATGAAAATAATAAACTTCAAATGTATTTATTTGTATATATCAATTTAAACTAACTTGTTTATTATGTTTCCATATATATACGTACTTAATTTATGAATCTTTGGTAAACATGAAACAACATGAAAATTGAAAACTAAATTTATGATAACTAATAAAAAAGGGATGAAGATTACGATTTAAAATCAAAAATTCGTCAAAAATTTACACGTGAATCAGATGATTTTCTTGGTCAAACTATTGTTGAAGTTCGTACATTGAGTGGAGAAATGGATGTATGGTACAATTTAGGTAATCATCCATAGCATGTGTTTGTAATAAATAGTTTTTCTCTACAAATTACACACAATCAGATGAAATTTAAAAAAAAAAGGAAAATCAAAAACAAAAAAGCAAATTACTCTTTCCTCATACTGCTTGTTATATTTTACTTTTTCTATCTAATAATGGTGATTAGAAAATACGTACTTTTGTATATTTCTGTACTTAGCCACTTATATATAAATGTGGATGTGTGTTTATGTGAAAATGTCTAACGGTTAATGGTAGTCGTTTCCTCTATTTTTGTAGTCTATATTAATTCATCTTGGCTGACGCATGTACCTATGTATACATATGTGTGTATTCAGTCATTATATATATATATATATATATATATATATATATATATATATATATATATATAATTATACCGTCCATTAGTAATAATATATATCGGTTGCAGAACCTAGCTCCGTTTTGTAGACTTCTATCCTCGACATAAAGTGTTCAGGCTATAGTAAGTCAGTTTTATATAGACGTGGTAAATTCGATTTCTCATAGTTTAATTATCAAAAATAATCGTTTATTTAAATTAACTGTTTATTTTATAAATTTCTAATAAATTATTCTAATTATATTTTATTTTCTTTGTTCTTTTATCCATCACTACTTTTTACCCAATTCATACCACTACACTATTTCCTACAAAATAAAAATCACCTTTCCATGATATGTATGTGTATTTAAACGCACAATGGATTTGTACACCTTAACAAATCTGTTATCCTCCTCCACATACCCTAATTCCACACAAAATAATCAAAATGATAACTATATCTTTATTTAAATTTAAATTTTTCTTTCACGATTATTTATGTTCAATTTGTTCTTTTTTGGTAATAACGGTCAATTTTGTTTGTTCTCCTAACTAATAATAAATATTATGTGTTGACTTGTTTGTTGTTACTATTCACATTGATAATCATAATTGTTCGTTTATATATGTTATTCTCATTTTGTCTCACCCTTATGACTAATACAAATGCTACAATTAATTATGTGTTTGTTGATAATTTTTATCCTTCCATTGTCGATATTCTGTGTTAATGTATATACATACATATGCTTGTTGGTTAAATATTAACCCTTGTTGGATTCACTATTCTTTGAATATACTATTCACTGTTGTACTTGATCACTTTATGTTTAACCATTTATTTTCTTGGTTATCATTTTTTTTTTAAATATTGTCAAAATAATCGTTGTTATGTATAAATAGGGATGAAGACAATGATTTACGTGCTAAACTTCGTTCAAAGCTCACTGCAGAATCTGATGATTTCTTAGGTCAAGCTATTATTGAATTGCGTACTTTATCCGGTGAAATGGATGTATGGTATAATCTTGGTATGTTTGTAGTTAGAGAAAAATTTGAAAAAAAAATAGTTTACACTAAAATGTTATTTAATCTTCGAATACTTATTAATTGTCTGTTAGCTCTCACTGTATTTTTTTCTTCTTAATATTTGAAATCTTTTTTTAAAGAAACTATATTAGAAGGATTCTCATCGATGTTCATTAAATCTATATAATGATTGCTTACTATTTTCATCTTGTCAAAATGGATTTCTATGTATGGTTTTTTTAAACTATGAATGCCTAATAATAAGCTGTGCTAGAAATGTCAGTAACCAACACGAAATTATCTCGATTTGAGCTATAATCAATTTCATTTTGTTTAAAACGTTTACCATTTATGTTGATGTATCCGGTTTTCACTAAAATACTTCTAAAGAAAGCATTATACATTTAAGAAACCACTAGATGAAAACATTTTCGCATCTACATTTGACTGTCAATCTGAAAGGGATCTTTAGATTAACGAAAATAAATAACTGTAATCCATCCTAATCAATTATATTGAAGTCACTCATCATCCTACCCCAAGAATGATTTATTGATTTCATCATTTTCATATTCTTAGTGGAAAAAATCTGCTTTTTCGAATTCATAAACCGACCTAAGTTAGACAACCATTGAAAACATGAAAGCACTGGACGCCCATTCTGTCCTAGTATGGGGCACCTCAAAAGCGCGCACCCATTAGCATGTGTTAGGGAATTGGATATAAGACCGTCGGTATTGCGCCTGAATGTTTAACCTTCAAACTACTTAGCCGGGATCCAGTGGGGTACAGGTTTGACAACAGGTTTTCAACAGTTATATAACTTTGATTGGTTTGTGTTCTCAATAAAATTCAACAACCGTCCCAACTAAATAGTGGGAATTTACTTTATTAACTTCCTTTATGTGATATACACAAATGATTCACGGTAAACCAATACCATATTATAGACAAGGTTACAAATTATAACATTCACTAAAATAGATGAACTATTTCTTTGTAAAAAGGTCAATGGACTTGTACAGTTTGATTATTTTTATTTCTAAACTTGTAACACGTTTCAGTTTTTGGCTAAAAAATATTGGTCTGACATCAAATTCACATGTTTCATTTCATAATATTACGAGTGTAATAATCATTGTCCGATTAACATATATGGCGTGAATATTGAAATATTTCCAACGACAATATATACTACTGTTTCGAACTACTACTACCACTGTTAGTACTATTACTGCTACTTAGGTAATAACATCAAGATTACATAAAAAGATGTTGAATTCATCATGATATTAACTGTTTCAATAAAACATTAATTGTACAGTAAAATTAAAATAATTTGACCGAAAAAGTACTTTATTAAATATCTTCCACCCAACACACATAAATATACATGAGAAAACATTAACTGATTTGAAAGAGTTCAATGGAATATAATTTGCCGAAGTTTCTTACAACAAATCTTAGATAAATTTCAAATAGTTTAATAATAAATAAAGATGACAGTTTTACGTAAAACTTAAAACTTAATAGTGTACAAATTCAATTATTAAGGTAATATCACATTAGAATCTTTTCAATTTACTTTTAAACGTTTACAACATTAGTATTCACTTACCTTGGTAACAAATTTTTTTTTATTATTACGCAACAGTGTTTTCACGTTTTTTTTATATAAATTTCATATTCTTGGTTATTTAATATTATTATTATTATCATTTTGTTATTCTTTGAACTTGATGATCATACTTAATATACTCAGAAACTCTTCTCTATTTCATCTGACGAAATTTTTTTGACTTGTCTTATTTGTCTGCTTTCAAAAAGTGGTCAAAGAACTTTTACATTTTATGTTACATTAGTTTCGAATTTCTCGTAAATATTTATGTAGTCAATTTAGTAAAGTAATTATTTTTTTGAAATTTATTCAGCTCAACGATCATTTTCATCATAATGATTAAACAAAAAGATATTAACTAGAAAGGAGCGGACTCCATTAACTTGTACATAAGTCGAACCAAAGATTTACAGATATCACATGAAATTATGAAATTGTACTGTTTTCTGTCATCTTGTAATTCAAGCTTTATCTTAATTGTCACTAAGTAGTTTATTTTAAACAGCTATATTTAACGAAGCATTACTATGTAGTTATATACTCGGGATGTAGATTTAGAATGTAGTCTGTGTCATAGAAATAAGATCATTACATTTAACTATTTACGAAATACAAACAGATTAGTTTAGTGGAAGAGTTTGTTAATAAAAACTATTTATTGACTTTATGTGTTATATTAGAAAACATGACCTTATAATTGCATGTGTCCATTAACAGCTTAATTTCTTACATAAATAGTTTGTTAATTATTTTATCATAATTATCGATGTTGTAATTGTTATTCCTGTTTAGAAAACTAAACACTGATTGATTACACAATATCTGCATGTATATTCTATCAGAAAACAAGAAGAAGCACACAACCTAATTGTAATTCTATATTCCTTATAAAAATCTGTTGTTTCTATTCAGTAATACAGAGAAAACTAATTGAATATTGTCACTTTATACTGTCTATTCTAATAATAAATTAAAATAACGGAATGTAAAGAAATGAATGATCTCAACTGTATGTGAATTCTCGTATACTTTGATTTTTTATGGTTGTTGTTGTGCTAATGAAGAACAAAACATGATGTTATTTCCCTTTTTTCTGCCTTAATTCAGCCTTTAACATTTCCATAGTGTTTTTATGCATTTTTATGGGTATTTCATGGTAATTTTTTATCATTACGCAGATTAAAACAATAAATAGTGGGGAGAAGTATTGGTTCAGTGATAGAAATAATATAGATGACACAACTGTTATTGATTAGAATACCAATCTTTGTATTCCTATGGTTTCACATGAATTTCTCTAACAAGTCGATACCATTTACTGCCTTTTGATAATCTTTTTTTTAATCTATTTTCTCTATCATTTTCAGTGGTTGATTAGTTTTTGTCCGGCCTGGAGGTATTTTATGCGCTGGAGTAATTTATAGAGAAACGTTTATGACAGAATATGAAAGCAAAACTAAATGAGCTAATGACTTATTAAATAGTTTAGATGTACTTACACTTAATACTAAAAGATTCAATTGCAATAAGCAATCATATTAGTGGGAAATTGAGATAACCAGTAAATAAAAGCTAGAAACTGACAGAGTGAAGTTACAGTGCCAAACATTCTACTACTTTTCTGCTTAAATTCTATTTAGTCACCTGACCTCTTATTTAACCTTTGAAGTTCAGATTCTCTCAAATTTTTTCCTTCTATTTAATCCTGATTTAAATTTCTTGTATCATACATGATATTATTGGAAATTACTGTCTTCGTCCATCAAGTGAAACTGAAGAAATATCCAGTTGAAACTAATGTTATTGCTTTGTATGATTAGTCCTAGTTTACATTTCTTCAAATACACACATATATATACACATCAGTCTTCATTGCATTTTCCTTATTACTTATCGTCTGATTTTCCTGTTTTGTTTTCTTATGCATGACATCAAAGAACTGTCTAGATGTTGTCATTTTGTATTGTTCTTCGAACATTTACTTATATCAGTTTCTATTTACTCTCGTTCATTTTCTACCAATTATCTTTAATGTATTTTGGTTTCATTATTTCTTTTTTATTTTAGAAAAACGTACTGATAAAAGTGCTGTTTCCGGTGCAATCCGTTTATTTATTTCAGTAGAAATTAAAGGTGAAGAAAAAGTTGCACCATATCATGTTCAATATACATGTTTACATGAGGTTAGCGTTACTGTGTTTCAAGTATTTCCAGTTCATATATTTATAGGGTTACAAATTTTTATTAAAGTGATTTATAACAAGAATTCGATGGTAGTTGAATAATTTTTTGTGAAAAATAGAAATCAAGAAACAGCCATTCTGTTCCTAATTGTAAATTTTTTAAACCTAAATACTTCAAATTCATTTTTTATTGTTTGTTTGAATCTTCTAATTGATGTTTAGGACTGCAGTTGATAAGTCTCTTATCGGCATTTATGCATCTTGTGCGGATTGCCTCGATGTAGGTACACCCAGCTGACGAGTCATAAACAGGTGGGAACCCGCATCTTAAATTCCACTGCTAGACATTATCCATCTTTGCTTGTAAAAACTCTAAATTCGGTTGTCTGAAACAATATTACTGCTGTCCATAGTTAAAATAGTATGAACAAGGACTAAACGACTGTCTATAATTGCTAGATTTCCAACTGTTTCTCTTAATTAATCCCTAATCATAAAGAAAATTGCGATTAAAAATTTACAACCTTTATAAAGCCACTTGATTAAAACAAAAAGACGTTTTTATTTGATTTCTGTGTTCTCTTACTAATCGAAAACATTACTACATACCATGCCATTTTAATAATAACAACAATAATGCCAGTTAACTTTGCAGTTAACCTACATGACTGTTTTTGTATGAAATTGTCTCAAAATGGAACTATTTTACGAAATCACTTTAAGTTTGATAATCAATATGATGAGATTAAGGGTTAAGCACAACTGTTTACTCTTATCTGTTTTGGTTTAATTAAAACACTGATGACAGTAGTTTTAAAATATTTACAAACTATCAACAGTCTACGTAAAATGGTGAAGTGACGATTAGAAAAATAAGATTTTAAAGAGAAATAAACTTCACTAATGATCATGAGGCTGTAATTAGATTGATGAAAGAGGTATATTCATGAGTTAGAACTGATAATATTTGGGTTCTTAGTGCAGATTCATTTTCTAGCATAAACATTATAATTAAACTGACTGTGCTCGCTATTGTTCATTAGACCTACGTTGAGCATCGATCGTTATTTAAAAATGTGCCTATAAACTATACTATGTGAAGTGTCCAGTGCCTAAAAACGGTCGAGAGCAGCTAAGTTGCGGACACAGTTTCATCTTTTGGAAGATATACATTCTCCAAATGCATTCAAGTAATCTAATCACAGCTTATCCATTTGCTCCTTCAAAACATATGATTCGGTAAGCACTCCGTCTAACCTGATGTTCCAGCATTAGTGAACACTATTTTTCAGTGTAACTCATTCACTAAGTATTGACCTATGTCAGAAGGGGTATGGCGGATATTATAGTAAGTTCAATAGTTGAGATCACGAGTCCTGTGTGGTCTAGGTTCAATTGACACATCATTTCAACTATTGAAAATAAATTTAAGTTCATATTGAACTTATATATGGTATTTCTTTGACAAATTGTTAGTTTTATGTGCATAATTTCTGCTATTGATCAGGGATAAATCATTAAATAAATGAAATGCACGTTTCAGTGAGAATTCTTCAAATCTTATAATTACAGTTTTAAAGAGAGTTGTAATGTTATTTTATTCTACTTATTTCTAAGGTATTCATTATTTAATCAGAGATTGAAATACTATACAATAAAATCAATGATTTGATGGTTAAAGTAATTGACTTTTAAATAAGTAAGTGGTGGATTAGAACCCCGTTTAACCCAGTACCTTTTAGACAACCTATATTTATCACCAGTGTTGATTATAAGTTGTAGCGGTCAAACCCAGTACATAGGTCAATACTTAGTGAATGAGTTACACTGAAAAATAGTGTTCACTAATGCTGGAACATCAGGTTAGACGGAGTGCTTACCGAATCATATGTTTTGAAGGAGCAAATGGATAAGCTGTGATTAGATTACTTGAATGCATTTGGAGAATGTATATCTTCCAAAAGATGAAACTGTGTCCGCAACTTAGCTGCTCTCGACCGTTTTTAGGCACTGGACACTTCACATAGTATAGTTTATAGGCACATTTTTAAATAACGATCGATGCTCAACGTAGGTCTAATGAACAATAGCGAGCACAGTCAGTTTAATTATAATGTTTATGCTAGAAAATGAATCTGCACTAAGAACCCAAATATTATCAGTTCTAACTCATGAATATACCTCTTTCATCAATCTAATTACAGCCTCATGATCATTAGTGAAGTTTATTTCTCTTTAAAATCTTATTTTTCTAATCGTCACTTCACCATTTTACGTAGACTGTTGATAGTTTGTAAATATTTTAAAACTACTGTCATCAGTGTTTTAATTAAACCAAAACAGATAAGAGTGAACAGTTGTGCTATTCACATGAATATTCCAAGGTCACAAGAATAATAAATGACTAGCAAAACAGGTTATCATCTTGCTAGCCGATGGCATACAATATGACGTACCATGTCAAACACAGTCATCTATCTGCTTCAATGGAGCTACTGCTAATCACTGCTGTTGTTTCGAGTCCAGTTGATACCTAAATTTTCCCATGTCCTAAGACAACATTCACGCATATAAATACAAAACATTTCGAGAGTTGATTTTCTTCAGTAGTGAAAAAGCTATAGTAGAAGGCATCAAATAATCGTCATTAAATACTGAGAATAAACTGAAATTATCAAAATCATCTAATAAATCATTCTCACTCAATAATCTGATGGCATAGTGTTTATCACTAAACCTCCAAGTCCTGAACTCAATATAGTATAGTTTCATGGATCTTTGTCGATGAAATGTTGGATTATCCCTCCTTTTCAAATACTCTCTAGCTGATAACTTCAAGCAAAGAAACATAACAAACTATAAACCTTTCTCTTATTCCGAATTTGTTATGTTTGTAAATTTTAATACTCTTACTATTATTATTATTATTTCTACATAATGGTAATAGTTTAAATAAAATCGGATTCGTTCTATAAATAGATCAAAAAAAACCGTGGACTAAACATGTGATGATTAGATATTTTAAGAAAAGCAATAAAATATTTCCTATTTTTGAAAAATGAAGTAAAACGATTAAAACATGAAATAGATATTTTACTTGTATTTAATCTCTATACTTTAGCCTTTCTATTTATTCTATACTTCTCATATGAATGTTTCATTTAATTCTTTTCTTAAAAAAAAAACAACGGCAGAAAAGTTAATGTAAATCATTTCTTTATGTCTTGTTGCATATAACATATTGATCTTTTTTTATTCACTATACTTTATCACGGCAATACTGATCTTTGTAGATTATATGCAGTAAATTTTATTACACATAGAATTTGTACATGAAAAAGAGAATTATTTGGAAAAAAGGGGTATTTTTCAAGAGTATGACATTGAGAACTTCTAGAGCTAGTCGTTAAAAATAGTAGATCTGCCGTGTTCAAAATATTTTGTCATGTAAACCTTTTCATTGAAATCATGAACCGATCAATGTTAGACCACTACTGAAAAACCTAGAAGTATTGGACGGCCGTTTGATCTTGGTATAACACTTGAACATCCTCTTACAAGAATAAATTAGTTATTACGCTTAAGGAAATTGAATTGGTTAAAATAGTAAATAAATAATAATAATAGCCGGATATATTTTAACAAACTATCACTGTGCCACACAAATTTAACTGATAGTACTGGTGAACATCAGCTGCAAAATTTAGGATTAAAGCAGTTCCTCATAAAATAAACTAGAAATAAAAACTATCCTCTCTATTCAGCTACTTCACAAAATAAAACCCTTTTCTAGACCAATCAAAACACTCAACAAAAGACGTACATTAATTCAATAATAGAGTTTTGTTTTAAGGATAATTTCAACTGAATCTCTAGAAGAATAGAGATAAAAAACTCTATGCTTTTATGTATTTGTATATTTTAAACAATCGTCATTACTGCCTCATTCAACTTTGTTTATTAAAGTATAAAGTTTATGATGAATATTTCACATCTATTTTCATAAAACAAAGATATGTTGATTATATCAACTGTATGAATCAATTCCTGATAATACTACTTTATTAGTCTGTTAATTTATTAAGTTTAAACAAGAATTTAACAGTTTAAAAATCCCCATAGAATACTCAAAGATGAAGAATGTTTGAGCGAACAATCGTTTTCAATAACACCATCATCAGTCTCTACAATTATAAGTCTATAATTATTGTGATATTTTATAAAAGTCAAAATAATTATGAACTTATAACTGTAGAGCCTGATGATGGTGTTATTGAAAACAATTGTTCGCTCAAATATTCTTCATTTTAAACAAGATCTTAGACATTTTCTTGCCTTATTTAATGATTATATTTTTACATTATTCAGCAGACACAATAATATTCCGTCTAGTGTTGTAAAAGATTCACCCCAGATACGACGGAACAGATAAAAAATTTTTCACCGATAATTAAACATTAACAATCTAATTATTCACATACGAAAAAAGAAACAAATTTTAGGAATTCTTATATTGTTAATTTGAACAATATAAATAAGTGAATTATATTGTTTTCAATTAGATCTTCATCGGCCTTTGCTCTAGTATACAGCAATATTTATATGTATATATAAATTGCTAAAATAACCAAGGCAGTTTATGAGTCAGTGATAACAGTGGAATCGATTACATAAATAAACATTATAAGTAAAAAGTACAAATTGATAGTATGATGACAGGGGTGCTAGTTGTGATATGAATAACAAATGCTTGAATCAATGTTTCATAATAGGAAGTAGGTTAATGACTTAAAAAATAAACACTGAGAAGCAGTGACCAGTGGAGTTCAACTGGGTCTGTTGAGAGATGGTAACTTACTGATGGCAATGGTGGATGTGTAGCTCAATTTTGTGGATTAGTTGAAGTTAGACATTAACATCGTTGGATGCCGGCCAGCTCAGTGGTCTAGAGGTTAAGCGCTCACAAACGAGACTGATAGGTCCTCGTGGATGCGCACTACTGAGGAGTCCCACACTAAGACGAAACGGTCGTCCAGTGCTTCCAGGTGTTTCCATGGTGGTCTAGCTTCAATTGACTCATGATCTCAACTATTGAAATAACTGAAATAGTATTTATTAAAAAATCATTGCATTATGCAATAAGAAATATTCAGATAATTAGACAATGAATCGTATATTTGAGAAAAGAGGGGTGAAGAAAAATAAACGAACAAAACGTATGGAAAATAATAATAAATAAAACCATTTATTAAGACTAAGTCGGCCAAGGAAGAGATAAGGGTGTTATAAATTTCTCATAAATGAACTGTTATCAATGCCTTGATTGGTTCAATAATATATATTGCGAATAATTTTTCAACAGATTTTCTTTAAGTTCTACAAATGTATAGCCTAAGTAACAATCTGAAAATTGACCACGTTTAGGGCAAAGTGCATCGTTTAAAGTTATAGCATGTGTATTTACGATTGTTAAACAAAACAAAATTGTTAATTTTGAAAAAGCTTATATGGAGTTTAACTTGAATCCGCTTATACGTCATGTGAAATTTTAAACATTCATGATCAGAATACATATGGATCACATAGGGTGGAAGAAATAAGAGTGTAATTAAAAATTCGATCAAATGTTTAGTACAAGACTATATTGTATCAGGATTTTATATGAAATTAGTTAAAAATAGTAAAGTTGGGTGAATGCTAAATAAGCGAATTATGTGTTCGGGAAATTAATGATGATGTTGAACCAATAATAATAACGATAATAATAATAATATTACCAAGATATGTGAACAAAGACAATAAAGTTAATTATATTTGACTAAGAAATGTTGTAAGCACATTACTCAAATTAGGTCATTCAATAACTAAGTTTATTTTTGATTAATTGGCCCTGAGGTTGACCAAAGTAGAAGATAAGATTGATGATATTTCTTTTGTACATATAGCTCAGGTTTCTTAATCTTGGTGGCTACTGCTTCCACTGTTTGAAGGACTTTGTGTCCAACAGGTTTTGGCAAAAAATTACTGGCCCGATAAATAATTGAGAAAGATTGGCTTATATTGATACTGTGACCAGTTTGCACTAAATACACCAATATCGAGCTGTTCATTTTCCTTACTATACCTTTCCTCATACACTCTGGAAGGTGTTCGCGAGCACGAAAATGTAAATTCCTAAAACTTCGACCAATACAACTTGCTCCGCGAAGGCAATCGAAATGACAAATGCAAGCTGCTCATTCTAGGTAATTCATCTTTCAGATTCACCATCACCGCTAGACAGGCGTAAAATACCAGTCTTAGTTTCCTGGGATTTAATGTTCATTATTTTATTCTTAGCAATCTCTAGATTAGTATTTCGTATAAACATCATTGTATACCAAAGTAAAGCATGATGAAAATATAAGTGAAAACATTAATTCGCTCATAAATAATTGTTCTAGTATCAGCGGGAAATTATCTAAGTACAAGTTACTTGTTCCTACTGTTGTTGTTATCAGATCAACAGTAAATTTTAGCTCCTAGTTTCGTCTAAAAATACAAATCATTTAAACTTCTTATATAATAATTGTTTGCAGTTTCTCTTGAATTTACCGATAATCTCAGTAAAAAACTATTTTTTTCTCTCTATATTGTATGTAAATCTTTCCAACGATACTCCTCTTCCCCAACCTCAACAAAATAAATCTAGAATATATTTCACTACTTATGCGAAACGAATAAAAGTGAAGGTAAACCAGAAGTTGAATTACCTGATGCTTCTGGGGTAAGTTGAATGATGTGCATGATTTTTCCTACTTTATTTCCTTTTTATCAGAGTCAATTTATCTCCGCCATCTATATATCTATACATATATACGTTAAATAATCATTGTCATTTAAACTTTAATCGGTTTTAGTGAACTATTTAATTGAATTTATTCGTGGTCCTAATGAGCACCGAGATATCGGTCTATCCACCAAAGGACGTGTTTACTGCGCAGCAGTTCGTTCCGTCCTAATTTATGGCAGTGAAACATGGCCGGTAAGAGTAGAGGATATTCGTAGGTTACTAGTATTTGATCATAGGTGTCTTTAAAACATTGCTCGTATATCCTAGGACCATCGAGTAAGTAATGCAGTTGTTAGGAAACGGGTACTAGGTAAGCATGGCAAATCAATTGATGAAGTAGTGAAACTTCAGCAGTTGAGATGGCTTGGACACGTGTTACGTATGCCCAACCACCGACTGCCTCGACGTGCGATGTTCAGTGGTATTGGAGTAGGTTGGTTTCTATATAACTCTTCCCACGTTCTGTTTCGGCTACCATGGTTGTTATATGTCTCATTTGTATATTTATAATCAGTTTTCTTGATTAAATTTAAAATATCATTATGCGTTCTGTTGACAAGATCTTCTAAAGATGGCAACTACCTTTCTTTTTTAGATATTTCCCCTTTTTGAAATGAATTAATTTTAATATTTAGCTAATAATGTGAATGTAATTCTTTTTTGGTATGATTCTCAAAGTTTCCGAAGACAATTTGAAAATTCCCATTGAGCTATTCGATACGATGTCAATGGTCATCTCGTAACCATTTGCAACCAGAAAGTAATAAGTAGTTCCAATTACATCATATATGCTAGAAGATTTCTTTAACTATACACTGATTAGCACTTTAATTTTTAGCTTCATTATGTGGTAGTACCTTTAATTTGTATGTCGGTGATAAATTTCAACTAGAATATAGCAATGATTTACACATCTCTCTAATTCGCACTTGCTGGGTATTATATGGGAGGGGGTATAATTTGTGAAAACCGTCCAATTCAAAGTTGATTTAGAATAATGATTGATAGTAAGTGAAAAATGACTAGAAACAAGAAAGCCCTTAATTGTTATTTCATCCTTGTCCAGGTCTTATTAGTGGTAAACACAGACATTTTTAGCAGGGTTAGAACCTGAGACATTTATACCTTGCCGCGAGCTTCACCGAATCGGAATTCACTTATTCATGTTTGCATTGGCGACATTGCACATTCATATTAATGTTGACCACTGGATTTAGAACAAGTTGTCTGAAATTATAATGTTCACTAGTGATTTGAAGCTCCAAAGTGTTATTCCCGATTTATATTCGCATCGTAACCGATGCTAGTGTATGACAATAAAACATGAAAATAGGTTTATCTATGTCATGAAGCATAATCTTCACATGTTAAACATCCTTACAGTTTATCTTAGAAGTATTGTATACATAGTATTGTTTTCAGCACAAGTAAATAATTTATGACTTAAAATGGATGCATAAAACACATTTTTTCTAGAATTTTTCATGTACCACTTTTCAGGATGATGCTTGGAAAGTATATTTTAATCCACCTGCACAAGATATTGTCAATGAGTTTGCTATACGTTATGGGATTGAATCAATTTATCAAGCAATGACGTAAGTTGAAGAAATCCTCAATAAAACTAATCTTTCTCCTTTCTTTATATAACAAAAAATTAAATAAAATTTACGAAATGTTGTGTTTCATATTTTCAAGTTCACAATTTTTATTGTCGAATTGCATAGAAATCTTGGTTTTATGATTGAATTCTATGAGGAAAGTTTGCAACGAAACATATTGCTTGTAACCTGATTTCCATCATAGTGCATCGATAAATAAATTCACTTTGTGACAAAACATCCTTACTTACTTAGGCCTATTAAACCTCCTGGAGTACTATAGGCCGCCCGTAAGCATTCTCCAACAAAATCTGTCCGAGACTCCGCTTTCTACTTCCTTTAAGGTTTTTTCATAATTCCCTCGTCAGATGGAAACAGGTTTGTTCTCTCTCACAGTAGACTGTTGCTGATGGTATCTGGTCAATGGACATTGATATTTTACGTAGACAACTGTTTGTAAATACTTTTACCTTTTTCATGATGGTTGTGATAGTTCTCAAGGTTTCAGCTCCGTACAATAGAACTAATTGTTCGGACGTTCGTATTGAATATTCTGACTTTGATTTTGGCTTTAAGACAGTTGTCTCGAGTTGCATGTGTTCTTCAGCTGTAGAAATGCTACCCGTGTTTTGTCAATCCATGTCTTCACATGTGCATCAGATTCTCTTTATTCGTGGATGATGCTTGCCAGATCTGTGGATGTCCCGACATCTTCCAGAGTTTTTACTCGATCAAGTGTGATTGTGTTGGTGTTTTGTGTGTTGTATTTGAATTTCTTGCATTTTTCCTCGTGTATGTTGAGACGTATTGATACAGAAGCTACTGCTACACTGACTGTCATGATCTGCATTTGTTGGTGTGTATGTGATCAATCACTTATTATCATGATATATTTTCAAACAGCACGTGTTTTTCAACAATTAAGCGAACAATAAGCAACTGCAATACTAGAAATGTTCATATACTTTAACACATGAACGTAAACTGGTGGATACAACTGTAAGTAAATCTAAGACGAAAATTTATCCGCAGTTGACTTTGTCGACAAACAATATTTTGCATAAGTAATGGGATGCTTGAGAGTTGAAGACATCCTTTTAAACAAAACCTTTAACTTCAAATTGACCGTTGCAGTTGTTTAATTATTGCTTAAGTCAAGTCTCAAGACGACAATGCTTTTATAGGAGATTACTCCACTTCCTTCGTTTTAGTCCTCCTATATTTATTTATGAATATGTATAGGTAACTATTATCACACAATTGACATTCAACTATATATAGTTTTTTTCTGAGTTTTATTCCACAAGCACAGTTAAATAATGTTCTAATGGGAGCTGAATTGTAACTTACTGAACAGAATCCAGTAAAGTTAAAAAAAAGCCTAACTCCAAGTTCTTATCTCGAAAAGACATATGGTGAACTCCAATACGTTGTACGTTTGAATTCCGCTTTATTTATACATATTTTTATATAAATTATTTAGTGTTTGTTTCAAATTCAAAAGTTTACCATATCTAACTGATTTTTTCTTATTTTCACAGGCATTTTTCATGCTTAACCACAAAATATATGTGCACTGGTGTACCGGCTACTATGTCTAATCTTCTAGCTAATATTAATGCATTTTATGCGCATACGTCATCTTCTAGTAGTCAGTCAGCTTCGGAACGTTTCAGTGCTAGTAACTTTGGTGTAAGTTAATATATTATTTATTTCCTGTATTCTTATTCTTCAGTCATAGGATTTATTCCATTAGCTATCATTATCTAATTTTCATTGACCTAAAAATAAATCTCATCACTTTGAATCTTGACGTTGTTACTGATATTAGACAGATAACACATTATGATAGTAACAGTTCGGCTAATTAAAGAGTTCTTCACCGAATTTTATTATTAAGTTTGGTCTTTCATGTGTGTATACTCTCTGATTCTGAGTCTAAAGAATGCATACTTCTACTTTATATATTTGGAAGTTGTTTGAAATCAGATAATTTGAAATATTCTTCTTATGAAAAGAAAGTAAGAGTAGGTAGATCGTAGATATGCTTAACAGTAATTAAGTCAGAGAATCTTAGCGTATTATGTAACGATAGCTATTTCTAACACTGAATAACGTCATCTAGAGGACCATATAAAAGCAACATAGAGCAGGGAAACACTTTCATCTTGGTTAGAAACTTGTCTTTACATAAGTTCGAACCTGAACGTCTATGGCGAGGATGATACTTGTAGATATCATTTTTAGAACACAGTAGTCTTGTGTATGCACTATTGACAAGTCTCATTTTAAGATGTGGCTGTAGTTGTCTAACTGATGTCAACCCGTGACGAGTATTATCTACAGTTTAAACTCATATCGACAAAACATCTCAACAACAACATGATATTTTGTTGTCTTTTTCAGTAGGTAAACTTACAGTTTCAAATTTCATAAAAACTCTTTATTTCCTGAAACAGAAACATCTATGCAGTACACAAAAACAACGTTATTATTAGAAAAATAGATAATTACAGTTTCAAAATAAATACCAATTTGTATCACAATACTCTATCATAAGTGTTACGATTATATTACGATTTATTGCTTGCTCTTTGACTAAAAGTTATTTCTGTCCATTAACATATTCTTTACGTGTTATATTTACTATTCATTTTTGACAAGTAAACATTTAAAAAAGACATTGTAGTTATTTCAATTCATTTTGACTGATGATGCAATTTGTAAATATAAATATCAGATCGAGACATGAATCTGTGTTAAATAAATTAGGCCACGTAAATTTAATAAAGTTTCTAATAGAAGCATCGATATAGATATAAAACAGGCATGTTGAAAAATTTAGACTATTATGTGAATTGGGTGAATTTCAATGGTGCTATGACATATTTTAAATGAATGAAGTCAATTCAAATATAGCTCTTGTTCTATGTTTTATGTTGATTGATACCCTTCAGTAATGCATACCTGAATTTTGAATGGGACTGTTGCTGAACTAGAAATCTAAACGTAGGTCATTCAGTCATTCATCGAAAGAGGCTAATATTAAGTATTGATCATGACCGATTAAAAACTGGGACCAAATTTCTTATTTTTATTCCCATTTACATGTTTCTGTTATGTAACGATAGCAACTTATTATTACACAGCGTCACAATAAGAGAAGAGAGAATGTGGTTTTTTAATAGCAAAGCTTTTTATTCTCAGAAGTCAAAATATGATCTAAGAATTCTGTTTACTTAGTAAGAATAACGAACTTTGAAAAACTAGTAAACTATGGGAGAAAGTAACCAATTAGATGATATCATCAGTCGGCCTGATAATATAAATTAAAAGTTATCGAGGACTATCTCATATATCAGAACTACATTTTATTAATAAAAGAAAAAAAAACGATATAATTTGAGATCTTCTTAACAGGTTACTACTATTACTACTAAAACTACTATTACTCCTATCAGTAATATATACTAGACAACATGATATTGAATACTAATCAGTTACTGATACTCATTGTGTTAAGTCTATTACCATTATATATGATAGTATAATCCATTTTGTAACTGAAATGTTATTATGTCATCCAATTAAATTGATTTGAAAATTTCATGAAGTACAAATTAACTGATTGATTTTGGCAATCTACGTCAGTTTAGACTTCTACTTTATAAAAAATCAATATAGACAGATCATTAACAACAAGAATTGTAAATTTCTACCAAATTCAATATAACTAAAGAACAAAAAATAAGCAATGATAATATGGAGAAGTTTATAATCATTTAAGCGTATCTCTTAGAAACTACTTAATTTCTAATTCTATTTATATTGTGTAACCATTGAAGATAACAAAAAAAAATAAAATAAAATAATATTAATAACATCTGAAAAATTGATCTTAATTTTACCGTATTGATTAAATTATTGATCGATTGATATGATGTTTGGATTGTTTATTCTTAAAATTTCTTCCATTCTAATCATTTCTCATCTATTTTTGTTCTATAATTATTAGGTAACAACATAAATAGCATTCAAATATTTTACAGTATTATATTGTCTTTGGTTGTTTGTTAGTATGTGTACTGTTTTAAGTGTTAGTTGTTTGTTTTTACGGAAATCTTGCGCTTTTCGTTCAACTGCCTTTTTTTAAAAAAAATTTCTTCCCTTGAACTTATTTGACACAATACCCTTTAGATATATTGCTTTAATTTAAAGAGAACAGATTTGTGTACACAACAGAAAAATATAAGATCATAATAAGAGCATTTTTTAAAAGTTATCTTATTTAAAATGAGCAAGAGAATGATTTACTGCGACTGTAATTACATTATTTTATTCAATTTTTTTTTCTATTTTACTCACAGTATCTACATATAAGTAATATATATCATTACTTAGAAGTGATCGTTCACAAACAGACTGTACATTTATTATAAGCAAACAATATATTATTTATGGTTGCTTTTTTGAACTTCATTTGTAACAATTGAACAGTAAGGTTTACATACATTTCCAATTAAATATCAAGGCTAGTATATGTAAATATTTACAAGCAAAGATGGATGGTGGTTAACAGTGGAATCCACGACGTGCGTTTCATCCTATTCGTGACTCGTCAGCTGAATCCACTTGAATCTCAGAGTTGTCCCGGTGTGAACATCAACTCTGAGATACAGTTACATCCAACTGACGAGTCTCAAATAAGACGAAACGCGCGTCTTGGATTTCACTGTTAGCCACCATACATCTTTGTTTATAATGCTTGTGACTTAAGGAACTATCGAGGCAATCCGCACGGGATGCACATATGCAAAAGTAGACTGATCAATTGAAGTCCTAAACATTAATGGGAAGACTCAAGCAAACAATACCAAGTGAATGTAAATATTTACGCTTCGGAACGTATTTTACTTATTAAGATATTTAAATCCTTGAATTCTAACTTATAGGTCTAAAATCATCGCAGTTGCAAAGCTGTTTAAAAGTCATAAATTGAGTCTTCTCTTCAGTGTTGTGTGTGCAAACTATATATAACAGAAAAATAATGGTCAAATGAAAAGTAGGTTATATCAAATTCATCCCATAAACATTTCAGTATGAAATTCTGCTAATCTTTAAGCATTCACCAAAGTTTTTACTAATAAGATCAATAAAGTTTTCTATATTGATTTCTTAATTATTCTCCCTTTTTTAACATTTTAATTAGAATGATTTCACGTTGATTTATTATCTTCTGCTAGTGCTAAGTATTTTAGATTTTGTAACCATGGTAAGTGGATGGTTTGACTCAGATTTTGATGCTTGTTGAAATTCATTTCAACTTGAGTATTATTGGATTTATTGTGTTTTTTACTAACTGAAGTTGTTCAGCAAATACAAATACTTATAATGGATTGTTAAACATACAGTTAAACCAATGATTGTATAAAATACATTGTAAAAAGAACACATTCACTATTTACAGGCAAAGTTGGATGGTGGCTAGCCGTGGAATCTATGACGAGCGTTTCGTCCTATTTGGTGTTCGTCAGCTAGATGTACCTAGACCATTTGTTTTATTTACATTATTGTTGAATTGAAATTTCTACATGATATATGTTATTTTATATTGTATTTTGTGTTTTACAGAAAGAAAAATTCGTTAAATTGTTGGACCAGTTACACAACTCTCTACGTATCAGTTTGTCTGTGTATCGTGTAAGTTAAATAGTCATTACCATAATTGTGGTTTTCCAATTCGAAACTTACCAACCAATGTATGGAAGTTGTGTATATAATTATATTCTGATCAGATTTGATCCCATAATTATAAAGTTATGGATTAGAAAGCAGATTAATTTCACTTCATTTCTGATCACTCGCCTATCGTCTTATTCATAAAACTCACCTTATCTTCTACTGATCAAATTTATTTTTGAAATAAACTGGGTATTTGATGATATTCTATGACTACTAAATTATAAGATTAATATTTATTTTAATCGAAAGCCATTTTTTTTAAATGTCAAGTTGTCCGGTACTTGAAGAGTATAGATAAGTATTAGACTCTTATAATGTGTTTCTTGTGTTTGGTATCCTCACTGTAGGTGGTCATTTACATATGTTAGTATGGGTGTGTATATTGTGTATGTAGAGCTGGACATGTTAAACTTCACTGTTTACTTGATTTATCTGGTTAACAGAAATGGAATTATAGAAAAGTAAAAAAATATGTGATTAATCCACCCCAAATGTAGAAGTTTCAAGTTGTTGCTCGCTTTTATCGTTTATTTGGGCTGTGAGAAAAAAAGAAGCACATACTTTTTATCAGTAATCACCTTATTAACTTATGTCTATTAACCCTGGTTGACGAGCATAGGCTGACAACCAGCATTCGCCATCCGACTCCATCTTGAACAATCCTTTCTAGTTGTTTCCAGTGGCCATTCATCCTTCCCATGCCTGTTTTCGATTCTCGACACAGTGTGTTCTTTAGTCTTCAACTTTTCTGTTTCTCTCCAGGATTCCAAGTTAGTGTTTGCTTCCTGATGCAGTTCAATTATTTCCTCAATATATGTTTTATCCACTCCGAATGTGCTTTTCTAATTTCCGCCTCGGCTGGAACCTGCTTTGTTCTCTTCCACAGTAGACTGTTGCTGATGGTATCTGGTCAATGGACGTTGATATTTTACGTAGACAACTGTTTGTAAATACTTTTACCTTTTTCATGATGGTTGTGATAGTTCTCAAGGTTTCAGCTCCGTACAGTAGAACTAATTGTTCGGACGTTCGTATTGAATATTCTGACTTTGATTTTGGCTTTAAGACAGTTGTCTCGAGTTGCATGTGTTCTTCAGCTGTAGAAATGCTACCCGTGTTTTGTCAATCCATGTCTTCACATGTGCATCAGATTCTCTTTATTCGTGGATGATGCTTGCCAGATCTGTGGATGTCCCGACATCTTCCAGAGTTTTTACTCGATCAAGTGTGATTGTGTTGGTGTTTTGTGTGTTGTATTTGAATTTCTTGCATTTTTCCTCGTGTATGTTGAGACGTATTGATACAGAAGCTACTGCTACACTGACTGTCATGATCTGCATTTGTTGGTGTGTATGAGATAGGAGAGCCAGGTTATCTGTGGAGACCCAATCGTCTAGTTGCATGCAAACTGTCCATTGTATTCTGTGCTTTCACTCAGATGTGGAGCTCCACATAATCCAGTCGACCATCAGAATAAAGAGAAAGAGATAGAGCAAACAAGCCTGCCTGACACTGGTCCTCACTTGGAATGCGTCTGTCAGCTGTTATCCATGCACAACTTTGCACTTTATTCTGTCGTATGAACTCTATATGATGTTGACAATGTTCTCAGCTACTAACTCCATAGTGTCAAAGAAGTTTCCATAATGTTCTCTTATCCACGCTATCGGATGCTTCTTTAGTCCATTCACAAATATTCTTTATGAAAGTTTTTTCTTCTTTGAAAAGATCTTGTAAGGCTTTGAACCAACAGCTTTGAACTCTCTTGAATTCATTGAAATTGTCAGTAAATCGATGGGAGGCTATATTGAACCTTTGTAATTCTGTTTCTCCAATTATTCAGTGCTTTTTTAACTTCAATTCCACTTGGTAACTATCAGGTGATGATCTGGAGCTATGTCAGCTCCTTCTGAATTGTTTGGTGATGCAAACATGATTGGTCTGGTTCTGTGTAGTGTGATCTGGTGCGACCCATGTAACTCTGTGTATATGTTTGTTTGAGAATATTGTACCACCTATAACCATTTTATCGGATACTCATCAATTTGTAAACCTCTCACCATTCTTGTTCGTTTCTCCCAGTCAGTCGATGTCGTCCCATGATATTTTCATATCCGTTAATGTCCATTCCGACTCTGGCGTTTAGATCTCCGATCAGGATGGTCAGGTTCTTTCCTGGTCACTTCTCTACGATCGATTACAGACCCCCATGAAACTGATCTTTATCGTCTTGATTGTTACGATTGTTGGGTGCATAGCACTGGATAATATTCACTGTGATCCGATCCTTTTTTTGTTTTGAAGGATGCTTTGATTATCATAGATCCATGAATAACAACAGTACAACTCCCTGAATATGCGGAACGCTTTAGTCTTCGTGACCGTAGTACGTCAGCATCTTTCCTTTAGTTAATGATCTTTGCCCAGCTCGGGTCCAATGGGCTTCACTGATTGAGAGCACCATCAAGTTGTATCTCCTCGTTTCCATGGCTATTTGATGGGTCTTACCAGTCTCCCACATTGTCCGGACACTCCATGTACATATATTAGTTTTTCCTCTGTTTGTTAGAAGTGGCATCATTTTTGTGACTTTCGGATAATGTTGACCTTCACCATAAGGCGTCATAATTCTTCTAAATGAAAAAATATAAAAAAACTAAACAATCTGCCATTCATTCATCTCTAATACAAAAGTTTTAAATTATTGCTCTATTTTGTCTTTTATCTTGGCTCTGAAAAAATGAAAGCATATACTCTTTATCATTAATTTTCATTGACGGCAGAGGTGAAGTAGAACAGTTTTCTTAATCTTTTCCGTGCAGAAATAGTAGCTGTCTGGGATATTATTTTGATGGAATGAATATTTGATTGGTATTTCTGCCTAGACGTCATTTAATTCACTAATAATAGCAACAGTTGTTGTTATTTTGCATCCTTTTTATAAAAATCCCACTTTTAGTTCATGTATTTATTCTTGATACTTTTTACGTTATTTGATAGACTGAATTGATGATGATCAATGATATTTCAGACTGAATTATTCTGCTCCTTATTGTGTAAATGTCGACTTTATTTTCAAATTTTATTCATCCTTATCGTTTTGTGTTTGATGAATTTCCTCTTTTTATCGTATGTTGTTGATATGACTTCCTTTTCTTTCCTAGTTGATTAAAGATATTCATCAGTTTTTTAGTTTACGATAAAAGTGAAGCATTCAGCATTTTAATTATATTTTTGTTCAATTGATGTGTAAGTGCTTCATGTCAAAGAGTACTTTTCACTGAAAATTTCATTTCAGTTCCTACTCCTTCAATGTATTCATATTTTTCATCCGACTTATTGGAACGCGTATACGTACGTGTTCACGACAGATAGATAGATAAGAATAACTTAAGACGTTTCAAGTACACTCGTATTCGCAGAACTCATTCACCAAATGAATGAAAAAACGACCAAAAATGCTGGATGCCTCATGCTTATTGAACATTAAAAGACAAATGGTTATCCTCAGCCTTATAGTTTTGATGAAGTGGTCTTCGTTTTACTCATTTTCATTTTTAATTTTTTAGATCCTATTGTGGTCTGTTTTAGACGGTCTAATTTATAGCTTTGTTATTAATTTCTTTTTGAGATGATTTACAACTACTTATCGTCTAAAATAACTGTTTAAGAAGTCCATCTATTTATTTATTTCAGTTCATAGATTAATAACGGTAAAACTATATCAGTTGAAGCGATCTAGACCACATACTATCAACCTATTATACATCTAAGTTTTATTAAAATGATTATCACTTTGATTCGCTTCTATCATTGTTATTTCGTTTTCTTATGCTCATATTCTAACTAATTCCCTATGTTTATGAATAATATGTTTCGTAACAGTATAGATTAGTGAAAATTGATAGAATTATACAGAGATAATTATGATCATTTTTTTATGAGAACAGAAACAATTCAGAAATATTTATTTATCAAATAAAAACTTCTTTTTTACAAGGTATTTAAGGGTGCGACTACTAATCAAGTACTTAAGACAGAATCAGTGTTTAAATTTCCTTCATCTACAGTAGTTTAAGTTCAGTTAGATTAACCTTCGATAACTTCTCTACCGCAAACTCTAAATGGTATAAAATAGTATCATGCAAACATTTGTATATTCTTGATGAAATATATAGTCTTTGTGATCAACTTTTGAACATGCTAAAAGATTTTAGAATTTTTATCATAAACATATTTATAATGGTAGGACTATAATTGATGGACAGACCATTTAGATTTAAGATAGCGACTCTGATTTTTGCGAGAAAATCAATAATCAATATAGTTAAATAACATTCTGACATTATAGTTAATATCATTTCTTGTGAAGATTTTTACTCTGATTTCTAACCGTCACTTCTAACTCTTAATCCTAATTACTCACTCTAATTCTTAACCCCATCTTTACTCTACTATGTAGTTGAATTTTCTTAAGGTGATTTTGGTATCGTTCAGAAGTCGTTCATAAATTTTAGTTTCGCCTTACAAAATATTGTCTCATACATGCAAACTATAGAATTCGTAGCCCATGCTTAAGTTCAAAAATTAAGGAAAGCTAATACTATACATATGACTAATTGGTAGATAGATTGGAAAAATTTATCTGTATGACTTTTTTTACCAACTGTATAAGGTATGTAAATTTTTAAAGTTTTGAATATACACGTTTAGAAAAATCTTTATTATTTCCTTTTTATGAATATTTAGTTTCAAAAAATGCAGTACTTATTCCATAAATGCAGTATTGTGACTAATTCTCCATCCGCATACATTCAGTCATATAATATTTGAATTACCTTATTTCATTTAGTTAGTATATTGTAAAAAATTAGATGGTGATTGGAAGTAGTCGACAGGAACCCCTGGACCCAGGTTTCGTGCTACTTGGTACTCGTCAGCAAGTTGTACCTGTAATCTTGAGGCAACATGGTCGATCGCATTCGATCTGCACTAAATAAGGACTTGACACACATGACATTGATCACCACCCAGTGATCAATCAATTGTGATTGAAAAAAAGGATGAAATGTTACTTACATCAAATATGAACTATAACGATTTTGCCAATGATTTACTTCATTAGAATTAGAATATTATTTAATCTAGTTTTGAAAGTATTACATACATATATGTATATTTAAGTAATAACGTTTTCTTGCTAAATGTTTATTTAACAGAATTCATTTCCTGCTTCACAACCGGATAAGTTACAAGATTTGAAATCCACTGTCGATCTTTTAACAAGTATTACATTCTTCCGAATGAAAGTAAGTTTTCTAAAGCAAAGTGAAGGGTTTCTTTGTTTTCCTTATACTTATTATTCACGTTGTTTTTTTGACACAAATATTTCGAGCTATTCCCTCTCAAAAGGTTTTATTTTGATTGATGTCTCTATTACTGTATTGTTCTCTCTTCAGTTAATCCTGTTCTTTATTATAGCAACTGCGTAGTTAAAATGCAATAGAGAGGATACTGTGTATATTTACTGGTTTTCTTAAAGTTCAACATAGTTTCTACTATTGGTAACCTCCGCTTGTATCCGACTCAAACTACTATTTGACAACATTTCCTTAAAATGACAAATGTATTCACGTACTCATTCACATGATTTTCTTACAGAGATTCTTGGGATTGTCTACTCTCTATAAGTGGAATTATCACTAGTAGTGTGAGTATTTTCCATACGGCGCCTCTTAAACCCTATTCAGATTAAATTCTTCCGCTGTCATAGGGTCCACGCTTTACACCACATTTAGCTTATCGTTGTAATGTGGTTGATTATGTGATCAGAAATACTCTTACTGATCCGGGTTATTCAGACCAAATAGTGGTTGATAGAAACTTTATTGGTAAAATCTTCAGAATGGTAATGAGAGTCGTACAATTAGACAATTTTATGCAAGTCATAAAAGTATGTCCATCCAAGGTTTACATTGAGGTCATACAATAAAATCATATTTGACCAACCAATTAAAATTTAGATATACAGTTTGGTACATATCTTATCGTTATTAAAATATAAGCGAAATCAGAGTTGAAAGTTTACTTTTTGTTAGCAGTCTAGTTATATTAGTTGTCTTCTGAATGAACTAGTCATTACTATTTCAAAATATGACAATGACTTGCAGTACAGCATATATATAGGTTGACGAGTAATATCTATTAATCAAGGATCAAATGATAATATACAATGAATTTAAACAATTTATTGTGATAGTTGTTTACTATATTTATGAAGATAAAACCAACTTAAAACCATGGAATACTTACGCCTGTTACTCCTCGTGAAGGAGCATAGGCCACTCACCAGCATTCTCCATCCAATCCTGTCCTGGGCAATCCTTTCCAGCTCCTTCCAGTTGTTATTCATCCCTTTCATATCTGGTTCTATTTCCCGATGTAATTTGTTCTTTGGCCTTCCTCTTTTCCGCTTCCCTCCAGGATTCCAATTTAGGGCTTGCCTCGTGACGCATTTTGATGATTTGCGTAATGTATGTCCTATCCATTTCCATCGTCTTATCCTAATCTCCTCGTCAGCTGGAAGCTGGTTTGTTCTCTCCCAACGGTAAACAGAAAACCATGGAATACTTGAGAAAATAATTTCATACATCTTTTTCAAAGTATTTATTAGTTCTCATTTACGCTTATATAAAGAGTTGAACGACAGATCTCTATGAATTGAGATGAATAGAATATCAATTACTTATATTTTCAATGTCAAATGATTGTCAACGATATGGGGTGATTATGGTTGAACCTGTTTAGTGAATTATTAAGTATACCATAATTTTGTCAGTTGCGTAAATTATAATTTTAGAATTAGATTTTTAAGAGAATTCATTTTAAAATAAATATTCATTGAGCATATGATTGTTATGTTAATATTCTATTTACATTAAGGAGTAATTTGACATTAACCAGGCAGAATTGTCTAAAATCGACATTATTTATGTTGACGTCTTTTTTTATTAACTTATTTCCCTCATTGTTTTTTTTCAGTATCACCTTCATTTAGTTGCTTTTATCTTGTTTCATAAGCCTAAATCTTACTTTCTATATTTTTCCTTTTACATTTTACTTTATCATTTTACTCGGTAGTTTGACTAGACCATCTCTTTCCATCTTTAAATTCATTCATTTGAAAATAAATGCATTGAATTGTATAAAGAATCATGATCTGTTGGTACATATCAGTTAGAATTTTCACTTATATGTATTTATACAATATTTCTATTCTTAGGTTCAAGAATTGACCAGTCCACCTAGAGCTAGTCAAGTAGTGAAAGAATGTGCACGTGCTTGTATGCAATCTACCTATCAATTTATTTATGAAAATGTCAATGAAGTATACTCGAAACAATTTCAAGTAATTGTTTATTATTTATTGATCCGATCATAATTTATTTCGTATTATCTATTTTGTGTTGAAATTATTTATAGTATTATTTTGTATTGATTATTTGAATCTTCCCATTAATGTTGAGGACTTCAGTTGATCAGTCCGCTATTGACGGATGTGTATCCTGTGCAGATTGCCTTGATATCGCCTTAAGTTACAAGCATTATAAGCAAATATGTATGGTGGCTAGCAGTGGAGTCCAAGACGCGCGTTTCGTCCTATTTGAGACTCGTCAGTTGGATGTACCTGCATCTCAGAGTTGATGTTCACACCGGGACAACTCTGGGATTCAGGTAGATTCAGCTGACGAGTCCCGAATGGGATGAAACGCACGTTGTGGATTCCACTGTTAACCACCATCCACCTTTGCTTATTTATGGTATTTTACTGTTTTATTGTTTCATGCTTATTGTTATTGAGTGAAACTGATTTACGACACCTGATTTATTGTTATTGTTTTCAGTGGTGATGAATATGTTTATTTATCTTATTTTAATCAAAATTTACATAACTCAAAGGTCAAATAAATAGAATTGTTGTGATAAATGTGAAGTAAACGAAAGTCGGCATCCATCAAACGAGCTGTTTTAATACACTATATAAAAATTGGTGTTAATAAGGAACTGGATCATAAATTCATTACACAAGTGAATAAATGAGAAAATGAACAATGTGGATAGGTTGTTTTACATTTATACATATACATCTGTTTAACTTATACGTTTTTCCTAAATTGACTAACTGCCCCATTCTATTTTATAATTTCTCAAAAATGTTCATTTTTTTAATATTTCCTAACATCGAATTGAAAGGGTCTCAATGTAAACTAGCCTTTTACGAATAATATCAAATATCTGGCTGATCAAAATGAAATAAGCTAATTATACGGGATATTTTATCATTGAATGATTATAATTTATCAGTATTTATGTGTATGTACAAAATTGTCAAATTAACATTAAAAAGGTTGATGTTGCTTCGGTTTTCCTCATACATCATAAACACACCTTTAATTGTATTAACTTGTCATATATATGAAGCAGGTGTACTCAGAAAGAATTTGCACACTTCTAACTACATATCCTGGAGAGTGTCTATGAATATGAAACAGTAAATTCTCAGAAAATCGTTTAGTGTAACTTACATTCTAGGAACAATTGAGTCGATAGACAATCTAGATAATTCTTTTTACAATCAAGATGCTGTTATCAAACAAACAGGACACAACAATTTCACTTTTCGCTGAACATATTCTTTGAATTACTTTGAGTTAACTATGAATTAATTTTTGACAAAATGAATTTCGCAAAACAATTACTTGCTATTAAAACCAGAATATAGTCATAAAGTTTTATTTTAAAAATGAACATAGAAAAAAGATATGTAGACGGTAAAGATAATGATTATGTTAATCATCTAGGTTGTGAAATTTTACTCTGTTGTCCATGATTTGTTATACCTTTGTCAGTTGTTTAGGTTACGTACAACCTCAATACTTAACTTTAAGAACTGACATAAACCTAGAATATAAACTGCTTGGTCGGTTTCTACTAGAAACCATTATGTTCGTGTTGAAATACAATTTTTAATGTTCATTAACCACGACAAATTTAAAAGTTTTACGACTACATACTTTTAAAAGACAAAACAATTGAAGACTAGTCATTTTGATGATGAGTAGATAAAAGAGATTTAAAAGCTAATATATAGTCCCTTTCGTTTTTCATCAATATCATACTTGAACTGATTGAGCTCAGAATGGAAATACTTGAAATTCAAGCTAACTTAATTGATTATCATTCCTCTCAAAATAAATCATTGCATAAATTAAAGGTAATTAAATTTGTTGTAGGTTTAAATTCGATGAAACTAATATTTTCATATAAACATAATTTTCTTATTTTTCTTATTGATTTTCTTTAATGTTTCTATTCTCATTCTTTTCATCATCACTTTTAGGAATCTGTTTCACAAGATGAAGGTTCACCTTCGTTGAAATCTTTAGTATTTTGGCATCGTTTAATTACTTTACTAGTTTCTGTAATCGATGAAGACAATACTACATATGCTGCTGTCATTAATCAGTAGGTTTTTCATTTTAATTTTTTTCACAACTTAAATGATATTTATTGTTTTTATAATTGTATCTATGTTTTTTTAAGAATTTATAGAAAATCAATATCATGCAAATGATTTGTTTATTTTGATTGAGTCTTAAAATCCAAAGTAAAAGTTGTAACCTAATAACCCTCCTCATGTTCGTGTATTGAGCTTTTAGCTAATTTTCAAGTATGAAGGTAGCAGAAATCATGCTAAGTGGAGTAAGGTTCGAAGACTATACTGATACTTTAACATGAAGACTAGGTGAAGAAAACCTGTGACGGAAGGTTTATTTCCAAGGTTAGTTGGGTTATAACAATTAAGGGAATAACAACGTTGTTACTGGAAGTCATGAAGTATCAGAAGCTTTAAGAAAAAAACGTAAAACTTAGTGTTAATTTTGTTACTTGATCAGTATAAGATTAAAACGAAAAATAAACACGTTGACTTTTAGTTCCCACTGGAAATTTCTACCGATGCTGTTAGCCTTAATGTAATTTGGAGCATTTTGATGCTTCTTGCCATTTTTAGGAACGTTTACAAACACATTTGAACAACTTTATTTGCTCTATACTTAGTGTTAGTATGATAACTGAAATGCTTCCCGTTTAGACAGAATAAATGTTTGACTTACATGTATTACCAAATTTATATAAGATTTTAACCTTGAAGTATGTGAAAAAAGATGTATTAAACAGCCTCAATTACATGATTACTGAATTCATGAGTAAACGGTTTTAGTTTGATTCACATAATACCGATGATCAAGTTTTAATGGTTAATAAAACTACTCTTTCGGATCTATGTTTAACAACTTAAACCAGATTATATCATTGAAGAACTGAAAAATGTCTTAATTAACAAGATATTCAGATGTTCCTGTTATGATCTCGTATCGGTTACTGGTACTTTTTACTAATAATTTTTTGTAGCCCTTAAGTGACTACAGTGATGACGGAAATATGTGAAATATAGTACCCATTTAACTACTTTTATATGCTTTTAACTACGTAAAAAACAAGAATTGGAATATAAAATGTGTTCAGGATATGTACATTTCAATTATTCGAGAACTAAGCAACAGGCAAATAATGAGATGCAATGAGTAGATAAAGCGTTGGAGCTGGTAGCACGGACTCTGAGAATGTTATGCATGACTCCATTTTCATAAGCGATATTTGAAATGTAAGTAAATGGATAGACATATATTTACTGCCAATCAAATTATCTATAAAAACGATCAACGTTACAAACGATTAGTTAACAAAGTCATGTGCATAAAACTATACGGAATAATCAATCAGATTAGAATGACTCCTCTGTCTCGAAGCTAGAATACAACCATGTAGCCGTTATAATCAAGTTACCACAACATGCAATACCAATATAAGACAGATTTCCATTCCTTTCCAAATTTGAATAGTTCCCCGTTGTTAATATCCGTTAATGTTGTAAACTGATCTAATCTCCATAAAAGTGAATAATGAATATATTTTGACTCTCTTTTTCAAAATTTTATTTAGATTTCCACAAGAAGTTAATATGGGTCATATAAGTGCATTGTGTATGTGGGAAAGATTATCTGAAGATATACAAATTGCCTTAGAAGTTCATGCACGTACTGATACACGATATTGTAAATCGTCGGATTACATGAACTTATTTTTCAAATTAAAATGGTTCTATAATAAACATGTTGCTATGATCCCTTCGCAAAAAGATATTATACCTGAATATCCACGGTTAGTCTAAAAAACCAATCATTTTAATTATTATCACTACCCTTATTATTATTAAACCAATATTCGTCCATTATGTTACTTCTTGCCAAGTTGAATAGTAGGAGGATTTTTACAATAGAGAGATTGTGGTTAGCATTGGAATTTATGATGCACATTTATGAATCTTCAGTTAGATTTACTTCGATCTCTGTGATGAAGTTCACACTGATACTTTAACCCACCAAATACTGATTCCCGCCCATCAAACAGGGAAAAACACATACGTAAAAAATAAGTAAATCAGTCACAGATTTTTATTATAAATTTATTTAACCTTTACAGATTTTCAGTGGTTGAAATCGTGAGCCAATTGAAGCTAGACCATCATGAAAAACCTGGAAGCACTGGATGGCCGTTTCGTCCTAATATGGGACTCCTCAGGCATTTCCTGGAGTTCTGGTGAGGAGCCGTGACCAGTGGAGTTCAACCAGGTCTGTTGTGAAATATCAACTCACTGAAGACAATAGGGTAAGGTGGCACAATTTCGTGGATTGGTTGAAGTTAGACAATAACACCGTTGGATGCCGGCCAGCTCAATGGTCTAGTGGTTAAGCGCTTGCAAGCGAGACCAATAGGTCCTGAGTCGAATCTCGCAGGGGGTGGGATCGTGGATGCGCACTGGTGAGGAGTCCCACAGTAGGACGTCAGTGCTTCCAGGTGCTTCTATGATGGTTTAGCTTCAATCGACTGATAATTTCAACAATTGAAATGACCAAAATCTCCACAAAACCCCTTCTAACTTTATAGATTTATTTACTTTTGACAAATTTCCACATGCGTATCCACTTACTATCCTAAATATTATCTTTCAACCAAATTCATTTTATCTATCATATTGAATTTGTCTAATACATCTCACCAATATGAGCACATTTCTATCATCTTAAACTAACATTATTTATCATCATGTAAAAGAGAAAAATATAATAAGTGTAGCGTAAAATGTTTACTATTTTCCATCTCAATTAACATTTTTGATTTCTCATATTTTAGAAGACGAAAAAGAAAAAGAAAGTTATTCGATCATTTTTAATGACTCTATATTGATTTTTATGAGTTATGTGTAGTAAAACCAAAAGAGAACTTTATTGTGTAACTTGTCAAAATTGTTAAAAGCTTATTTTGTTACAAATATGTCATGCTTATTACATTAGTATAGAAATTAATCAATAGATTCTACTTGCATTGATGATTATAAAATGACTAGTGAATTCAAGAGTTAGATGGGCAGGTAATTTATATGTATAGTAGAAAAAAAAAGTTTCTCCTCTTCTAGTTGAAGGGGTTTATTAAAAATCGGTTTCATAAGTAGATTGCATTTGTCAAAGATTGATCATGTTTATGTTACTGTTGAGAGTTAGGGAACATAAGGCAGCTGTTTCATCCTAGTATGAGACTCTTCATAAGTACTCACACAGAACTTCATCTGGGATCGAATCTATGAACTTCAGGTCTCCTGGATAACGTTTAATCATTAGATTCACTTGGTCGGTTTCTGATTATACAAATTCAACTTCTATCAATTTATAATATAATGCAACGATAATCCAATATGATTGGTGAAAACTATTTTACACTAGACCTATTCGAACTTAACGAATCATGAACTATCACTAGAAATTTGGGTACATCTTGAAATTAATCACTAGTGAGCTGATTACCACAGTTTATATAAAGGATACCTGCACCACTAATGAGTCCCATTATTCAACAAAACAGATCCTCATTGCCCCTTGATTTGTATTGTTGCTTTAAGTGAGACTTATCTATGTCAAATTCAACCTATAAGTATTTATCTGTAAGCTTATAAAGACAATCACAGCAATTATTCAAAAAAGAATTCTACTCTTAATCTAAAAACAAATGCATAGAATTTAGAACAACCCATTATATGATTAGTTAAGCTAGTGTTTACTAAATCAATTTAAACTTGCTGAAATCAACATACACCAAGACTGTGTGTACTTTTGTAAATCCTTTGCCGTTTTTTTAATGTTTTTCCTGCTTTCTTTACTTTATATTACGATAGATAAGTAAGAGATTACTAAGATTGAAAGTAAATTTTGTTTAATACGAAAGAACAAAGATATTATACTATAAGACAATCATTTATATCTACATGAATTAGCATATATTAGAAATAAGATGATAATCAGTAAACAATATCAATTAATCAACCATTCCTATTGAAATCTACGGTTAGTATTTTATTGAATTTAATAATAATAACAATCATAATCAGTCATCTTGGGTAGTATGTATCACTGGTTATCAATGATGTCATGCAATTTTATCATTCAATATAATCCAATATTACAGTGTGGCTTGTTTTGTTATTATTTAACGAATGGATCATTGGAACTTCTTGGTTTCATTTCATACAAACTATCAGTTGTCACAAAAAATATCCGTAGTCTTGAGAAAGCTGATATTCCTGATAGTATTTGAATCCCTCTAACCCCTTGAGTCACAGTCAATAATCTAACTATTAAGCTAGTTCAGTAGGATTTCTTTCAAATAAAAAGTTAATCTAAACCATGGATTTAGTTCTTAATTACACCATATAAATTGTATCATTATTAAGTTAGAAATCAATGTGAAATTATTCTTTGTCAAATTTAAAAGTTGACAATAATAATTCATTCAAAACTTTGAGTTTGTCTATCTTGTGAATAACATTTGTTTTTCCTTGAACCTTTGAAGTGAATACTAATACCGTTATTATAGAACTTCACTTGATTGCTGTGAATGATGTACATTAATTAGAATCTTGACTAAAACAAATTATACGAAAAAAAGGATAAATAAGTTCCAGTGAGAAGTTACCAGTGGAGTTCAACCAGGTCTGTTGTGAGATATCAACTCACTGAAGACAATGATGTACGGTGGCGCAACTTCGTGGACTGATTGAAGTTAGATATTTACACCGTTGAATGCCGACCAGCTCAGTGGTCTAGTTGGTAGGGCGCCTGGCGCGAGACTGATAGGTCCTGAGTTCAAATCTCGCGGGGGGTGGGACCGTGGATGCGCACTGGTGAGTAGTCCCACAATAGGACGAAACGGCCGTCCAGTGTTTCCAGGTGTTTCCATAGTGGTAAAGCTTCAATTGACTCATGATTTCAACCAGTGAAATTTCGAAAATTCCTTACAAAACCGATTCTGATATAGTTTAAGAGTTAAGACGTTTAACTTTAAACTGTTAGGTAACAGATTGAGTTAAACTTTATTCTATCAACTCCTAGATGCATCACTACTCTTCACACATAACATATGAATTAAAGTACGTAAAGTAGTACTTAATTACTGTGTGGTATTAAATTAAATTAAGAAAACCTTAAACTTTAATGAACTGAACTAGGTTTCAAAAGTACTATAGGTTAAACAATATTGCCGAAGAAATGAATTGACCTAATAATTATACAAAATACATAAATTCCTTGAAATCACTTCACCTATGTTATATCTCAAATACACCAATATATCCATACATCTTAAAATGATCCACCCTTTACTGGTGACTTAGTTACAATTTTGATTATTCAATGAATATACAATTTGTGTAGTAATAAAAAGTTTTGAAACAGCAAACTCTCATATTAATTTTTTTTTCTGAATTAATCATTTATACAAATGATCAAGTTGTAAAAATATTGATTTTTATTACCGGTTATATAAGAAATACATTGAAACATTATTTTAGTCTTATCAGTTTCTGTAAATAAACAACTTAAGTTATGAATTTCCGGTAGGTGTATACACTCTCTGTCTTCCCTTAAACTAAGAGATTAAAATCGCTTCATATCTTTCTTTCTACGTACGATATCTTTCTTCCTGTACTATATCCATATATGCAATCTTTCCTTTATATATTACCACCTCTGAATTAACTACTTTTATGAATCCGGTGTCCATCTTGTGTTAATGAGGTATGGCAACTTGGACCGATGTATATATATATATCTGGTCCTACGTTGTAGCTGACTGACTGATTGATGAATTTTCCTAATTTTAACTAAACACATACATACAATTTAACTGTCAATCAATTGTTCCCACTTACAAAAACTAACTTTTCTATCATAAAATAAATCTTTGTTTTATTCTTCAGTTATCCACACATTTATTTATATTTTTTCATAAAAACAATAAAATATTCTTTTTTCTTCACCCTCCATTTAGATGGTTTGAAGTATTTGTTATGCAATGGTTAAATGAAAATGATGAAGTATCAATGGATTTTTTACGAAATGCTTATGAACGTGATAAAAAAGATGGATTTCAACGATCTAGTGAACATGCATTATTTTCTAATTCTGTTGTTGATGTTTTCACTCAACTTAATCAATGTTTTGATGTAATTAAAAAACTTGAATGTCCTGAACCAAGTGTACAAGAACGTTTCTTAAATCGTTTTGCTCGTGTAAGTATAGTATATGTCATAAGTGATTATTCGTAATTATGAAAAAAAGTCTTTTGAAACATTCTATTTACAGAACTTTCATAAGTAGAACTGAACTACGTATTATAAAGATTTCAATAAAGGCTAAGTATTGATAATATTATATTTGATAAACCAGTGATTTGTTTTAACTGTTAACACACTGATGAATAAATGAGTATAATAACCGAAGTCATAAAAAATGTGATGAGTCAAGTAGATTATTATGGTTACTGTATTATTTATAATATATAGAGGCTTACTGTTTGGATTCAAGCATAAGTATATTACCATACTCATCTTCTGACTTTATTAACCAAACAAATGACTATTTGAATAGCATATCTAGATGTGATTATAAATTATTTTGTACATTTGTTACGTTAATTAGTTTTAAATACATTTACGTATATCTATGTTAATTAACTTCTCTCACAAAATGGAGGGCACTATGAGCTATTTTCATCAAAATTGTCAGGACTCACGTATAGAAACTACTTAAACAAATTTTGTTTTGATTAGACTGATAAAATCCAATCGGCAATACTCATGGAATCTATTCGGTTCGTGTAGTTTACTCAAATTTTAAAAATTCACAGATCTTGAGTACGTTAATATCAAAGGACACTGTGGATGACTAAATACACCTATAATTAGATTTCTGTTCGCATTCAATTAAAATTTTAAGCTCTGTATATCGGACCTATTTTCATACATCTTCATATTAATCGCCATTCAATACTGTAATCAGATAAGTATCAATAAAACTTCAACGTCAATCCTCAATGTAAGTATTCCGTCAGCATGCCTGTATAACTTAGTGAATCACTGAAGCACTTAAAAGTTCCTCTGTTGTACCAACTCCCGTTAACTGTACGAATTCGCGAAACCTTCTTAACAAATAATGTTAAATTAAGAAAAAGGCAACAATTTTTTTCTTACAGATATGTTCAAATGAGTATCACCAGCTTAACCGTTCAACTTTTAGATGTGGAAAACATTAGCGATGCATAGTATTCAGAACTTTTTACAGGAAACTACTCATAGACTAAAGTGGGTTAAAAAACAAAAAGGAATAAACAGGTGGACATGATTAGTAGATGAGTTCAAGACACGCGTTTCGTTTTATTTGAAACTTGTCACATAGACGTATCTACATCTCAATATTGATTTACACATTATGACTGGAATCCAACACCTGCTTCTGACGCCAATGCGTAATCCATTGAGCTACTAAGTTCTAGTAACCACTAACTTGTTCAACGTGCATTATGTTAATACCCTTAACAGTAAAGGTTTGAATTGTTTGGTTTTTAATCTTCAACTCTTTAATATATGATATAAAAAATATTAATAGTTGAGTCAATGAAAGCTAAATCACTATTGAAAACTCGGAAGCACTAAATGGCCATTTCGTCTTAGCACTGAACTCCTCAGCAATGCGGTCACAATCTCGCATGCAGGACTCGAGCCCAGGACCTTCGTCTCGCGCGCGGACGCTTAACCTCTAGACCATCGGGCCGGTATCTAACGATGTTAATATCTAACTTCAGTCGATCCATGATATTGAGCAACACATGCATGCAGGATCGTGGATATGGACTGCTAAGGAGTCCCATACTATGACGAAACGGCCATCCAGTGCTTCCAGGTTTTCAATGGTGGTCTAGCTTACATTGACTCATGAATTCAACTATTAAAATTAATACAATCTCTACAAAACCCCCATTCTCATCAAAACATAAAGAATAAATGATTATCAACTCAATATATGATTTTCCACCAATTGTCTCAATTATTTATCCAATCTATGGTGAGAAATATGACTTAGAAATCCGAGTTAATCGATCAGTAACAAGCCTAGAGTATATTGTAATATGACTGCAATTGTTTACACATTATTGAGGAATTTCGTTTTTTCTTCAATAATAGTTATACGTCCAATAGATCCAGTCACCAAAATATATGATAACCATTTTATTGATTTCTTCCATTCAAAAATTATTATCTTTTTTTCTTATTATCAATTTAGACTGTTAGTAAAGTACTACTAACCTATGCAGAAATAGTAAAAGCTGATTTCAAATGTTGGGTGCATCAACAAGAAACCGCATGTATCATTATGAATAATATACAACAATTACGTGTACAGTTAGAAAAAGTATTTGAAGCAATGGGTGGTAGTATACTATGTGAAGATACATTGAATGCAATGAATGATTTACAACAGATGCTTCAGGTTGTTATTGATGATTTAGCTTCACAATATGCTGAAGCATTACAAGTACAAATTGTACAAAAAATTAAAGAATTAAGTAAATTGCTTCATCAGGTCAGTGATATTGATATTGATTTTAAACATTAATATTTAACTTATAAGTATAATTAAATTACGTTGACGAACTGGTTAGGTTTCAAAATGCTCTTTCAAGACCTCATCATATAGTTCAAATAAAAATGTTAACTATCGGTTGTATGCTTTGTAATTATGACGAAAACGTTACAGTGAATTAATTACAAGAGAAGCAACTTCATAAAACCTTTTCATGTGACTGTGGTAAGGAATTTAGTGCAGTGGAATGTCAAAATAAACACAATAGTATTGCAGGGCTCGAAGATCTATAGAAGTCTATAGAAGATGACATCTTATTCGCTCGTTCGAAGTAAATCTTAGATATCTGATGATGTCTCATAATAAGCAAGACGTTTTTTGAATAAATTTTTCGGAATCTAAATTGCCAAATGAGGCATTTCATTGGTTTTCTAACGGTTATTTTTTTCTATCAATAGTGTCCACCTAATTCCAAAGCCAATGTGGAAACTGAAGCTGAACACATATTACATCCACTTATGGATCACTATGAGTCAACATTGTCAGCTTTAGCAGATCTATGCGAAAAGACTGTATTGAAACGATTGTTAAAGGTAATATTATCACTTTAAAATTTCTTTATAATCCATTGCATTTTATTTGCTAAAAACTATTTACTAACTTTACTCAGTGAGGTACATTTAAAAATAAAGCATTTACATTAAGCTAACAAGTTATCTATTATCAATGAGTTTATAGGTATCAATGCCAAGGTTGAACTAGATAGCTTCAAATAAACTGCGTATTGGGTAGAAGGTTAACAATAAATATATTTTTGTTATGTATTAATGTGTAGAAAAGTTGTATTTCTTACGTTTCGTGACTTAACGTAAGCCACTTCTTCAGGGCAGAAGGTGGTTGCGTAATATCGTGGGTCGATTAAAGTTAGATTCTAACATCGTCGAATGCTGGCTAGGTGGTCTTGATGTTAAGTGTTCTCACTAGAGACCGGAAACCATGGATTCTATTGCTATGTTCAGGGTCGTGGATATGCATTGCTGAGGAGTTTCATACTAGGACGGAACGGGTGTCCAGTAATTCTAGGTTTTCAATAGTAGGGTAACATTGATCGGTTCACCATTTCAATGAAAATTAACAGTCTTCAAAACCCTGTACTGATCTTTACCAATTTCACCTTACCCATATTGGTAAAGGCATTTTCAACGCTTAGGTTTTAAGACATCAAATTCCTTTTAACTGGTAACGCCTACTGAGGGTTGCTCTACCCTCCAATCTACGATTTTTCTCAATATCGATATCAGTTATAAAGATGCTTTCATTAATTAAAATGGATGACAGACTTTTTTATAACAGCCACCTTCTTATCAGGGTAGTAAAAATATTTCTACTCAGTTTCTATAGTGCTTCGGATTGTTGAGAGTTATTACTTTTGTAAAAATCAGTTATTTTAATCGTAAATCATAAAAATGACTTTTTAGTGTTTTAACTAGTTCACTGAGTTCAATACTAAGCATGAACTTCTGATTATTAGCATTTCTGCATATAGCACAATGACTTTTTCAAGTCTATTAAGGGGGAAAGTTATTACTTATTTACTTTTGACATGTATACTACTGAAGTAAAATAAGCAGTAGCTAGACACGAACTTTGAAAATAAGCAGATAAAAGTCTAAACAGTAATATTAGCTAGTAATTAGTAGTATACATAGATCATTTCCAATTAGAAAGATAAACATTCGAAACTCCCTGATGTGAAAGGATTGATACCATGCTCATCAGCTAAAAAATATTTGATTATTTTCAAACTGTAGCCTAAGTCCCGTTACAAACACAGGCAGTTGAAAACATAATCAACAGCAATTTGAAAGACTCCCGGTCTCCCACATTGTACGAGCATTCCATGTACCTAAATAAATGGTTACTCTGGTTTTCAGGAAGGGCATCGGTCTCGTGACTTCCGAAGGAACTCGGCCTTCGCCATGAGGCGTCATAACTCTTCTAAATGAAGACCTTCCGACTCTCAGGGCAGAGTTTAAAAGGTTTGAATAATTTTAGCCCAACTCTACTCCTTTATCCAGGCTTGGGACCAGGAGTAGCCCCCGGCGAGACTCCAGGTGGAGTTCGAAAACATAATCAGTTGTAACTAATTCAAACATAAACCGTACAATCTGTAACTAGTTTGGAAACTCCCTATTTGATTTATTGTGGATTTAATTATGGAGTTGCACGAAGGTTGTGTCATACACTAAACCACAGTACCAATAAATATCATCTACCGATGAACTTAGTAGATATATTTAGTGCTAAAAGCATTCTCATATAATCTAGTCTTTATATTCGTGTGACAAAAATCATGTAAAGTAGAAATCAACATATAGAATCATTGATTAGAGAAGCACAAGTGTTTAAACTTTATATTTTAATTAATACTGCCACATATTCGAAATAACTTTATTGGGTAATCTATGCACTTATTGAAGGAATCAGTACAAAGGATGTAACGACTTTTGTATTGTAATTTTATATTACAATATAATGTAAATATGCAGTGAAATTTTTTTCTGAATATTAACTCTTCACAATCTCAGAGCAAGCTTTGTCCTCTGATATTCCATGGTTCGATGAGAATTAAGGTTCTGGGGCGAGAGTAATTATCATACTTGTTGTCGATTTATGCATTCACAGTGTAAATGCGTTCTGACTACCGTATAAACTCAACGCTGGATCATATCATTTGGCTTGGGATATTTTTTCGAGTTTTAACGTTGACAGTAGTTGAAACTTTTATAACCAACTAGGTTTCTTGATTATACTAATTTTCTTTTAATGTTCTGTAAAATAATGAAATTAGGAACTTTGGAAAGTTACAATGCATAATTTGGAGAAACAAGTTGTACTACCCACTGTTGCCGATCCAAGAGCTGTGAGTTTCAATATTTTGGTATTTTTAATTCAGATCTATAGAAAGTAGTAAATTTATTCATTATTAATCACTGAAAGAAATGAGATATCTGGCTAACGTTTTTTGAAATAATGACATTAAATATGCATTTTGGCTTTTGAACGTTTTTGGCAGTATTTCGTATCATAAAAAAATAACTCACTCACTATTTAAATAGCAGATCTTGGATTTATCAGAATTTTAAATTTATTCATTATCCAGTTGCTCATCAATAATTGTTTCAGGTAACTGGAAATTTCTAGAAAAATAAATTTAGTTGAGACTAATAAAAATACTTGAATGATTGAGGTGGTTGACTCAATCATTTGCTCATGGAATTAATATCTAACTAATTTAACAAGTGAGAGAACAGTTGACTAAATGATCGAATATATTTCTACCGCCTACCTAGATGGAATAAACTGAAATAAATCCAGAGAGTGGCCAGACTGAGACATGAAATCAGTCCATGAAGTCTCTAGTTGTTGATCTGAGCCGTATTGTTAAGTGCAGGCAATCTAGCTGAAGTTCGCGCAGTTAAAGCTATCATTGGTTCGATACGTTGGGAAACACGACTGAAAATCAATCACAGTGATGCGGATGTGCCTACTTTTTATCATTCCTTATATTACACGGTTTAAAATACCTTATTTCATCTTCCGTAAATCTATTTCTTCTGGAATCATATTCTTTATGAAGCCTTTGGGAAGATTGAGAGTTCAGGAATGTGGAATAGGGATTTGGCCGGGCCTCTATCCACATAAATATCATGCATTTATAAAATTTCAAGCAATTACGCTGAGGAGAAACCTTGGTTTTTTTAAGTAATGGGCTCTTCAGAACATGATTCGAAATCCTGAGCAGACCATACTTTCTGCTCTCGGAGTATACTGACCTTGGAAATTGTGAAAATTTACAATAAAAACAGATAGCGTATTACACATCTGATGTGGAGACGGATGAACAGTACCGTTTTGGTTTATATTTCATTTTCCTAGTCATTTTTCAATCAGTGATCTTTTCCGTTAGCATTAACTTACCTTATAGCGTGTCAAATAAACATAATATTTATGCCCTTCACTTTGTTCATGAACCTATTAACCCAGAAACTAGATTAAATAACTAAATAACATAACATGATTAATGATACCATTTGTTTTATACAAAGACAAGTTTCATATTTTATCTACTACAGTTTTCTAGTACAAATTCAACTTGACACAGTCACACAAACATTTTACACTTTCTGAGATTAATTTTTAGTAATCAATGGTAGTTTTTGAATGAATGTTTGATATCATTATATGATTAATCTTAATTTTATAATCTATTTACAGATGTTTCTTAATTTGTCGATTCCGTCAACTGCACAAGCTAAATTAACAAGTGTATCTCAGAGTTTACTGACAAATGTAAGCAGTCAGCTACCAGCAAGTCGATTACTACAAGTAAGTCAGTTAATCATTTAATATGAATGACAGTTCGCATAAATGTTTTTGCCTATTTTTTTCACTCGTATTTTCATTACTAACTGGAAAACAGTTCATGACTGTTCGCTGGTTACTCGTTCAATTACATCGGATCATTTTCACAATCTCATTATTACCCAGACATTATTAGTTCGTAGGGTAAACTATTTACTTACATTAACAACTAGTAACTATTTTATACAAATTATTTACCCAGTCTTTGAAAGGAATGCTTTGTTATGCGAATCCAATTGAGTTCTAAAATTAAGGAGATCGATACTATAAATTTAAAGTAACATATATTTGTAAGCTAGAAATTTATGGGGATTATTCATTATGAAACTACCTTTTTTCATGAACTGATATTTTATAGAAGATGAGTGATAGCTCAAATAGGATTAGATATCTGTTTTATTTTAGTTTATTACATTTCAGCAAATGGCAACTGTGATTCTATTTTGGATTAAATCTAACATATTTAATTTCCAATCGACCAATACATCTTTGAGTTAGTCAGTTAAAATTCAATGGTTCATATTTTGAACTTCGGTCACATACTCCTAACAAACTAATTCTCATTTATTCATACTGTAAATTCGTTTTTCTGTAGGATATGTCTAAAGATGCAGGAATCTCAGAGCGAAATTTAACACCACGTCATTGTCAAATATTGGATATAGCATTGGATGCGATTAAAAACTATTTTCATGCTGGTGGTAGTGGACTTAAGAAAGCTTACTTGGACAAATCACCGGAATTACAATCATTACGTTATGCACTATCATTATACACACAAACAACGGATGCACTTATTAAAAACTTTGTGGCTACTCAGACATCACAAGGTTTGCTTATTTTCTGTATTCTACTTTGTGTTAAATTAAAAGTCAAAATGTTTTATTTTTGTAAACCGAATATGTTGTCTACTACTTAACTGACTGTTTGTCAAGTTGAAATAATGGATGTACAGTTGTGATAAACGAGAATACATGTAGGGACAACCAATGTATCTTTACACAAAATTACGGAGTATCTTCGTAAAACATAAGAACCATACACTGAATACTTCATTTGCAATTTTTCATCATTTGTCCTTTATGTCCTGTATTATTCTTCAAGTTGGCAATTTTTTTCTATTTACCCTTCTATTCTCTTCAATTTGGTTTTCTTAGCCTTCTGCTGCCAGGTTTACCACTTCCGATGGGTGTTACATACTACTTATATCTGTCGACATAGGTAGCATACACCACACAGTTACAACACGGTATGAGTACTAATTTAAATAATTCTTGAGAAAAATATTTGTTAAAATAATTAGAATTAACCACTAGGTGTAGAATAGTAACAAGTGTACTTATCGAAAGTATTTAAAGCATAAATGGATCTATTTTTATCATTCAAGCTAATGCTTGAATAAACTCTAGAAAGCAATCATTCTTTCTAATGGCACATTTATTTTTCCTGTGAAATGGAAATCAGTTAGTTAATCTGAAAATAAATTATTAATTTGTTGAAGAAGTAGAAAGTGATTTATTCGTTTTGAGGATTTCAGTAAGATTCAACATAAATATCTAAAATATGAATTTTTAGCGAGCGCCACTTTTCACTTTCAGACGACACACTCCACAGAAATTTCATATGAACGAACAATTTTTTGTAAAAAAAACTCATCAATAGAGTTACTTAATACCCTTATCATTGGAAGACATTACCATAAGCTTTCTTTTTCTCAGGTCAGCATAGTAACTAGTACTTTGCTGTTTCAGTGTCTCAAGAAAGGTCAATATTTGAATAAAGTGCCTTTCATCAAACCTAAATATCTTGCACTCTAGTTAGGCTTTTAATAGTTGCAAGCTATGAGACGTTACAAACTACTTGGTCGAACAAATTCTCTACAACTTCCTTGAGTGGATTTCTGTCCTAGATAAACTTTAATGAGTAATCTTAGGCTACTATACCACAGTTGGTACTGCTAAGCTAATTTGACTAGTAGATCCGAGTCAACATTCATGTGAACTTCTTAAGATAGAGTGATAATAGCTTCTGACAGTATGTTTTTTTAATTTCCCATTCCTCTTTAATTCTCCTCGCATTTCACAATCTGACTTCAATAATCGATGCAGGGTTGAAATGGACATCTGAAAAACAGTTAGAAACTGTTTGAATTATGTTCTTTGTTTTTATTCTCCACAATGGAATTTTACTGGTGATATACCTTTAGTTTAGTCCCACAATAGGACGAAACGGCCATCCAGTGCTTCCAGGTTTCCATAATGGTCTAGCTTCAAGTGACTCATGATCTCAACTAATGAAATTACTATAATATCCACGAAAATCCCTTCATATACCTTTCTATTGAGTAGTTTTATTAAAGATCACCATTTTAGGGTCAATCTCCAGAATAAACCTAGCATTTTTCTGGTGTTTCCCCATTGACCCAAGCAGTCATTATAAAAACCATTAGTTATTTAGCGTTACCGTCTCATTTATTCCGCATTTTATGTTGACTTTAGCAGTAACTGGTTTTCTAAGATCAGATGTTACTTAAGTATGACTTACAGCTTGTTGTGATCATTTTTTCATGAAGGCGGTCAACTTGCTTAGTTTGTAGATGTTGATAAATTTGTTGACATCATGTGAAAACAACCTTTATTAAATAGCGAAGCTCAAGAAAAGTAATCATAGTAAGCGTAAAATTGATCTCCATACACTTTATTATCATGATTATTTTTCAACATCTCTAACAAACTTAATATGTTTTTACTATAACAATTGTTATATAATGTGTCTAGAGTAGCGTTGCGGATAAGTATGTAGTTAATTAGATCAAGTATAGATTATCTATCGTAAAGTGCATTTAAAGTTTGTTAATGACATGGTTACCAGATGAGTGGTATAAGTGTACAATTACATAATACAGCTATTACAAAAAACAATAAGCCAATTTTCAATGATAAACTACACAATCAATAAACTGAAGAATTAAGATCATATTTTATTGATTTCAATTATTATTCTAAATTTATTATTTTATTATAATACTGTTATTTTTTCACTAGATAAACCTGCAATTGAAGATAGTGTTGGAGAGTTATCAATTCATGTTGATCTCTTTCGTCATCCTTCACATGGAGAACATAAAGTTACTATAACTGGTAAGTAGATCTCATTTGATTAAATTTATACAAAAAAATAAAACCATTATTTTACTACCAAAACTGCTAACTAATGAAATAACAGAATGATTTGTGTGAACTTTTGTCGAGATTAGAACGAACAGTTATACAACATCAAGTATTAAGTTCCTGGAAGTCAATAGACACAAATTATGTCTGTAAACATCACCATGTTTTATGTCTATCGCTTCCCAATATTTTTCCCTATCAACTAATCATAATTTCATCAAGGAAACTTAATTTTTGAGAAATTATGTTATTTTCTATTAAGAATGTGCTCTCAATGATTATTATTATTATTTTTCAATTTCAATACAAACATTTGACAATATCATAAACCATGATTTGGATTAAAGTCATACTTAAACTACACTATAGACATAAATTGGAATACAATTTTATATACATATTGTCTAAAATTGAACAGAAAATATTTGATTGGTGATTAGTAGAGAATAATTACTGATGTCTTAAGTATTCCTTGTAAAAATACTGAGTAAATGTCTACATGTAACTGGTGAAACAATATTTATTTATTTAAACACATAAGCATTGGTATAACCAGGCACCAAAATATATATGCACCACACTTCGTCACTTGATTTTTGTGCGCGCTGGAATACTGCCTGAGTGCCTGAACCGAAACAGATGGCTTTTTGGGCGGCAACAACCGGAGTCTTTGACCTACAGGTCTAATCCACAAGGCAGTGGAGTAACGTTAAGAGATACAGTCCTATGGTAACCGGGGCCAACAATAGGTCCATATATCATTTGTTTGCTGAGGATCCTAGAGCTCATGTGCAGCAATGATTCCAAATCACCTAAGTAGATCCTCTGTACCCACCAACCCGGTTAAAGCGCAGGACATTCGCTTTACGTCCTCACAATTTCGTAAACAATACCCCGCTGCGAGAAGACAGTGAGTAGGACTTCCCTGTCAGTGACTGTATACGCGTGGCCATGTGAGAGTATTTCGAGTGGGAGAGCAGACTCTCCCCATTCTGGACCGTATCAGGGCATAACAAAATCATGAACGAACTGTTTTAACAATATTTGTAAACTTTTTTCATTATCTGTAACTTTTGTTCATTCATTCTGAACTTTCAGTAGATATGTGTTTGCTCAGTACTTCAAATGGTTTTTTTTGCAATAGCTATCGTTTTAGTAAATTTATCGAATCACTTACCTTTGTTCAACAAAATGTAATTAAGGATTTCTATCATAATATTACTATGGTGTGAATCAATATGGATTTTAAAATCTCATGATCTTCAATTTATTACATTTTCATCAAGAAACATATGACCTAGAAATTAACAATGAAAAAGGTTCCAAACATTTTTTTAAAATAAAGTTATATTCTACTAACCTTAAATCTAATTTTTATAAACAATTTTCTACTCGATTTACCACAACCTTTCAGATGGTTCCAAATGATTTTCTACTGTACTTATATAATTTTTTATGACTTAACAATAGTTATATAAGATATAAATGAAACTCAAATATATTGATTAATTGTGGATACATTCTATACCAAATGAATTATATACTATTATAATTATGATATTCAAATTAAATGGATCAACGGTGGTTTTCATTGAGCCCAAATATTTTGTTATCATTTAAATAGCTCAGATCATGAGTCAATTGAAGCTAGACCACCATGGAAACACCTGGAAGCACTGGACGGCCATTTCGTCTTAGTGTGGGACTCCTCAGCAGTGCGCATTTACGATCCCACCTCACGAGATTCGAACCTAGGACCTATCGGTCTCGTGCGCGAACGCATAACCTCTAGACCACTGAACTGGCCAGCATCCAATTGTGTTATTGTCTAACTTCAACTAATCCACAAAATTGAGCGACACATCCATTATTGTCTTTATTGAGTTACTATATCCCAACAGATCCGGTTGAACCCCACTGATCACTGCTTCTCACTAGAACTCCAGGAAATACCTCTTGAAGTCAGTCACTAGTGAGCGAATGTTGATTAGTATCAGAATAAATAAATACTGGGATTCATTCAATAAGTTGCCATTTATTTATCAGTCTAATCAACATGTTAATTTTATGTGAATAAACTTATTTAAGATGGAATTAAGTTGAATAGTTGCCTGATATCTATCTGAAATTAGTAAAATTCATTTGAATTTATAGTGAAAACAGAGAGAGAAACATTTAACAGAGAAAATAATTTGGCATATGTTTTTTTCCGCATGTTCAACATTGAATTCATTTTGTTATTGTGATAGATTATCATAAAAAACTATCACATGATATTTTATGCATTGACTTTAATTTCATACATTGATGCTCCGATCAACATTGTGAATAGTTAACTAATTTACAGTTGTATATCTTGTTATTAGTTTAATCTCGTCCTGTTGATATGATGTAGTAACTTAAACCGATGCACATATGTACCTAGTTGTATTTTGCTTTTGGCTGACTAAATAACTGGATCTCGATCTTATTCTCTACTACTATATCATACACTACCTTTTCATATTCAATCAATATGCATTATGTAATCTACCTAGACTGTGAATATTAAGAATGACATACATTTACTAGATTTTTAACTTTTGACATTTGAAACACATTCTGAATGATTCTTATGCTGTGATATGGAATTATTTTCTCTCGAATTAGGAAATATATTCTAGAAAACTGATTACTATAAGTATATATATACATTGATGAGTTATTGTATGATACGTTTGAAGTATGTCTTATCCAGTACATCCTTAAAAGATCTTTTAACCAACATGATATACATCTAACCAATTTTAATAATATATCTCTGATTCTCCACTAATTTCTCAGTAAACGTAAACGTTCTTCGATCGATATCATATATGGTGACATCTAAATTATTATTATTCTATTTTCATTGGTTATAACATTTTAGATATTTATAAAATAACATTTGAATAATTTACAAATGTTCTATATATCCAGATTGAATGGATTAGACAGTGAATGCACTTTCTAATTATTCATTATAATGGCAAGTAACTGAATTTTAAAATGGTGACTCAACGGCTCATTGAGAGAATAGGATGCCACATATACATATAGTACTCTCACAGTATGTCATAGAAACCATTTAGAAATAGTTTAAAATACTGGCTTTAATTGTTTCTCTTCAGCTATGTTCAATAAACTAACATGAATGAATAAATGTGATAAAACACTGGTATATTAATACAGTAAAACTTTAAATGCCAGGTTACCCAGTAAAATTGAACGGATGACTGAGGTGAAATTACTTCAGAAGCCGTGCTGCTATATGTAAATATTAACAGTTCATATTCATTTGTTGATAGACCAAGCGGTTTGAATTTGAATATGTGGGTCATAGCTTTGGCAGCTAGATGAACAATCCACTTGTTCATTATTATATCTTGAAAACGCTTATAACTGATTTATCATTCTACCTTGAGGATTTGTGTACCTTGTATAACTTCCTTCCTTCGTGGTAAAGTGGTCAATTAAATAAAGACAACTGTTGAACATATTAGTAAAATAGACTTATTACCCTTTTTACACTTGTGGTAAACAAAACTACCTGTAATGAAATGAAGGCACAAGAGTAATTAATCAGTCTAATGATTACTATAAATTATCCAGTTTATTCAGAAGTAGAAAGTGTACATATTCGATATACCACAGAATTTATCTCATTTTTCAGAGTAGACAATCGCAATAACAAAACAAACGATCAATAATAATTATTTTAGATGTCTATAATATTATCACAGACGTTAAACAATAAAAAAATATAAGTACATGAAAGGCTATTTCATACAACCTTAACAGTTTGTTATTAAAAACAAAAGTTTCTGTTGTGTATGATTTAATAAGCATGAGGATTTCGCACTAGAACAAAAATGATCTACTGAGTTTTTGAAAAGAAAAATTATTCCCATCATAACTCTAATCTGTCCATAATACAACCTAGAAGAGGCATGACGATGATGTGGCATAAATTACGTAATCTTCAACTTCTGAATATGGATGGATATCTGTTAGCTTGACATATTTCAATAAATGGTGAAACTTTAGTGGCCCGATATTTGACTCCAGTTATATCATATGAATGTTAGTAAAATATACATGTCGTCAATCCTCATATATAATTATCGACTTAATCAGCCTAAGTGACTATAACGGAATTAAATAAACCGAATACGAGAATTGATTTTGAATATGTATATTTCATGCACTCAATTATTTGAACAGGCAATCAGGGAGACGAAACAAAGAGGGAAAAACGAAGCAGACTGAAGAAGGCAAATGAGCCGACTCAATTTAATTAAGCGTGAATCAATACTTATAATCACAAAAATAAGTTACAGACATGTGATGAATAAGATAAGAAGTGCACACACATACGCTCGTATAAAAAAACATTCAAGGTTGATAAGCGAATAATTTACAAGGTCAAGACATGACTCAAGAAGAATGAATAAATTGTCCTGTCCAGAAACTAGAATAAGTTATGTGAGCTTAGCATAACAACCGACACTAAAAAACCTTTCGGTTGACAAGTGAAATCCGTACCGATAAATTTGTAACTTATATTGATTTACTGTTTCAAAAACCAAAGACTTTACTCCGATTTGTAATGGTCTGGATTATACCGTTATTCATATTTTACTGATATCTGATCAGTCTTGGTTGGAATATGTGCTTCCTGTGAGGAATGCTTGATCAAATTTTAGTCAAAGTATCAGCGATATGATAATTCAAAAGATTACAAATTAAATTTCAATTCAAGCCAGTTGCACAAGTGAGTGGCTATATGGACTCAGTAGCTAAGTTTATAACGCATTAGTGTTCCAAGTGAGGGGTACTCTAATCGAGTTCTTTTATGAGGATGAACTCTGGGATTCAGGTACATCCAGCCAATTAGTTCAAAACCAGACGAAATGCACGTTCTCCATTCTAATACTAGCCACATTCTATCC